TGCCGCGAATGACGGGCTGGATGTAACGGCAGAAGGTGAGGTAGTGTGTGGGGTGGCCGTCGAGCTTTTTTGCCGTCGTTGAAGGAAGAGCAGGCTTAGATTGGACGACTCGTCACATGAGGGCGCAAGTTGAAGATGCACTATTCCGCGGCAGAGGACCCACGTGTAGCTGACAGGGTTATGCCCACTTCCAAAAAGACGACCCAGAGAATCGGCATGGAACAAGAAGAGCAGGAGGCCGGCTTCTAAACGCTCCGTGACCTCTCTCCACCAGAGTCTCTCGTGAATCTTACGCTTCCTGGCACGTCGCCGACAACATCTCCAATGGGTCTCCTCTGTCTGTCTGGGAAGGAACGACTACCGCTGCTGACATGGAGTAAGCATAGAATAAAACTGGAGTCTACTGCCAGATGCATCATGTGCGGCTGCAGTCTATCCCTGCGAGATCCTTCAGTGTCATGTTCCTCGCATCAACGTCATTTCTGCCTGCCTCCTATAAACACTACCGATCGTCTCCGCCTGTATCTATCATGCGGATCAGCTGTCGAGTCGTCGCAGGTGAAACGTCAATACTCAGGCTACTTGGACTAGGCACAAACCTGTACGGTACGTAGTCATGGAGTTTACAAGGCAAGGCTGTGAGACATTTTGAGCTTCCATAGTTCCTCCCGTATTGACCGAGAAACGTTGTTCCTGCCTGAAACGGCAACCTCATCTCCGAGCTGTTCGGTGGACCATTGATCCTGAGCACGCAGCTGCTCGGGGTTTGGCCATCGGTGCCTGCTTTCTAGGTCACCAACCTGTAGCCATTTGCAGATGGCGACCAGATAACCTGCTTGTAGCCACTTGGAAAACAATCTAGACACGACATCACGCAACGGTCCGCCCTTGGTGTTGACCGCTAGACCGCTGCCGGGATGACCTAGAGGTGTACCCCGACACAATGCGACTGCACATCCCGGGTCCGATAGTCGATAGTGGTCTTGAATCATCAAACACCATCTTGGATGATCCTTACGTCTGCACAACAATCCTTTATGACCAATGTTTTTTTCTGTTTACCTATGGGTCCGTATGCATTTATTTACTATATACGAGCTGCAGCAACTGGGCGACTTGTTCAGATATCCTGACATGAGGAACATGAATTCCAAATGTCGTAACAGATAGCACCCGTTGTCAGATGGAGGTCCGCCGGATGTGTATCCATCCATAGTCCACGATATGCAGGGTCTCCAACTCTGCCGCAGCCACGCATGCCGCGCAATAACGAAACCAGGCACACGTCCGTCTGGATATTCAGTGCGATCAGCAACGACTCTCCCCGTCCCGAAAGCAGGCGCACGCCATTTCGGTTTCTGTATCCTCCCTTCTTCAACTCAGTCTCCACGCAGCCTATATCAAGCTATATCAAGCTAAGCTGTTCACTCATCACAACTCCTTCGACGCTCCGCGGAAGCAGCGGCAAGGAGATCATCACCCGTCTACGCCCTATCCAGACATAGCTGGACGCTATTTATCGTGGGTTTGGCGGCTGCCTGTGAAAAGGCGTACGCCATCATCAAAAGGTGTGTGCACTGATATACGTCTGCGTTGACCTCCTTCTGGCCAGTTCGCCCATATCGTATGATTACTACGGTTGTGGCGGCCGCCCGCCCCGGCTATCATTACTCCTGCTACACGGTTCGGGTCAGCACCACACGTTCCAGAACGAAACACTCGTCCTGTGCTTCTTCGCCGTTTACCGTAAACGTTCCGCCGTATACACCCATCCGTACGGCCGCGAGGCCAGACGGTTCGTACATTTCGGACTACTAGGACCGAATATTGGCCGGCACGACGCGTTCCGTAACGTTTGGGCGACTCTTCGTACCCAGTGCGGTTGGTTGGTATCTATATCACCTCAACTAATCCATCAAGGTACGTGTGCATGACACGAGGCAGGCTTATGTGAATGATTATGCATCCATATATGCATTCGTTGTGAACGCAAGTCGGAGAAGTGATGTGCCGAAACAAGATCCTTTGTCATTATTGCTGCCTGCCCGGCTGTCTTGAGCACAAGCGTAGCAGTTCGTCATGTCTGCCTGGTGTAGCTTCGAAGACTAGATCACTTTCCCCCCATCTCATTCTACCGCATATACAGTGAGAGATTCGTAGCAAGTCATTGAGATGCTGCCCGCCAGAAAAACAGTCGAAATTCCATCTCTTTTTCCCTGAGATGCCGTGATGCCAAATATGCCAAGATCCAAGTAATACATTGCGGACGCCATGAACGCTCCAGTTTGCAGGAAATAGAGAAAACAGCCTGACCCGATGGTCCTTCGTATCCAATAGTTCGGGTAAAGTAGCCAATCGTGTAAGAAAGGGGTATATGTGAAGAAATGAGCGAAGCCCTCATGGTGAAGAGCCGAACGTCACCTGCTGCAAGTGAGAATTGATCAAGCGGCTGCTTGCGGCACCGAAGGCGTAGCAGCATCTGAGGTTACATCGGTTTCCTTGACCGTTTCATGCACGCCCTCTCCTCTACAGAGTGGACAAGAGTTGCGTCCAGTTGTCAGCCACTGAAGTAAGTTAGCATGCGCAATGCCACGAATCAAGCTGGCAACTCACCTGATCAATACAGATTTTGTGGAACATGTGTTCGCACTTGACTAGCTTCCGCGCCTCCTCGTCCACTTCGAAATCACACAGGCAGACGAGACAGCGCGCACCGGCAACAAGGTTGATTGTCTCTTGACCCTCAACAGCTTCAGCTACAAGAGCACCGGCGTCACCACGTATCCTGAAAAGGCCTGGAGCCGAGGCTACATCCTCCTCACTCGCGACGGGTGGTTTGGCGGGTCCGAGTATGGATGAGAGTAACATCATATCTTCGTAAGTGGGCGAGTCGGTGAACAGGCTGGGAGTGGTAAGAATTGGGTGGTTCTCAGGATAGCTCCCACCTAGCACATAGATGATCCAGCTCCGTGAACCCTCCCCAGGATTGTTGTCTGGCTCCACGACGCCTCTTCTGCGAGGTGCGCCTGAGCCGTATCTTGTGAAATCCGACTCGCTCAAGCGCCGTGGCCGAGCGTTACGGGTATGTGTTTGTGGTTCTTCCGCGGTGGGCTCGAGAGTGGAACCAGCAGCTCTACGGACAAAGCTGTTCCGCCGCGAGGGTGCTGAAGATTGTGTGGTCGGTGAAGAAGGCGAGGTAGAAGTTGCAGGGGTCGTTGCGCCTGACGGACCGGCTGAGAAGTTCAGCGTCGTAGCTGGCGTGGAGGGTGGGGGGAGGGGCCCTGGAGGCGAGTCGGTGACGGATGACCATGGACGAGAGCGCTCTTGTGTCGTCCCACGGTGGTGTCTTTGGCTGTCGTAATTCGAAGGAAAGTTGAAGCCGCCCATCGAGGCTCGTCTTCTGTGGCTGAAGCGGGTCCCGTTCTGCGGTGGCTGTAGGATGTTCGCATTGGCATCGCCTGGTGACGTGGGAGGTGTGGGGAAGCTTGAGAGGGCGTCGAGGAAGGGCGGTATGCTGGCATCCTCTTGTCCCGTACCGCTTCCGGGCTGTATAGATCTGATGCCCACAATGATTATCGGCACCATCCTGCCTTCGCCATCTTCCTCTGCTTCTGTTCCACCATTCCCTGATGAACTGCCGCCGCCCCCAGTAGTGTCGTTCCTTGCGTTGTCGGTACTGGTGCCAAACCTGAACATTCTGAAGAAATTGAGGGGCGCCTGTGCGGCTCCGGGATTGTCGCCACCTTGGCCATCCTCGTTGCCTCTTAGCGCCGATGCTATGCTGCCGTTCTGCAGTGACTGTAGGAACGTGTCGAATGTACCGTCTCGGGTTGCTGCTTGGTTGTCGTCGCCAACCAACGAGGCTGCTGTGGCAGCTGCAGCCAGCGATAACAGCCTTGACAGTACGTCGGCCTGGTCCTCGCCTTGCCTCAGCTGCTGCACATTGTCCATGTTCTCTCCATCCTGCCAAAGCGATCGTCTCCTCCGCGGGTGTCCTATCATATTGCGTAGTCGGCGCTGCGAGGGAAGGATGCTGAGGGCGCGTCCATCCCGTCTCAATGGGCTCAAGGGAACCAGCGGTCGCTGTCTATGTCCGTCTGACCGCTCGGCTTGTGAGTTGGTCCGCAGCAGCTGGTCAAAGTCTAGTCCTAGTTCTGGGACCTGCACGCGTGGAAGGAAGGGCCCTCGGTCGCTCGCCGTATGCCTCAGAGCAGAGCGGCTTGGCACGGTGTTGTTGGGCGTACTCGGTGCCGCGAAGCCGCTCGTGGGCTCGGTGTTGCGGGTAGGCAGCGGCGGTCGTCTCGACAGCAGGCCCGTCATGGAACTGAGCGACGAGCGCGCCCGGTGCAGCCGCGACCGCGAGCGACTGGGGACCGGGGCATCTTCGGGCGCTGACGAGCCAGCATCGTGGCGCCCAAAGTGAGAGGAGAGGCGGTTGGAGATTCTAGTGGTACTGGGGCGGGATCGCGAGGGCGTGTCCGGGGCTCTATGCAGCAACTCTGGCACCGTGTCGTCGTTAGGCTGGGACGAGGCCAGTAACCCAGGCGCCCATGACAGCGGCCGCGATCGCCGCCGTGTTTGCGCATCCGCAGCGCCCGTCGAGTTTGCCTGGCCCATGTTGTGAGGCCGTCCGGCGAGGAAGGCGCGCCTCAAGAATAGAAACGGTCGGAGAGGGTGTCGTCGGGTCGATGTGTCTTCGGTCAGAGCAACGAGGTCCAGCGGCGGCAGAGCGGTGATGTATGGCGCAGCCGAGCCTTCCCAATCAGTCACGGCGCTAACGGCATGGGGCTACCGTTGTCGATTGCTCTTGCCTCAAGTCTATTACTGAAACTGCTCGCCGCACCTTTATTCTACAGACTCCAATTTCCCATTCCCTTCGCGCAGTGTGTGCGTGGCGGCTACCGCTGCATAGCCTCACCGCTGCATCCCGGGCCTACTAAGCAGGGGCGGTTGCAGCTCAGACAGCCGCATGAGCGTGCAGTCCTGCGTCATCACCAGCCATGCAGCACTTCACCACGCAGTTGCGTGAGGAGCAGAACAGGACACGCTCGCTGCGCGCGAGTCATTATCGCAAGTCGAGAAGAAATAAAGAGAAAAGGAAACAAGACGAATCGCTTTTCGACCTACAAGGAGAGGACGAAACGCAGCCAGACGCCACAGTCCAATCGTACACCTCGTCTACCGCGCCTGGCATAGCTCAGCTGCGTGTCGCAGGCCTATTGCCCAGCCAAGAGAACGAGGTCCCTCCAGCACCCTTCCCCCATGCGCCTGCGAGCGTGTCCAAACCACATCATGTCCCTGCTAAAGTCCACGAGGAAATGGCCAGGCCACCTTCACGCCTCTACGCCGTCAACGCCACCTCTAAAAGCGGTGTCGTTCAAGGCCAACCAGAGGCGCAGAAGAGGGCGCACCTTGACTCTTTGTCCACGCTGATGCATTGCTGTCTGCTCAAGGGAGATTACGAGCGTGCGGGGAGAGCGTGGGGCATGATCTTGCGGACGCAGGTTGCTGGTGGGCGCCCGGTAGATCCGCGTAACCACGGACGTTGGGGCATTGGTGCTGAAATAGCCCTGCGTCGTGGACCACAAACGCTGAATGAGCACAGATTCTCTGAACAGGGCTTTGAGCTTGCTCGTGAATATTACAATCGTCTGATCATACAACACCCAAACCGGAAACTGCAGCCTCATGCTGTCGATGAGAGAACCTTCTACCCGCCCATGTTCTCACTGTGGATCTACGAGGTTTGCGAAAAGAGCAAGCGCGCAAGAACGGAGTTGCGTGAGGACATCGCGAATCAAACACGCTCTTCTAGGAGTGTGTCAGTCGACAGTAACCACAGTAAGAGGTCAGACGGTCTCTCTGCGAAGGAAGAGGCGATCCAAATGGAAGAACTTACCCAAGCCCTGGAGATTGCAGAACGCCTCGATCAGGTCATCATGTCACCACCCTTTGACAGACAGCCAAGTCTTCTAGAACTCCGCGGCAATGTCGCCTTGTGGATAAGTGATCTCACCATGGGAAAGATGGGCTCAGATGAGGACTGGGATACGGATCTACCTAGATACTCAAGTTCAGTCTCAGACCAGCTGAAGCGACTTGGAAGGGCTCATCAGGAGCTACTAGCAGCACAAGCGTTCTTTGAGCGAGCTGCAACCAATGGTGGTGAAGCTGTGACCCTGTCCAGTATCAACGCAAAACGCAGAAACCTAGTGAAGATCATGGAGCAGTTGCGCGCTGCTGGGTAAGGCCGGTAATCAGCTTCACCGACTACGCTGTTTGAAGACTTTCGCCAACAGGATACTACACCAAGCCTTTGGTGGCTGAACAAATTTTGCTTTTTTGCCATATACCCATTCACGACTTAGAAGCCTCTACAATACATGAAAAGATACCAAATGATATCATGCGGTAGGTGATGACTTTTCCTGCCTATTTTATTGGTCTACACTGGCTTTTTTGTAGAAACTGTTACACATGCGTCAAGGACTCGACAAATGAGAGAATTTAGTCAACTCCTCTGGGCGCCAAACCCTTCTGGAATCCTACGTGTGCAGGCACAAGTTGTGGCGTAAGAGGCGGCAGGGAAAAAGAGCGATAAGCAATATTTGCTATGTACCAATTACACTGTTTTCGTCTGGCAAGCTCCGGATGTAGAAAAACAAACACGGCAGATCTCTTGTACCAGAACGATCAATTGTCACGCAGTAGGTAATTAAGCATGATGTGTCATACTGAAGTGTACAAGGAAGTTTATCTATTTTGAGTAGGTGCGACGGAGATGAAGAAGTCGAATATGTGTTATATTCCATTTTCTACATTTGACGCCATGCACATTGATTGAGAAGAGACAAGAAGTTCAAAAAATAACCAGAGTCACAATAACACCAAGTGATGCCCATGAAGATCCAAAGTCGATTTACACCCTTCACACCGCCGATACACCGCCTATCCAGGAGATGGACCTACGGTTCAACTTTGGGACAATAAGGAGCTGGCCGAAGTCATCAGCACTGAGGCAAGTTACAGACCTTGCGCACGTTCTGAGGCGCGAAGGTCTGGGGTTCACCAGTGCAGACGCGCTTGTCGCCCTCGTTATGACACTCAAGCGAGTCGACTTTGATCGCATTGCCGGACAGCCACTGGTTGCTGTTGTACTGTTAGTCATTGCTTGTGAGGTGACGATATTAGTAGACTTACCCTGAGCAGGTCCAGGAATGGGTGATCTGGTAGTAGGCTTCATCTTGAGGTCCACGAAGGTCGAATAGAAGACGACGGTTGGCGACCTGACACTCGTTGCTGTTGGGCACAGAGGTTCCAGAGCCGCTGCAATGAGCGCCGACCTGGACTGGGTCGTCGATGGTGCTGCCGGTGGGGAAGACAGACTTGAACGTAAAATCAACGCTTCCAGAGGTGGGAGAAGTGACTAGCTTGTAGTCTGAGATGGTGTAGGAGGTGGGAACGCAGCCTTCCTCGCCACGGCCGTTCATAGTAGTGGGAGCGGCTATGGCAGCAGCGGTGAACGCTACCGGGAGTATATTTGAGAAGTACATCTTGGTTTTGTGATGTTGTTTGTAGACAAAAGTGGAACTTGGTGTTGATGAGGCTAGGAAGTGTGGTGGTTGTTAGTCGCACCGAAATGGTAATATCAGGTTGACTTGGGAAGTTGGAAATTACTTGATTGAGACAAGGAGAAAGTAGAATCAGGAAGAGCGTCTGGAAATATATGCTCGAAACAAGCGCGTAAGCACACAGTCAACCGTCACTGTCCGCGTACTGTTGGAAGGTCAGCGGAGGCAAACGGGTAAGTGGGCAATAGAAACCTGCTCAATCAGACGCACGAGGAGCAGGTGGAGGGTAGTGAGCGAAATGTGGCTGTACAAAGCCAACATGACCAGTCCATGAGGCTAATCTGTTGGTTTGGTTGAGCTCTATCATAATCGAGGTAGCCTTGCGGCTGATGGCGCGATTGGACAGGCCTTGGTATAAGCTGAGCCCAGATGTTGGGTTGTACAACCAATACGTGAGCGATATATCAAGGGACTGGTATTGAAGACAAAGCGGCTATTACATGGCTTGTATCAAATGTCTCTGTTGGGAATACACAACCCCCCGTCATATAACGAATCTTTTGTGTAGTAAAGTCGGACTCGAGTTAGCCTTGACACCCTGGGTCCCGAGTACCCCTTGAGCTCTTAGCTTCTCTGAACGTTCTCGTGGTTAGAAGTATAGTTATGTTTGAACGTCCAATCGGGCGCGTGAGCGTCGTGACCATGCAGACAAAGACGACGGCGGCAGATAGATGGTGAGAGCTAATAAGGTACGCCCAAGACATCTGCGAACGTGACATTATCATCGGACATATTACGGTACGATGAAGCTTTCTTTGGCAGATGCCTGACATGCTTTCTCAGTGCAAGGGATCTTGAGCAGTGAGTAGTGATGGTAGGTGTTTAGGCAGGCGCAATAATAGTGCGTCATTGGCTAGGAAGCGAAAGACCAGCATGACACTCCCGCGGGGAGCATCGTCATTTCACATGAGCAAGTTGACTGCACTCCAACACAATGGACATCACGCCAATATTTAACCAGGTGCTCGCGAAGCACGATGCGCGTCCGATTGAGCCTCCTGTGTTTCGCGTCGAAGCCCTTGATGGCTTTGTAAAAGAGGCCTACCGCATTGTAGGCCACGTTGCGCGCGTGAACTTGAAGGTGAAAGCTAACAGCCACAGCGAGGTCACATTGCAAAGCTTCACACAGACTTGAAGTCGATACGACAGAGCTATCTCTCGACGGCACATCCCCCCCGCCGGAAGCAGTACGCGCGAGCAGGCGCAGCATCGGCCTCTGCAGACAAAGATGCCAAATACCTTAGCGACACGCAGCGCAACGAGATCGACGCCCAGGCCAAACTATCGATACATCAGCTGAAGGATGCGATTGAGAAGCTAGGGGCTGCTGAGCAGGTGAGGCAGGAGACGCAGACGCAGGTTGCCCTGAAGAAGCGCGCAAAGCAGGGCCTCGGTGCGCTTGGACGATGGGCAGCAGGCGGGGCAATCACAGCGAAGAGCGTCGAGGAGGAGATTGAAGAGGCCAAGGCGAATACGATCAGGGAACACCGAAAGGGCATATTGTGGACGTTGGATTTTCAGTTGGAGCAGTGCGTCCTGTTCCAGACGGACATGATGGAAATCAGGCACATGCGGGAGGTGGAGAAGAGCAAGAGCGTGTTGTACAAGACAAGGGCTACAGGACCAGCCAGCAGCGATTACCGTGGTATGGACGAGAGCCACAATGCTGGGAACAAGGCTGGGGATTATCGAGCCAAGTCGACTTATAACCCGGACGAGTCGAGCGCGGTGATTGAGAACCAGCTGGACGCAGAGCAGCTCCAGCTGTTTGCGCAGGAGAACCAGGACATGCTCAAGCAGTACGAGGACCAGCTCGACAAAGTCCGGTATGTGTTACGACACACTCATCTTGAACAGCTACTGACACGGGCAGTGCAACCGAAAAGTCGCTCATGGAGATCTCGGAGCTGCACTCGACGCTCGCGTCCAACCTCAGCATGCAGGAGACGCACATCAACCAGCTCATTGAAGACTCGTTCAACACAACGGAGAACGTTGGGAGTGGAAACAAGGAGCTCAAGCGCGCGACGGAGCGGGGCAGTACGGCGCAGAAGCTGTTCTGGGCTACAAGCATCTTCTGCACGACGCTTGTTGTGTGGGACTTGTTCATATGAGAGTGGAACAAGGTGCGGTGGTGTTCTTGGTAGATACCCAACATGTGAATATATCGCGCTACGTCCGTCAGTATCCGAGGCGCTCTGAGTGGACCAAGTTTCCAGAAGCAGCAATGGCAGCCATGTGGGGTCGGCATACTTGAACCAGCAGCCAGCCTGCAGGCCATGCAGACCCACAACGGTTCGTAGCTAGCTACAGCGGTAGCAAGTTTACTCATCTGGACGAAGTCGTGATGGTGAATGCCCTGCATGTGAGAAGGGCTGTACAGCTGACATCATTGCGGAAGCGGCAGCTTGTGCCTCGGCTTGCTTGCTCACACGACCCTGCGGCATACCTTCCGAGCTTCACCTCTATATAATGCGCTGGTCGGATGCGATGCCGTCGCCATGTCAGCCAACTTTTGTTCTACTGCATCGTCTCGAACCGGCCTCCCGGTTCTCCGCATCTCGCCTTCCAAAAGAAAACTGCGGGGTTAAGCGTGGGCTGGACACGGCTTCCCATAGTTAGGCGGCGGCAGCGGTGAAACGTAAACGTGGGAGAGCTCATACGCCGTAATCATCATGCCAGACTCACCTGTCCTCAAACCACTCACCTCCTCCCTCTCCCTCTCCACTGCTTCCACCCAAACTTCTTCCCAGACCCGACTCAACCAGATCTCCTCGCACATCGAACCAATGGCTGCTACCGCTTTCGACGCGAATGTCGTCCCCCAGGCGCCCGAAGACCCGCTGTTCGGGCTGATGGCTGCCTTCCGCCGCGACGAGGACCCCAACAAGGTCGACCTGGGCATTGGAGCCTACCGAGACGACAACGCAAAGCCCTGGATCCTGCCCGTCGTCAAGAAGGTGCGCCCACCACGCCTTCCTCTTGTCCTGGCTTACCCGCGACTGACCATGCACAGGCCGATGACAGACTCCGCGACGACCCCAGCCTCAACCACGAGTACCTCCCCATCGCCGGTCTCGCAGAGTTCACAACCGCCTCCCAGAAGCTAGTCCTCGGCGGTGACAGCCCCGCCATCAAGGAGAAGCGGGTAGGCACATCACTCCACCACGTCATGACTTGAGCTCACACCACACAGGTCGCCAGCTTGCAAACCATCTCCGGTACCGGTGCCGTCCACCTGGGCGCCCTCTTCCTCGCCAAGTTCTACAAGACCAAGAGCCAGCGAACCGCCTACTTCTCAGACCCCACATGGGCGAACCACTTCCAGATCTTCTCCAATGTCGGCCTCGAACACAAGACATACCCCTACTTCTCCAAGAAGACAAAGGGCCTCGACTTTGATGGCATGATCAGTGCTCTGCAGGATGCCGCCGAGGGCAGCATCATCGTACTGCACGCGTGCGCCCACAACCCCACCGGTGTCGACGCTACGCAGGAGCAGTGGAAGAAGATTGCCGACGTGATCAAGTCGAAGAAGCACTTCCCCTTCTTCGACACAGCATACCAGGGCTTTGCTTCCGGCGACCTCGCAACCGACGGCTGGGCAATCCGATACTTTGTCGAGCAAGGCTTCGAGCTCTGCATTGCGCAGTCATATGCGAAGAATTTCGGCCTGTACGGCGAGCGAGCAGGCTGCTTCCACTTCGTCACCTCTCCTTCCTCCGATGCTGAGAACACCATCAAGCGCATCGCCTCACAGCTCGCCATCCTCCAGCGCTCCGAGATCTCAAATCCTCCCGCCTACGGCGCCCGTATCGCCTCGACCGTCCTCAACGACCCTCAGCTCTTTGCTGAGTGGGAAGACAACCTCCGTACAATGTCCGGCCGTATAAAGGAGATGCGCAAGGCGCTTCGCAGCAAGCTCGAGGACATGGGCACACCAGGTACATGGAACCACATTACAGAGCAGATCGGCATGTTCAGCTTCACCGGCTTAACAGAGCAGCAAGTGCTGAAGATCCGGGAAGACTCGCATGTTTACATGACTAAAAACGGTCGCATCTCCATGGCTGGTCTGAACACGCACAACATTGACTACTTTGCCAAGGCTGTTGACAAGGTCGTGCGGGAGACGCAGTAGATAGCAACCTGTGAAGGTTCTTCGGTGACCTGACCGGGTAAGACACGGCGGGTACCGGGAATGTGTTACGAATATACGAGATAGAAGAGCTAGCATAGACTAAATCCTCACCTCATTCAGAGACTCGACTATGTTCTCAAAAATCATGAAATGGAGTGGAGATCCCAATTCGCTTGATCGAATACGCTAACAAATTAGTAGACACCGAAAACGAGGAATGTCCAGTTGATTAATGTCAATGTGCGCGTCTGGTTTTCACTTCGTATTGCAAAATGGTACAGTGGTACACTTGGATGAATGCATAGGGTATACAGCCCATGGACTCTGGCCACAACCAACTAAGCAACAATGTCAAATGCCGACGAACGACAGAAAGTTGCATGCTATGCACCCGTCTACTGAATGCCCTTGCTATACGTGAATCTTGCAATATTCACCCCAATGGTCCACCCCTTTCTTTTTCTTTCCTTCTCTCTAACCTTCTTCTCCTCGCGTTCCCTTACTTCATCGCTAGACTCGAGCAGGCTATCCCCACTGAGCCGTTTTAGTATGTCCATACTAGACGATGCTCTACGTAACATGTTCCTCTTTGGTAGCGGCGGGATCAAGTCGTCGATATTTGAGGTAATGGACGGCAAAGCAGTAATGTCCGCAGCCGAGGATTGCAGAGACGTTTTGCTTTGCTCAATGGTAATGTCTGGGTTCCGGCCTTGGAGGAATATAGAAGACGTGAGGATTGGGATGGAGTGCCCCCGAGTGTCTTCGCTATTGTCCTTTATGTAGCACCATGGCGACTCGCTGGTCCCTTGTAGTGGCAAGCTAAGCGCGCTACTGCTGTTTGACGAGTAGGCTGAGTGCTGATATGGCGGATATATTGGTGCGGAATGGTGATGAGGTCTATTGAAGTAATCCACGGAAATTAGATCTGGTTGGGCTTGTCCCGTTGGGAACAAGGGTCTGTCTCGAAAAGCCGGGTGCTCTGACAGTGGAGGTGGTGGATACGTTGGTGTTCTCGACCGTACGGGCGGAAGAGGCTGGAATGGCTGGACTATCTTATAAGGCATATCTGCTGTGCGTGGACGTCTCGTCCTTGTTGGTACTTTCAGACTTGCTTGTGATAAGGTTCTAGACGATTCCGATGGAAGACGTGGCGATACGGAGCGTGCGCGCGACTGAGTGGGAGTATTGCGAAGACGCAGTGATATGGCAGGAGGTGGTAGTTCTGGTGTTGACAGTATCTTCGGAGCAACTTTTTGCGGTGCATTCAACCAGTCTGGCGTAGCGCATACTGAAGCTACTGGAGCATCGGTCTTTAAGCTAGAATGCTTAACCTCGGCAGAGGTGAGAAGCTTCTCGATTGCCTCGCGCAAGTCCTGGGGATCGGGTTCGGCATCCTTGTCTGCAACGACCTTCTGGATATGAGTTACCTGTCTAGAGAGTTGTCTTGAGCGAGAACCATCGGATGACGCAGTGCTACTATTTGAGAGACCCGGTATACCGCTCTGGGGATGACTCCGTGAATCTCCAGGATGTTTTTCTGATAATGTTGGTACAGGAAAAGTTTGGGACGACCTACGCAGTGGTCGTATGCATGCCCATGGCGGCGATTCTTGCATGAGGTTGTAAATATCAGGCATTGCTGGCAGCGTATCCAAGCTTTCCAACTTCTTTGCGACCCATGGATTCTGGATACATCGGAGCTTCGAAAGATAGGCGGAACATGCTTGGGTATTGGAAAGTGGATGGCCGTAGTCGATCAAATCCTCCAACACCGTCGTGAACTCGTTATTAAAATCCTCGATGCTTACGTATTGATCAATGTGCAGGTTGAGGAAATGGCAGAATGCGTGGTGATAGCCAGAGAAGCTGAACACGCTGAATCGTTCATCTAACGCCTCGAGTATCTCCTGCGAGCTAAAGTTGGATGGTGGTAATGGTGGTCCGACTTCAAACAGCTCCAGCATCACTTCCTCTGCCAGCGAGAGAAAGATATCAAGCTTGACCTCTCGATCTTTCCGTACCCATGACCTTCGCTCTTCTAGCAAGCTCGGCTGCATGTCTTTCGTCTCCGTTACACAAATGGTCGAAGCTAGCCTTGGACTGGGCATGGGCATGGGCAAAGTGCCGTTGCAGTATTTCCAGGCATCCTTCGTTTCAAGCGCAAATTTGACGCTACGTCGCCAGCGAGAGTATTCCGGCCCTGTAGAGTCCAGTCTCAGAATGGGGACGCCTGGTAGGCGTGGAGAAGTTTGTAACTGCATTGGACTGCGTGCACCTGAATCGACGCAGGCGCGTATGCACTACTCAGAACGTGCGATAGAGTGAAGGACACACACAAGGGAAACAATCGTCGAGGAATCGACCACATTTGAACATCACCGCACCCCGCGATAGCCATCAGCAGAATCTTACCAGCGCATGGCCGCATGCACATCAGCCACGATGCCCCAGCTCTTTGTTCCAACGCCGGACTCGCACAAGGCGACCTCGGGCCAACCGTAGCTTGAGGTACATGGTCCCGTACCACCAGGATCCCAGAACAGCGTCGTACCATAGTACGTCCCGAGGCCCCTAACCTATACAGCCCATGGGATGATTTCGGTGCCGTTTGCATCCAACGTATTCCCTGGAGTGTCGCGGACACCTTGGCATGGGCTACAGTCAGCAGCAAAGACGTCGGGTGCTAAGGTCCTGTAGGCTGCATGGCGCAAGCGAATCAAAGAGATGCGACGCGAGGCTCAAAGAGAATTACTGGTTGTCGGGATCCGACGGGGAGTATCTTTGTCGCCTCATTTTTAACTCCGAAAGGTGACGACGCGGCACTTTGCGCGATCAAAGAGACAAAAGCTTATTGCCCGCATCGACGGACTTGCGCCTTTTGCCACGCATGGAAAACTTGAATTGGGCGACTTGTCGCATCGAAGAGGGCAAGGACATATGCGGAGTCAAAGTCTTCCTCGAGGTCTTGAGGTATAGGAACTAGGCAGGAGATGGTGGAGACGAGGCGGACGGTGAGTGGTGTTTTGACAAGCCAATTTACTGCGTCCTACATGCTGGGATTTGGTATTGAATCTATAAGCACAACAATTTGGTATCTTTCCATCGAAGTACAAGTACTCGATAACAACAACCGGGGCGTTGTGGCGGAGTGGTTATCGCGCAAGACTAGAAATCTTGTTCCTTCGGGAGCGTCAGTTCGAATCTGGCCAACGTCGTCTTTTTTGCGGGGTGAGCGGATGGGGAGAGGTGCTTGCGCTGCTCTATATTTTTTGCGCTCCTCTGTTCTATACAAAATGCGAGAGAAACAGCGTACCTACGCATTTTGACCCTGCCAAGCCTTAACCTAGCACCTTCACACTCTTCTACAGCTTGAATGCTTTGTGACACTTGACTCACTCAATGCCACTGCGACCCTTTCCATATCCTTTCCGAGTGGGCACTGACATCTGCCATGTCCTACGATTACGAGCCGTTCTCATGCGCCACCATCGCGGCGAGCCCCTGCGACCTCTACACCAATACTTGAGACGAGTTCTTACCGATCACGAACGTCAGTACTTCTGGAACCGTTTTGGACCAGAAGAAACAATCTCTAAGAGGATGGATTCAGTCTCCAAATTCCTCGCTGGCAGGTGTGTACGAGTGATGCTCTAGATACGATCAGAAGGCTTACGCAATAAAAGATTTGCGGCGAAGGAAGCTTGTCGCAAAGCATGCAGTCATCTAGATATCGATGAGAGAGGATTCAAGCATATTATGATTCTACCGGTTACCTCGGTGGATCGCAGCGAGCACCAGTCAGCACGACCCCAAGGGTTGATACTCGATAAAGTGTATGACACAGAGAGCTCTGATGATACACGTGTTGACGTGAGCGGACTTGATGGACAGTTGTGCGAGATCAGTATCAGCCACGATGGAGACTTTGCAACTGCTGTTGCTATCGTGCCGGTTGTGGAAACAGCGTCGGATTCTTGAGTTCGATAGATTCAGGAGCTGTTGGTGCAGTGTGATTCTTCGTCAAACGGTGCTGTTAGATACATCAACGTCCCACAAGATAACCAGCCAACAGTAAAGTTGTGGATTCGCTACCAAATATACGATCCACGATTCTGGAAGGCATAATCTGGGACGATGTAAACATCAGATAGTTCATTCCACGGTTCTGGTATTAGGGTTGTTGCCTAGTAGCACGACCACTTGTCCGCACCGAAACTCTCTCATTCTCTCACACACGCGCACACAATCTTAATGCAAGTTCTGAATCTATAAAAAATTCAGCAGCTCATTCGGACACAGGACAGCAACATGACTACCAACACAAAATCTGCGTTTGGCAAAAACAACATCTTTGCGCCTGAATCACCCTCAATATGGCAGCACTTGCAGCGAAACCCGCTACTCATAACCGCACAATGGCTGTACGCCCATCGGCCGCCCATGGTCATACCACGACCCACCTTCGGTACACCAGTAAAGGTTGTGTGCATTTCAGACACCCATAACGAGAAAATACATGTGCCTAATGGCGACATTCTCATTCACTCTGGGGACATGACCATCAACGGTACGTTCGAAGAAATCCAACTACAACTCGGTTGGCTAGACAGTCTGCCACATCACCACAAGATTGTAATAGCTGGAAATCACGACTTGTTTCTCGATCAATCCTTTTTCCACCGCAACCCACGACTTGCAAGCCCAGACAATGAACGTAAAATGAAAGAGCTGAAATGGGGAAGTGTGGTGTACCTGAACAACGAATCAAGGACATTCGACATCCGGGACCGCACCGTTCGGGTCTACGGCAGTCCCATGACACCACAATATGGCAACTGGGCGTTTCAATATCCAGAGAACGAAGACAAATGGTGCAACACTATCCCAGAATCAACAGACATACTCGTAACGCATGGCCCGGCCAAAGGACATCTCGATTCTTCGCCTTCGAATCCTACGTATTTGCAGGGCTGTGCTCATCTCCAACGGGAACTATGGCGTGCCAAACCACGACTACACGTTTGTGGGCACATCCACTCAGCGAGAGGAGTTGAGCGAAGGAGCTGGGAATGGTTGGAGTGGAGTTATGACACTGTGTGCCGTGGCGAAGGACGCGTTGGCACTATGCTGATAATTCTTGCTAGTTGGGTCGGGGCTTGGGTACTGTATGCGTTGGGAAGAGAGAACAGAGGGGTTATGACGAGTGTCAACGCAGCGGTTGTCAGGGACTGGGGTTTAGCTGAAAGCAAAAAAACTCTTATCGTAGATCTTGTCTAGATCGTGTGGAGATGACTGCGGAACCATGTCAAATGTTAACATCTTTCTCGTCCAGCAAACGTGCTGTGACAACGAAGCCTGCGTGGCTTCTCGCAGCCCAACCTGGCTGTTCACGCAGCATTATAGGTATGAACCAGCCATGCTTAGAACTTCTGGAAGCCAACAAGAACAGGAGATGCCAGAGCAAAAAGTGGAGATTGGGTTCCTGGGTTCATGCGTGCCGTCATGCCCCACCGATCCTCGCGACAGCGATACAGAACACGTTTCGGGACGTGGAGCCCATGAACAGTCACCCTGCTGGATGTGGATCTGACAGGAAACAAACACGTAAGTTGGGAAAAGACAAAGACAAACTATGGAGCAGACGGTGGTTAATGTAAGAGAGTGGGAACAAGAATTGCCACCAGACCGAGGCAGAGTATAGAAGAAGGAACATAGCATGAACGCAGTGACCGTGCCCAATGTAAGTGCGGGGCTATATATCTGTTTGTTAAGAGTTGTTCTTTTTTCAGTTGGCGGGAGCGGTTTCGAAACGTTCAAGCGTATGCCGGCAGTCCCGATATGTCGAACGATACTTGGCATAGGGAGGCCTACCGCTCAGTACAGCTCTAAGGCGCATGTGATAAACCAGTTTCGATCGAGATGTAATGGCATCTTCGTCCGCTGTGACGGAAGTCTCCTTGACCTGGCACTACGGTTAAGTTGGCGACTGACGGTATAGCAAGCGACGGAAAGGGGAATCCCCGTAGCCCGATGCCACGGTACATTGGCTAGACCATTGGATCGGCCAAGGGCTTGTCTACAGTGAGCTCTGAATATTGGTGCCTTCCTCGTACAGTTGCACACAGAAGTTTGAAACGAGTCACGGACAGCGAACCTCGGCAACCACGATGCGGGAATGTTTGTAGAGGGTCGGCATCTACCAATTATAGGCGTGTGGGAAAGTGAAACGCTAGAGCAGGCGATGTGAAGTTGAGGCGTCGATGCAATGGCGTCAGTCATGGCCAGGCTCAGTCGAAAGATGAAGGACAATCCAGTTAGAAAGTACCGGTAGGCTGACCAGGCACGGACAGGGGCTGGTGGCAAGCATGGTACTTCCTGCCTAGGGCAGCTGTAAAGTTCATGTCGTTCCCTGGTGCGCAAGCGTGGAGGCGGCGAGCAGAAAGACGAAACCAGCCGTCTGCCCTAGGACGAACTTTGGCGAGTCGTAGAGACGAAGATGTCAGCGAAAGGCAGATGGGCGTCAAAAACGATAGCGCGGCCAGAGTAGCAGTTGGTCGCACTTCGGAATGACTGTGGACACGAGGCGAGATGTGTGGCTGCAGGCGATACACGGGCCTGCATGCCTTGAATGTCAGCCGGTAGAGACGTTGGCATTACAGTCTGCAGGGCCACTGGGAAAGTCCCGCGATATTGCTTCTGGAGGCAGATAATCAAAGCATGTCCACGGGTGCAGGTGCAGCATGAGGCGCGGTGGTGAGCGATCATCATCATTCGCATGCGAGTGGGACCCGTGTTATGCCGAAATGAAGGGCTGGGCAAGGGCAGGGGCGGCGCCATCTCTCATTGGCCGCCTGATGGTCGCTCCTTCGCCAGAACCCTCCGCATCGACAGCTACGAGGACGGCGCTGTAAACGAACAGCAAGACTGTGGAGTTTGCTGCATTCACGCTCGTCTGGGTTTTTGTGTTGCACGGTAGTGTCGCGGGCAAGGGATATAGTGTGTTGGTCGATCAAGTAGGATGGATAGCCGGGGTATATATTACCCATTGCTAGCGCGGTTTGAGCATACAGCCGTCTGCACGACCAGGGCCTCGCGGCCAGATGCAAATTAATCCACTGGTGGCATGCGCAATCTGCTGCTGATGGGGACACAATGTCCACTTGGCTTTCTTGTTGTCGTCGTCTTCGTTTCTGGAGTCTCCCGTCTCCTCTTGTAAAACATTTTGCATTGAATGCACCGCCAACGTCAATACCGGACTACTCCCTCTCCAGCAAGCGCCGTTCTATTTTGCGACTATCGAATGCAGAGGCCCGCCGTCCGAAACCCTGCCTTTCCCCGTCGTGGACGCTCGCACTAGTGGTGAGCAGTTGGTTCTCCTGCAGGGAGCACACGTTAGCGACTCGCAGCCCATTGCGCTTGCCCTCTTCCGCCCGCGACCCCTGCCTGCCACCGTTTTGGCCTGGACACCGGGGCGAGTGCTGCTGCTGACGCTTGCCCTGTCCTCCTCTTCTTCTTTCACTACCCGTCGCCCACGCCCCCAAGCCGACTTCTTCTCCACCACCCGCCGACAATCCCCCCAACGGGCGCATTCATATATCGACTTTGCGCATTCGCCGCCCGTGGCTCCCCGTGGCTCTCTCCTCCGGCCGACAAGCACCACTCTCCACGTCGCCCCAGGCCTTACGCTCCCTTGCACGATTCTCCGAATCACGACCACTCTTTCAAAAGCAATATCGCTCCATCGTCGCAATCACTAGTAATTTGACCGTTGCCTATCAACGTCGCCGCCGCTCGTTTTAGCATCGCACACGTACGAAGACGCGCCCCAACCCCGCTGCACCCAACCACGACGCGCACGTCCACCCGCTGCTCAGAACAAAGAAAACGCTCCCGCTACGAAAGCCTGCTTAGGCGACAGCAACGACCACCGCTTCGACCGTCCGCTACGCTTCTTTGTTGCGCATCTGCTTCCTGGCTGGCACCCACGTGTGAACCAACCTCTGCTCGGCCCTGGTCCACTACCGCGTGCTTCTAGACCGCGCGACGACTATTCTCCGGTACCCGTCAGCGTCAAACATGACAGCATAGGCCCGCGACCAAATCGACTACATTGCGACGACGCTGTAACCGCATCGCCATCTATTCCTAGCTGCATCGACAGTCTAGTGAGTTGTCCGCTCAGCGACGCGCCTTCTTCGTCGAGACTGACAGCCTACAGGTCCATTCTTTACCCACCATTGACATTCGTCAAGTACACTCGTTTACCAAAGCCCTGACAGTATGTTTTCTGACTTTGCCTGCAAACCTCATATCTGACAGCAGCAGGCTTTTACGTATACCACCTTCGACACCCTCAAGACACTTAATTCTACTTAACCGGGGAATATAATCGTAAACATGCCACGCTCAGCCACAGTATGGGCCGCCGCCCTTGTTCTGGCCAGTCTTTCTGGCTCTCCGCTCACGACAGCGGAGGCCATGCCTGCACCAGGACCTCAACAAACCCAAGGCCGTCCCCGATACTACTTTCCCAGGCAAGTGAAGCGACAGATCGTAACCAACTCGACTACCCCGGCAGCCACTCCGTCCCCGTCTCCTGAGCCAGAGTCTAGCAGCTACTCCTCGCAACTCACATCGCGTCAGATGGACTTCCCGTCCTTCATTGAATCGCTTTTCCGTGGCAGTTCTGACACTTCGGCTCTTGCCTCTTCAGACTCACTTATCAGCACCAGCGATGTCGACACAACTAGCACCCTGACTTCCACACTGGACGATCTCCCAACCACACTGCCTGAGAGCTCTTCGTCTGCTTCTGCCTCGGAAAGCAGTGTCTTTTCCCCGCCTCCTCCACCTCCAGCACCGTCAAGTTCCAGCATTGGATCATCGAGCCAAGTTCAGGAGTCCATCCTTGTGCCAACTTCTGAGGCTGCTTCAACCCCCACTCCAGAGGCCCCGCAAAGCAAGAAACCAGCCGAAACCCCCATTGTGGAGAACCCTCCTCAAGTTGGCTCCACTAGTGGTCTCCCAGAGACCATCATCCAGCCTACTCCGTCACCTGAGCCTATTCCTGAGCCTGAACCGACCACTGTTGTTTCCTCATCAGCTGCTCAGTCATCTGCACCACCAGCGGTAGAGATCGGTACCACCAGCGGTCTCCCTGAGACCATTGTGCAGCCTACCTCCACAGCACAGAGCAGCCCTGCTTCCAGCACCAAGGCCGACAGCCCTATTCTGGGTCCTATCCTCGGCTCAACCGGTCTTCTTCCGGACGTCATTGTCCCGCCAACCTCCTCTGCCCCGAGCTCAGTTGCTGCCACATCTTCTGCCGTCGACAACAGTCCTGCTTCCTCTGACGTGCCCAGCGTCGTCGTGCCGCCTACATCCACTGTTCAGAGCGTAGCGGCAACTTCGACTGGAGGATTACCTGATGTGATCGTGCAGCCGTCGTCTCCCATTGTTGGAAGTGAGCCAGCTTCCACAGGTGGCATTCCTGAGACCATTGTACAGCCAACTTCAGCCATTCAGAGCTCGGCTGTTGCTTCTACTGGAGGTCTTCCAGAGACCATTGTTCAGCCGTCTTCATCGGTGGTAAACAACGCGCCCGCCTCTTCTGGTGGTATCCCTGATGTTGTCGTACAGCCAACTTCCACTGCGCCTACTTCCAAGCCTCCTGGTCTCGAGAACACTCCTGCTTCTACAGGCGGATTGCCCGATGTTATCGTTCAGCCATCATCGTCGGTCGTGGAGTCGCCTTCCGCGACGCCAACTTCTGCCGGTCTTGTTGGCGGACTTCTCTCATCGCTCCTCAACCCTATCATCGGCTCTACTGGCGGAGTTCCCACATCTGTCGTTCAGCCTACCCAGGCCATTTCGTCGACCGTGCCTCAATCATCGGAGCAGGCTGTCGGTTCTACTGGAGGCATTCCGGAGACTATCGTGACACCCACTGCAGCTCCTGCTTCTTCTGCTGCACCAAGCTCTCCTGATGCATCAAGCTTCCTTGGGCCTTTCATCGTCCCCGGATCGACTGGCGGTATCCCTGAAACGGTTGTTCAGCCCACCTCTTCCGCTGGCCTTGTTGGTGGTCTCCTTTCATCTATTCTTCCACCTGCGCCTACTTCGCAAGTTGGCTCTACTGGTGGCCTCCCTGAGACCATTGTACAGCCTACTTCAGAAGTTGGTTCTACCGGAGGCGTTCCCGAGACCATTGTGCAGCCTACCTCATCTGGCGGTCTGGTCGGTGGACTCTTGTCTTCCCTTCTCGCATCCGAAGCTCCTGCAGCCACCACCCAAGTAGGCTCTACTGGAGGTATTCCCGAGAGCGTAGTCCTTCCTACAAGCGTCGCTGCGTCTGGTTCAAGTGGATCGCCGCTTTTGCCATCCTCTGGCATCGTTATTGGAATTACCACCGCTCTAGGCACGGGAGAATCTGCTGTTGCCACTCCGACACCGACTTTTCTAAGCTCTGGTGCCATTCCCACCTCAGAGACTGCAGCTACCAGCTCTGGAATCCTCGATGTTCCAGGTCTTCTCTCTTCGGTTGTCTCGGAATTGCCTGGTGTTTTGCCTACTGGTAGCGGTCTCGCGTCCACTGCACCCACTCCTGTAGCGTCTGCCAGTGCGTCTGGTCTCCTTCCTCCAGCTCTTTCTTCACTCTTGTCATCGGCTGTTTCGGATCTTCCAGCATCTGCTTTGCCCAGTGCTTTGTCGAGCCTTCTATCTGGATTAGACTCTGCTCTCCCTACTGGCACTGGTCCTGTCATCATCCCGACCATCTTGCCTTCCAGCTTGTTGTCTTCGGGTATCCTGCCTTCGTCTGGAGTATTGCCATCCTCGGGACTGCTTCCTTCCTCTGGCGTCCTGCCATCTTCCGGCTTGTTGCCCTCTTCAGGTGTTCTGCCATCTTCAGGCCTGCCAATCTCTTCTGGCATTCTGCCTTCATCTGGCGTGCTTCCCTCTTCAGGCCTGTTGCCATCTGGTGCTGTACCTACCCCTACTTCTGAGGCATTGTCTTCGTCGGGCGTACCTGCTTCTGAAAGCGTCGTGCCCACACCCTCAGAAACTGCCAGCATTACACCTTCTGCGACGCTCTCTGATACCATCCTGCCTTCGGGCACGATAAGCTCAGGCATCACACCCTCTGGTACAGGTTCCGTCGGAACATCTGCGTCAGCAGTCCCAACCTCGTCAGGTAGCTCACTCAGCGTCCCGGCCTCCGAAGAGCCTTCATCGGCTACTTCGACCGCGTCTCCTGGCAGCGCCGCGCCTACTCTGAGTGCATCAGGCTCTACCAATGCTACACTCAGCGAGGCTCCTACATCAGTGTTCAGCACCGGCTCCGTTGTTCTGCCGTCTTCGACAAAGTCCACGCCACCGCCAACATCCGAGACACCTACATCGACCAAGAGTGAAACTCCTTCTCTCGTCATCCCGGTGACACCAACCCCCACCAAGACGGCACCACCGATCTTTTCCCTCAAGCCAACCGCTACAGACAGCGCAACTTCTCTCGTCGTCGGTACTAGCATCATTGTAGAGGCCTCCACAATGCCTACTCCTAGCCCTACTGCCAGCACTATCCCATCGAACCTGCCAAGGATGATTGCGCCACCCGGAGGAGTGCCCACAGAGATCCCTCAGAACAGCTTCATGGGCCAAGTGTGCTTCAAGTGGCCGTTGAACTACCCATTCGTTTCCGCGAACGACGGTGGACAGCAGATTTTCCATTACTTGCCTCTGGCTATTGCTGATGGTTTGAACATCTCATCCACCGAGGTCAAGAACTTCGGACTCAAGCCACTGAACACTATGGAGTACCAGGGTTTCATCACTACGCTGGCTTTGTTCACTATCCCCGCGGACTTGCAAACAAAGCTCGCAGCTCAGCTTCGCAACCCGGCGGATGCTTTCTGGAACAACAAGAACTCGACAGTCAACGACCTTACTACCTTGATCAATACCGCATGCCCTCTTCCTGCCGGCAAGCTTCCAGGTGACGGCAGCCCTGCCAACGCGGCCGAAGAGCCAGGCGCCACCTCTACTGGCGGTTCTGGTGACGGTGGTGCTATGGGTGGTGATATCGGCGCCAGCCGCACTGTGAACAAGACCAGTGCCATTGTTGCCAGCAGTGCCATCGTCGGTGCCATCGCGTACGGTGCGGCCATGTTCTTCGTTGCTCGCCGATACAGGAATAAGCGTATGGCCCACCAGCGCGCAAGCTCTGTGCCCAGCACAAGCCGCATGACTTACGGTTCGATTCCAGGCGGCGCTGCTGCTTGGATGCACGGTGCTCGAAATGGTCGGATGACGCCTGGTAGTCGCGGCAGTCAAGGCAGCAGTAGCACTCAGGGACGCAGTGTTCGCACACAACAGATTTCTGCTCCAGTCATGGCCGAGAACTCTCTTGGCTGGAACTAAGGACTGCTGATTTGCTCTTGCTCACTGAGACTGCGGTCGTACTATATACCGGACGTGAGTAGCTCAGCAACACGCCTTGATGATGGGAAGCCTTCCGATGTGTTTACACCACGGCAACACGCTTTGTCTCATATCTACGACCATCTGTCGTACCGACCTCATCCAAGCTAGTATCTTGACAGGATCTAGCCGCAAACCATCTCTCTCTCGTCACTATCATTCCAACACGTTCGCTCAAACCACCATAAACTTACACACTATACTTTAACATATATTCTCCTTTCACTGTATTTCTCTTCTAAGATACCAGTCTATGCTTGCGGACAAGCTAGACCGTTTTTTTTCTCCTGTCGTCGATTTGTCGATATATGGAATGGCCATATTTGCCATGGGTGGAAGGTTTGGAGTGTAGTCAGAATCTTCATGATGCGTCGTGCATGCATAGGCGGCAGCGCAGGGGGCATTTGTGGGGAGGCTGATGTTCCGAGTATATAGTTGTAGGGATGGAATTGAAAAATCTACTTACTCGCTGAGAATTACCAATATGTGAGGAAAAGGCGTGAGGTTTCGAGGCCCTCTGTGGCCGCCACGTTCATGGATGGCTTGGGCTGGGCATCAGCGACAGAGGTTGACCTTCATAGTTTAACTCGTTGTGATTCCTTTGCTGGCGTCTGATGTACAACCGTGCAACTAGCGGAGGCGGTATTGTTCGCATTTCGTCTGCCATCGATGGTTTTCCGAACATGCCCTGTTGGGAAGTAGCGACGTGAACCCTGTCGGTGTCTTGGCGCAGCTCCGCCGAACATCGAACACATTGCGGAGGACAACAGGCAGTTAGACGCCAACTCTTCCCGTGACTAGCTTTTCCTCTTTGTCGACCATATACGCAAGCGATACCCGTTCCCGTATCCTCGAACCCTTCGGCGTCTGCCTGCGCATTTGTGGACTGGCTACTAAAGCCACGTTCCCATAATCCACCCCTCCGCAACATACACACCTAAGCTACAACAATGCGTCTGGACGTAAAGGTACGCAACAATGCGCTATGGCATGTCTTTGGAGACAGAGGTGTATCTAACTCGACTGTGACTACAGAGGCAGCTCTTCGCGCGGTCGGAGCGTGTCAAAGGTAAGCAGACTCGACATACGCACATCAACCACCAGAGGGTAAACTGACATATCATAGGCATTGGTAGGAACAGCACCTCTACCCAAAACATTCGCCGCTAAACCTGACCAAAGACTTTCATCCAACCGAGCCATGGATCCTCACGACCTTGTATAGCGGTATGCATAGCTGGAAACCCCCAACATAGGCAGAGCGCTGACGGAAGCAGGCCACGTCCACATCTGGTCGTACATATCGCAATCCATCGTCAAGACCTTCGAGCTCACCGATGTACCCGTACGCGCCGGTCGCTTCATCGCGAGGAAGAATTGGATAGTAGCAGGCAAGGGCCCAAACACCCGAATCCTCAGCAAGAGAGGCTGACATGGCGGTCCAGGTTCCGACGACTTCCAATTGCGCGTCTACAACTACAACACTTCGGAGAAGGTCACATCTTTCGAGGCGCATCCCGATTACATTCGCGCAATTGCTGTGCACCCAACACAACCCTTCGTCCTTACCGCCAGTGTGGGTAACAATTTCCAGCAACACAAGGATCGAGCTAATGTAGCTTCAGGATGACATGACAATAAAGCTGTGGGATTGGGACAAGTCATGGAAGTGTATGTGGACCTGCTGTGCCACACATCATGGCGTATGCTAACACATTGCAGGTGTCCAAGAATTCGCTGGTCACCAACACTATGTTATGGGTATCGCGATAAATCCTAAAGACCCAAACACATTCGCATCTGCGTGTCTCGACCGAACCGTCAAGATATGGTCGCTCGGCAGCTCCACCCCCAACTTTACCCTCGAGGCGCACGAGACCAAAGGTGTCAACTTCATCGACTACTACCCGCAGTCAGACAAGCCATACCTCCTCACAACCTCCGATGACCGGACGGTGAAGGTCTGGGACTACACCACAAAAGCGCTGATTGCGACACTTGAAGGCCATACTTCCAACGTCAGCTTCGCCGTATACCATCCCGAGCTCCCTGTCATCATTTCTGGATCTGAAGATGGTACCATTAAGATTTGGCACTCTTCGACATACCGGTTGGAGCAGTCCCTAAACTATGGCTTGGAGCGCGCATGGTGCGTATCCTACCAGAAAGGAAGGAATGGTGTCGCGCTCGGATTCGATGACGGCGCTGTCGTCATTACCATGGGTCGTGAAGAGCCGGCAGTCAGCATGGATGGTAGCGGAAAGTTGCTTTGGGCGAAGAACAACGATATCCTCACATCGGTGATCAAGGGCAGCGATCAGCTCAAGGATGGAGAGCGCCTCTCCCTTCCCAGCAAGGACCTTGGCTCAACTGAGCTATACCCGCAGGCACTACTGCACTCGCCCAATGGACGGTTCGTCGCAGTATGCGGTGATGGCGAATACATCATCTACACTGCGCTTGCTCTTCGTAACCAAGCTTTCGGCAGCGCACTTGACTTTTGCTGGGCCTCGAAAGAACATGACAAAGACTACGCCATCCGGGAATCCTCTACCAGTGTCAAGATATTCCGCAACTTCAAGGAGCGGAGTGTTCTGAATGTAGGCTTCTCAGCCGACGGCTTGAGTGGCGGCGTACTCCTTGGTGTGAAGGGTCAAGGTGGCATTGGCCTGTTCGACTGGGACTCTGGTGCTCTGGTCCGACGGATAGAGGTTGAACCCAAGAGTGTATACTGGTCTGAGAGCGGGGAGCTGGTCACTTTGGCTACAGAAGACACCTTCTACGTGCTACGTTACTCCAGAGAGAACTACCTGGAGGCGGTGCAAAACGGCGAAGTAGACGAGGACGGCGCCGAATCTGCATTCGAGGTTGTGTGCGACATCAACGAGAGGTATGTTCAAAGGGGACATGATTGAAACCTTGAGACTAATGATAAAACAGCGTTCGCACTGGTACCTGGGTTGGAGACTGCTTCATCTACACAAACAGCACCAACCGCCTGAACTACCTTGTTGGCGATCAAACATACACCATCTCTCACTTCGACTCACCACACTACGTCCTTGGGTACCTACCCCGTGATTCCAGGATTTATATCGCCGACAAGGATGTCAACGTGGTTTCTTTCGCCCTGTCTCTGGCAGTTGTTGAGTACCAAACGCTTATCCTCCGAGGTGACCTGGAAGCCGCTGAGGAGACGCTTCCTTCTGTGCCCAAAGACCAAAACAACAAGATTGCTCGGTTCTTGGAAGGTCAAGGCTACAAGGAAATGGCGCTCAAGGTTGCCACCGATCCTGAACACCGTTTCGACCTTGCCTTGTCTCTTGGCGATTTGCAGCAGGCTGTTGAGATTGCTCGCGAGCAAGACACAGAACACAAGTGGAAGACTGTCGGCGATGCTGCCCTAACAAACTGGGATGTCAAGCTCGCACAAGAGTGCTTTGTGAAGGCCAAGGATCTCGGCTCTCTCCTTCTCCTTTACAGTGCGACGTCTGACACGGCCGGTCTTCGTGAACTTGCTGAATTGGCTGAGAATGCCACAGCAAACAACGTAGCCTTCTCTGCGTTATGGCAGGTCGGAGATGTCCAGGCGTGTATCGACCTACTCGTCAAGACCAACCGTTTCGCCGAGGCCGTCCTCTTCTCCCAAACATACAAGCCAAGCGCGACGGCTGGCCTTGTCAAGCAATGGAAGGAGTCTCTGGAGAAGGAGAACAAGACCAAGGTTGCTAGACTCCTTGGCGCGCCACCCCAGGACGGCGAGGGCGATGCCGAGATGTTCCCTGAATGGGATGAGTACTTGCGATTGGAGAAGGAAGGAGGCACTGTGGAGGATCTTTTGATTCAAGAAGACGAGGCAGAAGCAGAGGACGCGGACGAGGAGATTGCTGCCGATGCTGAAGAAGAGGAAGATGAAGAAGAAGAAGAAGAAGAAGAGGATGACGAGGAAGAAGAGAGTGAGGAGGAGAAGTAAATGTGCAAGTAAAGTGGTGTCGTGGTTAGTGGATGCATTCTAGCTGCAATTGGGCTTTTTGTCGTGTGGTTGCTACACGTAGCGTACGTACAGTAACGGAAAATGATACAAAGATATAGATGTTTAGCAAGCAGATGTCATGATCAAAGTTGTGATTGATTTGTTGTAACATGATATGATGTGACGTGGTATCGCCTCTCTGGTTGGAGACGTATATCTAGCCCATGATAGTAACGCCGCCCATATATACGTTCGTGTCGTCTTGGTAACATTCCAAAATGTACAAACATTTTACAAATACTTGTCCCATGCCAAACATGGGCAGAAGACTAGCTTTACCGCACGACGGCCTCTTCGTTGGCCGCGCCTTGGTATGCCGAATCGCGGAACCTGTCCTCGCCGCTCGCTGTGCTTTCACTGCTGCTCGCTTCCTCGGACACGGACTCCTCAGACGTAGTGTGCACTGTGCTGCGTACGCGTGCGTTCATCTCCTCGCGTGTATCGTCAATGGACTCCATCTCTCGCAGGCCCTTTCCGCGACCAAAGAAGTCTTCTGTACGCAGTCCACGCACATCGCTCTGGGCCATTCCTTTACTGCTCCTTAGGGTGCCGTCTGCCTTCTTTCTCCTGATGTACTCCCTGACTGGGCCCATGGCCGCGTCCCTACATGCCTCTTTGATGTCGGAACCGCTCATTCCAGCCGAAACACGAACCAGATAGTTCAAGTCAAAGTTCTGATGGTCGATTTTTGTGCCGCGCAGGATGAGAGAGAAGATGTTGTGGCGTTGGGTAGCTGAAGGGAGGGCAACGGGGAACTTCTTGGGCATGCGACGGAGGATGGCTTCGTCGATGTCTTGGATGCGGTTTGTGGCGCCGAGGATGCATATCCGCTGGGGAGTCGATGTGCCGGAGGAGGTGCTGGAGGCGAGGCCATCCCAGTGGGTCATGAATCTGGGGGGAGGGTTAGTCTTGATTTGGTCGCAAGTTGGACGAGACGGTACTGGAGAAGGGTAAACGTACTCGGCCTTGACCATGCCGCTGGCTTCGTGTTCGCCGCTCCTCCTCTGTCCGAGAACTGCGTCAATCTCGTCGATGAAGACGATGCTTGGTTGCAGTTTCCTTGCCAGACTGAATACCGCGTTGACGAGCTTGTTGCTGTCGCCGTACCACTTTTCTGTCAGAGTCGAGATGTGCAGGTTGATGAAGCAGGCGCCCGATTCGTGCGCGAGGGCTTTTGCAAGCATAGTCTTTCCGCAACCGGGAGGGCCGTAGAGGAGGACGCCGCTGGGTGCGCTGAGGAGCGAGGAAGAGTGCGAGTAGAGGTGGGGCATGGTAAGGGGGTAGATGACGGATTCCTTGAGTTCGTCGATGATGGAGTCGAGGCCACCGATATCTGCGACGTGTTAGCCCATGGGCCAAGCTTGAAGGAGCTTGTAACGCACCCTCGAAGCTTACGGGAATCTCTTCAGGCGCAACAACCTCCATGGCAATCGTCTGTTCGTAGGTGCTCAGGTTGAGGTCCTGTATCCTCGGCCGTCTGGGCCGGGATTCTGTGTCGTCGTCCTCGCTATCGTACTCGCCATAGCTTTTCCGCCGCTTGCTGGTGAGGATGGCGTCGAGTTTACGCGTCGCAGCAGAGGCTTTGGCGCGGGCTTCTTCTTTTTGTTGAGCCTCCGGGTCGAGGCGTGTGAGGAGGTTGCGAATGACGAAGTAGGCTATCAGAGGCTACCGAGGCGTCAGAGGGCAGGGCACATGTGGGGAGGACACGGCGCATGCGTGGGAAGGGACGTACTGCAGCAGCTGCCATGAGGATGTCGGGGAGATAGCCGGTGAGGCTACTCTTCTTATTTGAGCTCATGGTGCCGGGTTTCCGCCTTCAGCGGTGCTCTGTGGTATGGATCTGGCGTGGAATCGTGCTCAAGAAGCAAAAGTCGGCTCTACGTGTTGCTGCAGCGAGCGTGGTCGATGCCAAAACTAAGCTTCAGTCCAGGAACCGGCCCGCCACGACCATGGAACCTGCAGCCGCGGCTGCATTCACCTCCGGCGTCACACGAGCTCCGCTCCGCATTTGAACGTCACCATTCACACACAACAACTACACTCACAATGGCTGCCATATACAAACCTACCGAAGCGATTGCACTGCTGCGTCCAACTTTGGTCCTGCCGCGCATACATGCCTCACAGCGGAGAGCGCATATCGGGCGCATCGCCTTCTCCACCACCCACCATGCACAAGCTACACACAGCTCGACGAGCAGTCCGCCTCCAAAACCACAGAGGAAATCCATTTCCTTGACTGGCGACACGGGCCAAGTCCGATGGTCGGAGCTATCGCCAGGCGAAAAAGCAGTGCGGACTACACAGCAAAGTTTCAACTTGGTAGTAGTCCTGGTGGGCATAGTAGCAACAGTAAGGTTTCCCCTTCACCCCGCCTCTCTCTGCGGGCGCAACACTGACAAAATATCAAGGGCGGCGTTGGCTACTTTCTCTTCTCCGATGTCTTCAGTCCCTCCTCCAAGACCGCCTACTTCAACCGCGCGACAACTATGATACGCCAGGACGCCCGATGTCAGAAACTCCTCGGCCCTGGCGCTGAAATTGCTGCATTTGGTGAAGGGTCTTGGTCGCGATGGGCGCGCAATCGCTACCTCAGCAGTACCCAAGAGACAGACAAGTGGGGCACAGAGCACCTGCGCTTCAAGTTTTATGTCGAAGGTCCGTTGGGGCAGGGTGTTGTACATGTGCATTTGACCAAGCGACCAAGCCAGAATGATTACGAGTATGAGACGCTTGCCGTGGATGTCAAGGGGCATCAGAGGATTGACCTGGTAGCTGGGAACAAGTCGAGCAGCGTCGCACCCAAGATTTTTGGAGCGCGGTGGTGGTGAGATATATGAGTCTCACGGCGCATTGCGCTCTTGATGGATTTTCATAGTAGAGGCACGAGCCATTCTTCGTAATTCAACTTTTCAAGTTCCCCCCCCCCCCTTTGAAGAAAAACAGCCCGTTCTAGCCAACATGCAATCTTCTTTCTTCCCTTGTAAACGCCTTCTCGGTGCAAAATAAAATGATTAAAAAGCAAGGGCAAGGTAGGAAGCTGTGCGCTCGCCTACCACGGACTACACGACTCTATTCCTCTGCCTGGGCGAACTTGGGCAGCAAGACTGAATCATTCTGCTCCGTTTCTTACTTGTCCTTGCTCAAGCTGAGTCGCTCGTGGGGGCACCGAATGCGGTACACGAGCGCGAATGTTACCCCATGACCCATCCAAACGAGCCCAGCCACGTTCCACACATGCACGCCACAGTCTTGTAAAGTAACCAATACAACAAACACCTGAATTCTGGCCAAGGAACGCCATCCATCCATTGAGAAACCAAAGCATCTTTTGCAATGCCCATTTCCATCACATCCGCAGAACCCAAGGACGCACCTCACATCGCCGCCCTCCATGTCCAAGCCTTCAGTTCAAACGTTCTCATGCGAGCCATTTATCCCACCCCTGCTATTTGGGCAGCATTCCAAGGCAGTGTAGAAGAAAAGTTCACGGCTGACATGCATGATCCTAACATGACGGTCCTCGTCGCCCGACATACTGATGAGGCTGCAACCGGAGAACAAGGTAAAATTGTAGGCTACGCGGTATGGTGTCATCCTGTGAGGACCGAAGGGACAGCTTGGAAACCGCCGGCTTGGAAGCTGCCAGCGGGTACGGATTGGAGTGTTTTGAGGCCCTGGTTGGCAGCTGCTGGAAAGGTTTCGCGTGAGGTTATTAGAGATAGGCCGCATTATGGTAGGTCATGTTGAACTTAGCAAGATGAACTTTGCAACGGACTAATTCGTGTCGAAGATCTCACGTGGCTCGCTGTGTCGTCTGATTATGCTCGCCAGGGCATAGGTTCAATGCTGTTGCGCTGGGGTCTTGACTTGTGCGACAAAGAGGGTGTGCCGGCATGCTTGGACAGTACTGTTGAGGCAGCAGAGACCTTCTATCAGAAAGCTGGGTTCACAGAAAGAGGCAGGATCAGATTGCTTGTCAACGCAGACATGTACGAAGAAGTCGCTTGTGTGTATGAACCCAGACGATAGAAACTGGCACAATAGAACAGCGCTGGACTGCCTCGAAACTTGACAGTCCTACTCGCCCATGCCAATACCATCTTCAAATCTCCGAGTGTCTCGCCATAGCTCTGGACTCTTTTGAGCTTCTATGAGGATCTTTTTCTCGCAAGCATAGCCACAATTGTTTCGGCCAATCTCTTCGTCATTACCAAGCCAGGATCATGATCTGGATTGACCTCTGCAACTGTCAACCCAATCACATTCTCGCTGGCCAGGAGTACATCCAGGGCTAACATCATTTTTGTAGAAGTTACGCCTGTGAAGTTGAGGATATTTGCCAGAGGAAATTCGCCTGGATCGATGGAATCAACGTCCAGATGTACCCAAATAGCTTTGTGTTTACACTCCAGGTGCTCCAAAGCATCACGCGCACGTGCGTGCGGATCGAGTGCAACCGCCTGTGACGACAAAACTTTGAAATGCTCGCCGTGAAGATAAGCTAGGTGCTCATTCTGGTTCCCCGGATGGGAGATGTTTGTCCCGAAGAAGACGGTGTTTCGAGCATTACAGAGCTTGTCGTGAGTGAGCACAGGGTCGGCGTTTGAATCAACAAGTGACCCAGGACGTCCCATGAGCTGCATCATAGTCTAGGAGTTGGTTATGAAGTCAGCATGTCTCACGTCCAGTGTACACAGGACACTACTAACCATGCTCGCAAAGTAGCCGTTCCAATCGGCATCCACTGGCGAATGCATATCGGTATCCGCATCGACATAAATGAAGCCCACATCCATGTTGTATAATTTGTATTGTCTTTTAACGCAAGAGAGGATCACTGGCAGCATGCAACATTCACCTCCAAGAAGTTATTGGAAGGCATTGGGCTCTTGGTCGAAGTTCTTGGTCATTCTCCGTCGTACTTTGCGAAGGAGCTCCAGATTATCAGCTCTATTGCGGATGTCGTGCGGTACGAAGGGACTTGGCTGGTAAGTCATGGTTTCTTCGAGCACGTCTAGCTGTGAAGACGTATCATGGTAGCCCAAAGGCCCATTATCAACAACTTCTATACCCGCTTGGAGCAGTTTTTGATGAATCTTGACTGCTTTGAAAGCCGCGGCTGCTCCAGACTTCCCTGGGATAATAGAACCGCAGTCTGCTGCCACGTAGGTCACGCAGACTTTTTGCATACTCACCATCACGGTTGCGTGCGTGTCGATGTTAGATCTGACGGTTCTTGTACAAAGTGCCCAGAAGAGGATAATGAGTAGCTTCAACAACAGCAGGATGCTGTGAAGAATGGCGAGTTCAATTGGCATGTTGCCCACAGGGAGTGCATACCAATGTCTGACTACCGCAGCAGCGGCACAGGTGTAGCCACATGACATCTTCTCCTACATGAAAGACTGTTGATTCGACCCTTCAATACTGTTATCAGACCTTGGTGTAAGCCGGAGTAAACTAGTCTCCAGACATGAGCTACACGTATGGCAAGAAAACTTCCAGAATTTGTATGCAGCACAATAACGAGTGACAGTATCCGTGAGTGACTGGTTTTCAAAACGTGGAAACAGTGTATATGTGGCTGCTATCAAACGATAGAACGTTCGTGGCTGAATAATACACCATGCGTCATGGTCTCCAACATAGTGATCCCTGAAAAGCTGAAGATCTATGGACGAAGAAAACGAGGTACATGCTGAACAAAGCTCGTACCCAGACGTATAGCCCGTACCGCGCTGCTAGTTCGGAGAGATGTTGCGCTATGATCGCAGTCAAGTGACGATACCTAATTTTCCGCCACGATGACTCGACAGTCCCTGCGCTTGCTATTCACCCGACGCACCACCAAAGAACAGAGGGATTGAGTGCACGCTTATGCGCACGCCCCATGGGGATTGACAATGTTGAGCTCGGGGATGCGCGCTGTCGTCCAGAAGCTGATGCAAAGATCCATATTTCGAAGATGGCACGGATATAACGGACTTGTTCTAGTCAGGGAACGCGCCAATCAGAGCAATTCCTTGACACATGGTGTCGCTCTCGAACGTCGGCGTTGCATCATTTTTTATCCACGACGACGCGTTTGGGCTCCATGTGCAAGTGTGCTTCCTGTTTCGGCGACCCCTTTGATCGCCTCTACCCGGTGGTCCTCGTTCCGGATCCACAGCCAAGTCGCGGCCAAACGTAAATGTATTTTGGGTGTACCGGTCCGACGACAATTACGCAACGGAGAAATGCCGACGCCTGGCAGCTGTAGTATTCAAGTCTCATGACGCCTCTAATGTAACGACTCCTCTCGACTCTTCTCTTCATCTCAGTAAACATCGTGCTACAACATCGCGACACTCTCCCACGCTATAGCTGTCGCAATGGAGCCCTCTTCCACCAATTCGTCAGAGCACACCCACGTTGACGAGCATGAGATGCAGCAAATACCACCCACATACCCGACACCTTCCGTACAACCCGAACAAGCAACAGGCAAGACAAGAGTACGATTCAATAGCTCTGCCAATGTTGAAGTCCCTCCACCGCCGCTCGAACAAATCCGTAGCTATAGCCGCGTCAGCGAATCCGGTTCCAACGAAATCACTACCAACCAGCACACCGTCGATGCGGAAGAGCTTCTGAACGCGCACAATGCTGGTGAGCTCAACGCACAAAACTTCAATGCTCTGCCATTGAGTGAGGTGGACCCTGATGGCGCATATACCGTTACCGGTAACGCCAACGGAGGCGTCTTTTACCAGCTCCTCCAAGCCTACAAGACACCTGTGCGTGGCTACACAGACACATCATCAGAAGTCAGCGAGACGTCACCTTCACAAAGGCCCGGATCTTCTTCAGGCGCCTGCACCCCAAAGCGGAAATGGTACAACGCGAACAAGCCCATACAGTCCACAGAAACACTGGCCACTCTTATCGGCGCTTCAGCCAAGCTGGCGAATCCAAAGGACGAAAAGAAGGATGTCCCCCTACGCCCACGCAACCACAGGCGAACCAGCAGTAACAACATCATCGCCAAGGTCTGGAAGGCAAAGGAAGATCAGGATGCCAAGATTAAGATCCACGTAGCCAACATTCTCAAACGACAACAGTACATCATCCGTATGTGCCGCGCCCTCATGCTCTTTGGAGCCCCTACACATCGTCTCGAAGAGTATCTCGCGACCACCGCCAAGGTCCTTGAGATCAACAGCCAATTTCTCTACATCCCCGGCTGCATGATCATCTCCTTTGACGACAACCTCACTCACACGGCTGAAGTCAAGATTGTTCGTACAGCCCAAGGAGTTAACCTTGGCAAGCTCAAGGACACCCACGACATCTACAAGGAGGTTTTGCACGATGTTATCAGCTTAGATGAAGCTCTCGCTCGTTTGGACGAGGTCATCAATGCCAAGGACCGTCACCCGCGGTGGCTGACTGTACTGATGTATGGTTTGGCGAGCGCCGCAGTTTCTTGTTTCTTCAAGGCCCGCCCCATCGACATGCCTGTCATATTCGTCCTCGGAATCGTCCTAGGCCTGCTTCAACTTGTTATCGCCCCTCTATCCAAGACATACAGCACCGTTTTCGAGATCACCGCGACGATCCTCATGAGCTTCCTTGCACGCGCGTTTGGCAGCATTAACAACGGGAACTTGTTTTGTTTCTCGGCTATTGCACAGAGCGCCATCGCCCTGATCCTTCCTGGATGGCTGGTGCTTAGCTCAGCCCTCGAGCTTCAGTCTCGCGCTATCGTACCAGGTTCCATCCGACTTGTCTTCGCCATCATCTACTCGCTCTTTCTTGGTTACGGCATCACTGTTGGTACCGCTATATATGGCGCCATCGACTCTAACGCTACCAACTCGACTCAGTGCCAAAGCCCAATGAACCCCTACTGGAATTTTCTCATGGTCCCGCTCTACGTCTTTTTCACGACATTTACCGTGCAGGCCAAATACAAGCAGATGCCAGCTATGATTGTCATCGCCTTTGCTGGCTACATCGTTAACTTCTACGCCGGAATGAAGTTCTCGTCGTCAGCGCCTATCGCCTACACATTCGGCGCTTTCACCATTGGTGTTCTAGCAAACCTTTACAGCCGGTTGCGTCACGGAGTTGCAGCCGCCGTCCTCCTGCCTGCAGTATACGTCCAAGTTCCAGGCTCTCTTGCATCGAGTGGAAGCATCAACTCTGCTCTTCAAACAGCGTCTGCCCTAATTAAAGGGTCAGGGGGAGCAGCCGACGTGAGCACCTCTTCATTCCCGGCCAAACTTATCACTGACGTAATGCAGACCACAACCGACAGCTTGAACGCAATCGTCTTCAACGTCGCTGCGTCCATGATCCAGATTGCTATCGGCATCACTGTTGGTCTGTTCATGGCTGCCCTTCTTGTTTACCCCATGGGCAAACGACGCAGCGGTCTGTGGACACTATAAAGTATTCCCCTAGTTTTTTTTGTCTTGCATAGCGATAAGGCGTTAAAGGAACCCAAAATGGGAGGAGTTTTGGAGTTTTCCTGCTAATCATCTGTAGCATTTGAACACCTAGATGTTCAGCTTCGTTGGCCCACATGGAGATGAGTGGTGTCGAGGTGAAGTGTGAAGGTAAGCCCCGTTTGCAACATGATCGACCCCGAAGCACTTGTCGATGCGCCCTGCGACAACTATTTCCAAGCAACAAGCCGTTGCGCCATCCCCAATATTGGTTTCCTTGCGACATCCAGGCCATATAACCCTACTCGGACTTTGGGTCCCTCTACCTATGCAGCATTGGCCCTAGCAAACAACCCACCACACGATATCAGTTGCCCAAACCACCGCACCATACACCCGGACCTAGACCTTGCGCCCAATCCTTCCTTTGATCGACATTTGCTTCATGCATTCACTCCTTCCCGAGGCCCAGTAGCTCTCCTGCACATCCGCGTTCATTCTTCTCTTCTGTGATGCTTCGCTCATGTTCACGAAGCTCACAGAGGTGATGTTGCCATGCATTATGTATATACATTGCTATATACAGCTCATACCCAACAACACAACTACTAACTGCAGACCTATCGTACAGCTTGTTGTGAGATGTTACATGTTGGTTGATGCAAAACAAGATGCACAATAGTGCACATGATACGGGTAGTTATGATATGGGGGAAGGAGATTGTGCCTATAGCACTTTTGTAGAGAATTCAAATTGTTAGCCAAAAACTCTCTGTTTGCTCCCTGCTGTTACCTGGAGTCCTCTAGTACAATGGAAGAGTGGTTTTTTGCGATGTGTAGTTTGTATATATGCGTCTGAATGGGCACTTAGTCTTGAAGGAAGAAATACAAGCCGCACTGTCAGTATGGTGCTAACCTTTGTACAACATATGCGAGAGTGACGAGTTGTAGGGCGTACACTGTGTAAGCTCGCTAGCGTGTGTAGCAGATGCAAGATGAGTGACACGCATAGAAGCCCGTGCCTTCTGCCTTCTAGAAAGGACGTGTAGTTTGGATAGGGTCAGTGCTCAAGACTAGATGCCAATGGGACACGAAGTGTTGCATGGGTGACGTAGTGTGAGAGTCTGTGCCCGGTGACATCACTCCTTGTCTGGGAATAAGAGAGGCTGGTGAGTGGCTATATAGACTCCCATGGCTGTCTAGCCGACAACGGGTGTAGACATCAACAGGAAAGAGCCGCTAACGAAGCCTTTCCAAGCCTCTAGCACAGGCCTTCGTATATGCAGCCCTATGTCAGGCGGTGATGAGGCTCTGATGCTTGGAGATCTCCGAAGCTTCCCCTGTGTCCAAGCGGAGGGAGTCACCTTCTAGAAAACCTCCAGAATGCGCACTGACGAACGTGAGGCGTAAGCCTATTGGATACCGAAAGGGACATGCCTTAGATCGGGCCCGAAACACATAGCTCGTCTTCTGATTCGTGTTGGGAAGCTTACGCGAGACGGGTACGCAGTCAGCGCCATGATGGTGGTGATGGTTTTGGTGTTTTCGGTGCTAACTCGGATCCGCTTGGAAACACAGTACAGAGCTTGAAAGTAGCTTTATGTACACCTGGATAATCTAACAAGATACGGGACGTTTCGGAGGCTGCATGTAATTATGCTTGCAGGTCCACAGTGTATCCTGGATATATCTTAATGTTTCGGGGGCTGTCTGTACGTTAGCAAGCGCCGTTTTCAGATAGAGTGGGCGGAAGCCATCGTGGTTCCCCGATGCCTGCCAGGTATCCCACCCATTCAGACTTAGCACATGTATAATGGTCTTACATCGTACGATAGGTCTGGACGGTTATGCTTTGACAAGGGAGCGGGGCTAAAGCCAGCCATGCTTCCTGTAGGGCTGTTAGTGTCCGCTAGGATCTACAAGCGCTGGACCCTGACATCCGTTCCATAGCACTATCACACTTAGGGACCGTGATAAGATGACTTGGAAGCGGAGAGGTTCGACTTGACTGAGACACTTGATCCATGACCATGTCATGGGAGACACACAGTGGTACAGCAGGCAGCCAGTGAGCTACTCTGCATCCTCTGATTCTTGGAGTAAGTGAAGACATGGCAAATACTTTTCGCATTGGACAGTATTGACCATGTCGTGTAGATAATGCAGAGTATTTGCATTAACATTCGACAGCTTTAGCCTAGCGCTGCGTACGATTTCAGGATTGGCTGTGCTACAGTATGATGCGGAACAGATGAAGTCAAATGTGTAACTTGATCGTAAAGAGCGTCTCATAGGCTCGTCTCCTTCGTTACTGCTTACTGTTTAACCGGTTGGCTAGCCTCGGCATCTCGTAGGCTCATGAAGCGAGGCCGGAGGCTCATGTCGCGAAGGACGAGCTGTGTCAGCAGCGGGGCACAAGCGTTGTGTTTCCTGTTATGGATAGCGAGCTAATGCCTTGCAGGGCCAAGATCAAGGCTGTACGCGGTCCGAATGAGTATGCTTGTTGGCGGTACGAGTCGCATATCGGTCAAGGAAAGACCATCAGATAAGATGTACGGTCTCGCTTGCGTATGTGTCGGCCGACGAGCGATGCTGCACAAAGTTAGATTGAACAGCCCTAAAGCGGATCCGGTGAAGGATGCGTAAGACGCGGTGGATTTCCAGCCCTCATGCACGTTCAGCAGCAGAAGCGCTGGTGCAAGTCTAGCCAGTTCTCCCCGCTTACGTCACTAGTGCGCTGCTACATTTCGAAGTGCAGAATTACTGCTTTGGGTAAGTAGTCTAGCATAGTCGTAGCAGAGCGCCGTAGGGCTGTCTTCTCAACCATATGGGAATGCCGCATAAGAACCAAGCCATAGGGTAAAGATGAGGCCTTTGTCTACGGCCTGGTCTGTGATACTGTGTGTTTGAATTCAACTGCATTGGAATTCCCACAATGCAAGCAGGCTGCACCATGTTGCCTGATCAAATGCAATATGGTAAGGATATATCACCTCACGTCGCCGAGCATTTCGTGATGGTGGTAATCGCTTGGGAACGTTACATGGACAAGGCTACTGATAAGTCATGGCAATCGCGCTTACGTAGCCTTTTCGCTAACGTAGCGTACCACGTGTTGCCACTATAGGCTTTCTTTTCGGCGCGCCCTAGGTAACTGTACCCGACACTCACCGATCGGCCATCAACCTCGCCAACTATCCGTTGTCTTTCGCTGCACGATAAGGCATGTGAAAGGGTCTGCCAAGCACCTTGTTCTTTTTCACCAGGCGAGCAAAGTATGAGATGGCTGTCCAGCTCGATGGTCACAACTCGATATTGTGTGGCATCCAATCTTGAAGGCTTCGGGGCTGGCGATGGCTGCCTTCATAAGAGAAGCGCCACACTGAGCAGGCTACTTCAACGGTGACTAGTAGGCCCCCCGGATCGGTGCTCAGCGAGGAGAAGCGGTGACAGAATTGGAATGCACTTTACACTGCTCGCGGCTAGCGCGAACGACACTTCACTACGACCGAACTTCGGCCCATAGCTCTCGAAGCGAAAACTCAACAGGCCAGCTGGACGTAACCTTGGGTCAGTATGTCACTCTGATGTCGTCACCTAGCTGAGGTCCTTAGACCCAGCGCATTACAGAGCAATCATGTCTAGCTATGTGAACGTCTCACTACAAGAAGAATCTTGTTTGATTGATCGCACGGAATGTGCGGTAGCAGCCAAGAGTTTCTGAACTGAGAAAATTACAGCCCTACCATGCATCGTGTGCGGGACGACAATCCTAAAGTGGAGTTACTCTTCGAGAAGACAGCGCCAGGTACCTCTGACTGTTACTACGGTCGCGACGACGGACTAACCTGGCCACTGTATGTTTGGTTGGCGGGAAGTCATTACGCTTTGGCTCAGCAAGCATGCCAATCTTTTATCAAGGCCTCGAAAAAGTATAGCGCACGCCTCCATGCAGACCCCTGCCCCATGGCCATTGGTTGTGTAACTCTGGGAACCACTCGAAGACGAGAATAACAACAGTTGATGTGCTTCCTGCAGTAGTGGACCGTGCTTCGGACCCGTGTGCCGGTAGCAAGCTGTGTGAACATGCAGCTTAAGCTAACTTCTGCACGTATTCCCGCGGAAGCCATATTTTCAGGGTCTGCCGTGGCCGTTGAATTTAGTCGTGGGCAGAATTGCATGACAGAACAACCCCTGTCAAGCCACTTGCCGCCATCTCATGTGACTGACGCGGTTCCGACGGAGAGATACGCGACGTCCCCACGGTGTATAAGATCTCACCTTGCCCACCGTTGTGTAAGCTGTCTCCACCACATAAGTATTTCAACTTGAAGCAACAAAGCACTAGCACGTCATATCATCATCAGCCGTCGATATAGATCTAGTGAGAGAGAATATCAACACTCGTCTCTACACACGTTTTCCCGAGCACACAAACGTATCGACTCCTATCCTCACTCTAATACAACTGTAAATCGAGAGCGATGGATTCTCAATCATTCGATTACTGGATGGCACAAGGCAACTATATCGCACCACCACACCAAACAGCCATATTCGAGATGCCTCCAGATCTCTCTAAAGTTCCGAGTCTGAGTGGATCACCTGTTAGTATCATGATTGTGTCTTCAAAACTTGTCAACTAATCTTTCAAAGGTCTCTTCTACATATGACCAGTTTCCTGCACATATCCACCAAGCTTACTACCCTCGCATCGTCGACGAACCCATGCACTTTGGATCATATCCCATGCCCATGACCCCCTCGGATTTTGGCTCAGAGCATGATAGCCCATATTGCAGTCCGAGGCCACTACAGCACACTGAACCTACTTTCGGAACTACCCACAAACCTGCACCAGCAGAACGGACCCACACTACTTCGGGAGTATGTATATCTTACTCTACATACACGAGCTCGAACTAACGTGCGAATAGCGCCGAAGAGCTCAGAATCGCGCCGCCCAACGTGCATTTCGAGAGCGCAAAGAAAAGCACGCTAGAGATCTTGAAGCCCAGCTCTCGATCCTAAACGACAAGTACACCAAGCTCGAAACATCGCACACGGAACTCAATGCTGCCTATGAAAAGCTCCGAAGGACAATCGAGCTTCTCACACAGGACGACGATGCGGAAGGTGAAGACGAAGAAGGAACGATCGCCCGTAGACGAGGAAGCAATTCCGACACCCTCCGCAAGCTCCTGGATATATTGCATGGAGAGTTCAAGGGAACGGCACCGGTGAAAACAGAAGTATCCTAGTCCGCGGACCTTCAACATGGGATAACAGATTTCCATGATTCTTACTTCGCTTCTTGTCTATACCCTTTTTGCTTTTGCGTTAAAGCCAGCGGTCATTGGACAATGTGTTTAAGGCGCCCTTTGTGGCGATAATTGTTTTTCTCTCTTATGATCTGGCACCTATCATGAGCTTCTGAGCTACTAGTTTCTTAGCAAGCGAGCGGACCATTGCAGTCGGCTACATTTTCACTATACGTTCATGACTGACGAAGCTACGGCCGATCTATCTATATAGTACCTAATACCAACTTGTAACCACCACATATCTGAGTCGTGAATATTGTGAGCTTCTCTCTCTTGCATCCGTGCGTAGTCTACGTACGGAGAACGAAAGTATGAATGTCTGCCTTCTGTGAGAGTACCGTCCCAGCCCCCACACTCCCCCATATTCCCAACAAGATCAGTTGCAATGCCGATATAGGAAGCCGGCCCGTCATCAGCAGCCCCCTTCTCCACATATCTCCGCAATGCCACCAATAAAAGTTTCAGCAGCTCCGGCCGGAGTACGCTCATTCTGACCAGCCCCAAAATCTGACTGTGGTATACAAGGGCTAACAACGAATGGGGAAACCTTGACGGCGACCCTAAAGGTAGTTATGTTGGTGGCATCCAATAAGCCGAAATGAGGCGGCAGCGAAGTGCTCATTTGATAGGCTTCGGTGTAGGGTAACGCAGTAACTGTAGCACGTGCAGTAACATATAGAGTTCCGTTCTATCTCCGTATTAACAACTTCCTAAGACGACAATGAACTGTGTGTGAGAATGGACAAAATCCGAGGAGAGACATGAAGTATGAGGGGGACGAAGTAGAGCGGGACAGGTACCCGGATGGTCGGCCCGCCATGAACGCTGTTGCACGTGCATTATCTTTCACCGCGGAAAGACCGTCTTCCTCGAGTCTAGAGACAAGTGCGATGGTAGTTTGCATCCAATATCCACGCAGTGAGAAGCTCCAGCTATCCAGATAATGTCAAGTATCAGGGATGTTCCTGACCCGTGACCGACCAAGCAAGTACCCCCGTTAAGGATAACGCCTCAAAGGCATGGCTACCCACAGCCATGCTATTGGGACGTATTGTATATCCCACCTTACCGAAGCTGGCTATGCCATTAGACCATTCCGATATGCGCTTTCGAGGCGCTAGCACAAAAAATAGAGCGAACAGGCGAGAAGATGTAAAGAAGGCGCGACGCGAGAGTGACCTCGTAAATGCAGGTCATTCCACGCAACGGCTGAACGCGCACCATGCCAGCCCACCAACCGCTTGCATTCCAGCGTCTTTCTTGCCCCACCATCATGTGGATTGGAAATCCGTCAAAGCTAGACAACACGGGGAAGGCGAAGAGGTAAGAATAGACGATGCGATCCGGGACTCACAGCCTGTATCTGTACTATTCGATTCTTTACGGACTGGTCTCGCGAGGCTTTTGATCCAAGAAAGCTTGATTGTTACCCTGTTCACTTTTCACGAGACGGACGTTGCCGCTTGTGTCACCCAAAAATAGGTTTTTTCCAGACGATACGACCTCGCTAATTTAGTAGTGGGCATGACGACATTGCTAGTTAGGTAGATTTATTGTTTGGTGAGTCTTTGAGACGACTCATCTAGATGCCACGAATTCACAGGTACTGCCATGTTGGCTCCAGCATTTGACATCTTTCCTCAACCATTCTATAATCCTACTCGTCAGAACACCAACAGTTGTAGGGTACCATCACATCACTAGTGGCATCTGTATTCATAAAGATATAGGTGGCTAAAATCATTACGTAGCGTCTATCATCTAAGTTGGTTGAACGTTTGGCTTAGAGAGAAGGTGAAACCCCATCTACATCGGTGACCCTATCCTGCCAAACGGCAATTACTGTATATCCTCATTTTGACCTATGACGTAAAGCCAGACTCCAAAAACTCCATGTTTCAGATCGTTTCTCATGACCAACGGGCCGACTCGCTAAGATAAACTTTGACCATCATGAAATAACACTATCAGCATGCAATGTTGCTCGCAGTCGCACTCGTACCCTGGCCTTCTGGTGCTGCCACGAAGTCGTCGCTCGTGAGTGCTCTACTGAACATTAGACAAGCCGTCTCGAGTTGTCCGCCAGCCGTGCCATAGTATCCAGCCGGCACCACGACGTTCTCTGCCCAGTATGCTGTCTTGCACTCGACATGATATCCATAGCCGTAACATTGCTGAAGGCACTGTTGTGCCATGGCAGTTGTGTTTGATGTGTAAGAAGGGTAGTAGGAGCTGTATAGCATATCGTCGTGGGCAGCTGGTGCTGGCACGTAAGACGTGTTTGGATCGGTGGGCAGAGGATCCGTAACGGTGCAGTTTGAGGGTATAGGCATGATTGCGGGCCCGCCTGCTCGATTAACGACATTGGATGTGGGTAGCGCGGAGGCCAGCGAGCAGAATGCTGCGGCGAGAATAGCGGCTGAGGTGTGCAACATCGCGGCGGGTTCAACGACTGTTAGAGATTGTTTAGATGTCGAAGTAAATGTATGTGATAGCGGTTCTTATCGCTGGTGAATGATCTCGCAGTTTGAGAAGTGCTGAATACTATATAAGTATTCTTGCGCCTCGTTGATTGATGCCTGTTGGTGTGATGTCAATGTGGGTAGCTGGTAGGGCCAACCTCCTCGTCAGCGCTTTCAGCCCCAGCGCTGTGCGTCTATCGTTATTTAGCCTACCAAAGATCGCCGCCCATAGCCACCTCTAATGCGACTATACCAAGCAACCCTGACTTGTGCTTCCCTAGCAAGGGGACGATGTAACGAGCATAGCTGTCTGCAATACTTCAAAGATGCCGCGTTGTCCGCGATGATGTCAAGGGCACCGGCGCTGTGATACCGCCCCAACAAGGTTGGGAAAGATGCGGGGATATCCTGGAACGGCAATCTATGTCGCATCCTAGTTGGTGATAGAATGTCTCAGGCTTGATGCTGCGCTCTTTGTGTTGTTGATAGAACTAATGCAGTGCGAGGATGGAGAAGACCAGATCCGTGGAAAGAAGTGGTACCACCAACATCAGTGCCAAGGCGATCCACGTCCACTAATGGAGAGTGATTTGAGACAACTACCATTATCAAACAACCATGATGCTCTTGGTGTTTATGGTGTTTGTCAAATCAACCTACTGAGCTATTTTAATGCCTAATAGAGAAGGGTTGCTGCTTTGGAACAAGATGAACAGAAAGCATGCAGGTGGTGACGACACGATTCCAGACTATGAAACGGCGCCTCACACCATCTGAGACCTGCCAAAGCTGCTCACAGTACTCTGTATTACAACGACCAACACGTCACAAACCATGGCTGCTCCATCCAACAAATCCCTACAGTCCTTATCGGGTAAATGGCAACTGAACAAAGCCTGCTCCGATGACTTTGCATCAGTCCTTGCGCTCCAAGGCGTAAACGTTCTAGTCCGCAAGACTGCCACCGCAGCATCTATCCATCTCAAAATCAGTCAACCAGACGATCAACATATCAAGATGGCGCAGTCGATAACTAGCGGCAAAATCCCTGGTACTACAGAGGATTACACCTTGGACTACGAGTGGCGCACGAACCAGGATGGTTTCTTCGGTGAGGTATCAGGAAGAAGTCGATGGGTCAGTGTCGAGGAGGGGAGGAAGACGGGCGTAGTTGACGAGGGCGAGGGTAAATGGATTGAAGGGGATAGCGAGGGAAAGTTGATTCATGCGGAGGGGAAGAAGCAGGGTGAGTGGGAGGCTAGCCACCTTTGGGGCTTTGAGATGGTTGACGGGGAGAGAAGGCATACGAGACGTGTAAGAGTTAGCAATGAGAAGGGTGAAGAGTTGAGAGTGAGGATGGTCTACGACTTTGTTGGCGAATAGCTTGTCTGATTGTTAGGTCAAATGTTGAAACCACGAATTAGGCTATATGAAAAAGAGTAAAGATTAAATCAAAAGCCAACGTCCGTGAGGACTGCCGTGTATGATGTACGACGTATCCATTATCTACACCTGCCTTAGCAAGACGCTGATGTTATATCAAGTCCACTTTTCGAATCGCCAATAATGAACGAACTGAATTTGTGATCCGGGTCCTACTCTTCTTGTTACGACGGTATCCTGCGCGAAGGTAGTATTCCCTCCATCTCTCCACGTTCATCATTTCCAACCACTTAATCCCGCCCAGGGGTCGTTCCCGTTCTGACCCTGTCCTTGTGCCGGTCGCTGCTGATTCGCGTATCCCCCGGGTCCATTTGGATAGCCTCCTTGGCTGAAGTGACTATAATCTTGCTGATATTGACTTGGCGGCGGTCCCGGTGGAGGTGGCGGTGGAACATAACCCTGTGGCAGATTATTCTGAGGTGCACCACCCCACTGTTGCTGCTGGTTTGAAGGAGGTTGACCCCATGGCTGATGTGGTTGGTGCTGTGCAGGTGGTGGAGAGAAGAATTGCTGGTGTGCTGGTGGGGAGGTGGGGTTGTATTGGTTGTGAATCGCGGGGTTATAAGCCGATGAGCTCTGCGAGTTCTGCGTTTGATGCGTGGGATATTGCTGTCCATAGCTCTCTCGTCGTGGGAGTTGCTGCTGGTTGTAGCCGTTTGAGGGTTGGCCGTAGGATTGCTGTGGCGATATGAACTGTTGGCTTGGGCCTGTGGTCATTGGATAGCGCGGCGTGACAGGTGGTGAAGCTGCAGGATTATACGCCGGATGACTAGCTCCTGATGTGGACGGATAACCAGGTGTTGAGGAAAGCGGAGGTGGTATGCTCTTCTTACGGCCTCCACCTTGTGATACAGGTGAGCCTGAAGGTTCCAATGACATCCTCTCCATTAGTTCCTTCATTCTTTGTTGTTCCTGATCTGCGCCTTGTGCCTTGTTGCGCTCCTCAATCTTAGTCAGGAGCTGTCCGCCCTCACTGCGTCTGTTATTCACAAAAGTTTCAACATTCTTCTGTAGGCTTAATACTGTGTCCTTCATCTCTGAATAAAAGGTTTGAGCGCGCGACAACCCAGCAACAAGATCATTGAAGCTTTGGTATACTCTGCGATATTTGGTCATGACGATGTTTCGTTGTCTTGAAAAGGCCTCATATTTGCTTTGCTCAGATCGCACGCGCTTGTCTTTGAGTAGATCCGAGTAAGTTCGAGTGAGCTCTTTCAGGAATGAAGCTTGTTTATGGTTGGCCTGTAGTATGCGATTCTGGTGGGGCCTGAATTTCTCCAGCTCAGCTTTAAACAATTGCGACTCCTGGTTCGCAATGGCTTTTTTGTTCAGAATTAGTACATTAGAGATGTCATCAGAGTGAACCTGTCAAAGTCAATATACAGCATACTCGAGCGTCGATGATCACATACCTTGTCTTTGAGGTCCTTGAGTATCTGCGTCCTCTCCTTCTTGACAAGGTTCAGCTTCCGCAAGATGTCTTCAACAGCCGCAATCTGATCCGTTACCGATGGGCCCTCATCAATGTCATCATCGATGAGATTGCCTTCGGTAGGCCTAGGGCTTTTGCCCTTACTTGCGCCTGCTTTGACCATAGCTCTTGAGTACAATACATCGGCTTCATCCGTTTCGCCAGCCGATCGCATCTCGTCAAAGTCGGCTTCACATTGCCTAAATGTGTTGTATAATTGTGCATCGCTAGTGCTCGCCTCCTGAACGGCACCCCGGTAGTTTCTGATATCGTCTCGCAGCGTGGACGTTAACCGAGAGCTAGGCTGCTGTGTCCAGTCGGGTCCGTATTTGGATCGCATCTTCTCACAGACACTCTCTTCCATGTCTAGTTGTTTCATGCTGGCATCAAGTGAACCCAGTATCTCCGACTTGTCCCTATCCAGTTGCTCAAACGCAGGGCCGAACGATTGGTGTCCAGCGAGCTCTTCGCACCACATTCGGAATTCGTTGTCGACATGGTTGTCTTGGTCCATACCTCCTCGCAGTACATTCAGACTGTCAGGTAATTTCAGGTAGTCCAGGCTAGCGGCCATCTCATCGTTGGCGACCTCGACACGCTCGCTCTCGGCGCGTATTAGCTTGGCCTTCTCCTCATCGTACAAACTGGCTGATTCAGTGACTGCGAGTGGGACAATCTTTTGGAAGATGTCTGGACCGATGATTCTCTGGATGTCCTGTCCCTGGTATAACTCGCTGACGGGTATCGCCTTGGCCGCAGGCATTTTCGGCACTGGCGTCAAGGCCGCTTCATTCGGAATGCCTTGGTGGTATATAAAGTCGTTGTCTTTGGAAAACTCTGCCAACTTTTCCTGAACGTTGGCCAAATGTTTCTTCGTCATCTCTGCTAATATTCCCCCAGTCTCCGAGGTCAGATTCGAGTTTGCCGGCGCGCTGTTCGGGAAGCCGTGAGCTGCTCGATTGGCGTCTTTGGCATGCGTTTCGGCGACTTGTAGTCTGCAGATGGCTACACCGTGGGTGTTCGCATCGTCGTCGGCCAGAGCCTGATAGTACTGGGCTAGCGAAGCCATGTGATGCGATTTGATCTGCGAGACGGTCAGTTTCCAATTGCAAAAGTTACTGTGATGTTCTTACCTGGCAAACCAAAAGCCAGACCTTCTCAAACACGGCATTTGTGACGTTTTCCTGCGCACCTTCCGTTGCCTGTGTATACAAAAACGCGGCCTGACTTGCCAGTTTTGCCAACAAGCCGACCTTCTTGCCGTCAGCAATCTGCTTCTCCAGAAACACCTCTTGCGCTTGTGCCAGCATAATCGCTATCAGTGTCTTGACTGTCTCGCGGCTGAGGTCGGTCGACGGTGCGTGTAGGAAGTTCTCGTTGATGTATGTGAACATGCCGGCCGAGGCTTGGAACGAATGGTACGAGGTCTTGAGCCCGACATCCTCGTGGCGGTTCTGGTGTGCGGCATGGCAAGATAGGACGGCAGAGATGTTGAAAATGATGCTAGCTTTTTCGTACGCGAGGGAGTATTGAGAGGTAGGTTTATGCGTGAAGGCATCGAACCTGGCAATCGTTAGTCTTGCTTGTCCTCTGCCCTCTGCTCCTTGTAGTTCAACTTTGGGTTCGGGACGTACCATGTGAAACTGATCTTGATGTGGTTCTCGTCCACGGGGAATCTCAAGTCCAGGAGTTCGAGCTGGCCGTAGTATCTGTAGAGCAGATCCCGGCCCGCTGCACTGTCCTTGCCGGCTCCTCGCATGTCTTGACGCAAGCGGTTCAGCGTTCCACATTCCTCATTGTAGCGCTCTGGGTCGTCGCCATATGTGGCGCGTATGTATTGCTTCAGCGGGGTTATCCAGTCAATCTCGCTCGTCTGCTTCAGCGGCACCGAGATCATGGGTATCTGTGTCGTCATGGTGGGTGGTGCTTGCGCTGAGGAGGCCGCCGCTGGGCGCGCTTTCTGGAGAGGTATCGCCGCGAGGGTTGGACCTTGGGCGTGCGGGTGTGGTGATCGGCGACAATGGCGTAGGCGACAACGTGGGAAGTGGGCTGTCGTGGGCCTCGGAGGATACGCTAGGGCGGTAGCTGGCAATCCTTCTGCCTAGTTCTCGTGTATGAATACAGTGAATGTCCCTGGGGGCGGCAGCAGAGCGATCACGCAGTAGATGGCGTTGAAAGTAGGGATATGCACAGCGGCACGATGCGCTGGTCGGGTGGCTGTTCACCGAATCAAGCCTTCGCAGGGAAACAGCCGCATGAGGCACAGTCTAGTCAATCCGGGTCCTGGGAACGATTGTCGTGCGGCGCAGGCGACGCTTAAAAGTCTACGTGGTAACGATGCAGACGATGTCTGGTGCTGACGGTGAGCTCGGAGGGTGCGAGCGAGGTTGGTGGGGAAGACGCAGGCACATGCATAAGCAACACCAGAGCCGCGACTTGCTCATCCACACCCGCCTATCATGCCTCAGGCACGCCACGAGAATCAGACCGCTATCGATATGTGACTCTTCAACCTCGTCACACCGTCGCGACAGTCTATGGCAACCTCAAAGCCAACCCCAGCTGTGCGGCTCGCGTCGGCCAATTACCATGCAAGGAGGCCGAATCTGGCCCTCGTTACGCGCCCGCGATATTGGCTACAGAGCTAGTCAAGCATCTCGAGAACACTGCAAAACTATGCCCTTCTTGGGTCATCATGAACAGCGTAATATTATACAAGCCCTGAGTCGAGAGGCCAAATACGGATACTTCTATACACCATGTCCAAGCCATCGTCATATACGCCATCAAATGCTTTCAATCGTCTTGCTGCAAACATGAAAACATGAGTCGCATGAGTCGTCCTGTACGCCGGCCCTGTTATACAACACCTCACAACATCTCCACATGCTCAGCCAGATCCTTTCTTCTTCTCGTCTTCTTCCGCCTTCCTCCTCTCCTCTGGATCCAGGTGCTTGTGCTGTCCCGTGAGGTTGTGCCACGCGCTCTTCAGGAAGCCCTCATTCGAGTGGTCGTCTCCTACGCTGTTCCCATGTTCATCCTTCATCTTCCCGGGGTTGATGACGCGTTGCGCGCTCTTGTCTCCCATCTCGTCCGCTAGCATCTCAAGAATTGTCCGCTGGTTGACACTGAGATACTTGGGCATGTTGACCTTGAACTCAACACGCAGATCGCCCTTGCCGCCACGTCGGCCCGAGAGCACCTTCATGCCCATGCCAGAAAGTGTGATGCGATCGCCAGTTCCAGATCCAGTAGGAACCTTGACTTTAACTTCGCCGTCGAGCGTGGGGACTTTAATCTCTCCTCCGAGGACAGCAGTGGTGAATGGAATGGTAGCGGTATGAAGGATATCCGAGCCATTACGCTTGAACTTCGAGTCATTTGCTACGCGAATCAGGACGTAGAGATCTCCCTTCTGGCCGCGGACGGAGCCAGAAGACATGGCGTGACCTGTCAACGGTGCATCTCCTTCGCCATTAACGCGCAACCGCATACCGTCCTCCACGCCACCAGGTATGTCGATAGTGATGGTTTTCCGGTCTTTGACTGCTCCATCGCCGCCGCAAGTGCCACAAGACGAGCCTCTAGGTATCGCAAATCCGGATCCTCCGCAAGATGAACAGGTTGCGCTCATATGGAAGCCACCCATGCTCGTCACCCTTTGTCCAGTACCTCCACAGCTCTTACATTCTGCTCTCTTAGCACCCTGCTTTAGACCACTGCCACTACATGTCCCGCACTCTGCCATGGGGGAAATGTGAATATCCTTCTTGACGCCCTTGGCCGCATCCAAGAATGAGATGTTTGTTTGCACTTCGATGTTGTCGCCCACCATGATTTCTTCTTCAAAGGGATTCCTTCTCCCACCTCCCCCTCTTCCTCGTCGCCCACCCGTGAATGCTCCAAACAAGTCTTCGAAATTGATATCCTGGAATCCTCCCGCACCTTGGGCACCACCAAACCCGCCGAAGCCGCCGAAGCCTCCTCCGAACGGGTTTCCTCCTGGTCCTCCTGCACTGGCCCCAGGGTTGAAGCCGCCGTTTGCATCGAAAGCACCGGCGCCGTACGAATCAAAGGCCTTCTTCTTCTCAGCGTCTGAGAGGACTTCGTATGCGGATTGTGCGGCAGCGAATTTCTCCTTCGCACCGGCGTCTTTGTTTGTGTCGGGGTGGTACTTTTTCGCCATACCATAGTAGGCCTTTTTTATGTCGGCAGCGGATGCATCTCTGCTGACGCCGAGTGTCTTGTACGGGTCGGCCATGGCGAAGGACGGAGAAGAGGCGTGGAAGAACTGTGCATAGCGTATTAGTATCTACAGTTGGAAGGCTGCGGATGAGAACACATACCCGTATTGACTGTGCATTGTGGGCTTGCTGCTTCGGTGCGATAGAAGGTCTTCGCGATTGTGTTCTTGAGGCCTGCGTCGCTATACATCGTCGTTGACATTTAGCGAAAGATCTCGAGCCAGCAATGCGTACAGGAGCTACCGCCTTGAGCGGCATGGGACCAGCAAAACTCATCTTGAAATGATCTGGGGAGGGCAATGGGTATGTTGATGCTGCTTCTCGCTCTCCGCTTCGTCCAGTGATGTATAAGCCGATAATTGACAACTTTTTGCGGGCACGGGCCGGTGACGCACCGTCATTGGTCGCCCTCGGTAAAGAGCGCGTCGAAGCTTCGAGAGTTTACCACGACGCGACTGCCGCTCACGGAAAAGCCGGGGCAGACAAACGAACATATGCATATATTACGGCTGGTCTTTCCAGTTCACGCCGTTGATTTTGCTATTTACCTTCGGTTCGTTGTGCGGGAGGCGCATGGCAAACGTGCTATGAACTTGATGCGCCTGCGGCGTATCCGTAGCCTCGAGCCCAAATCTCAGCATTACCAAATACTCATTATTGATAACCCTCATGCTTGTATATGCCATGCTTCACGTTGTGTCCAGACCAGACCGATCCCGCGCGGCCAACCCGAGCCATGATGCATAACCATTCCCTATTCATTAATGCCCAGTATCCCAAACTCCTGTTCAATGCTTGTAATCCGTATGTAAAAGTGGTGGCTATCGTGCCAAAGAGGGGTATCGTTGAAGAAAGTCGGAAACACAGCGATGTGTATGCGCGGAGTGACCCAGTCACTTCCTTTGAGGAGCGAATCGTACTCTAAACTCATTGTCTGGTATGCAGATCAGCAAAGAAAACGTGCCGGACCGTGTCTGGACGCCTTACCTTGGTGTTTCGACTTGTACAGCCAGTCGACAATCACGTCACTCTCGGTGACAGCCTGAGAGTTGAAGCTCTTTTTGACAGCCATGCCGAGCTGGTCCTTGTGAACACGTCGTTTTCCCTTGGGTCGGGCCATGGTCGGAGACATTCGTCCAATGCCCTGGTTCAGTACGACGTGGCTGAGCGGGTTCTTGAAGCTGGAAGGGCAGTCGAGGCGATAGGCTCTTCGGTAGCCTTGGAGGACGGACGGGTCTTGCGATGACCATTTGATCTATTGTAGAGGTGATGTGTCAGCGACCGCGAACGTATGTGTGCAGGTAGTGAGGACAAGGGCGCGACGAACGTTTCCTGAGGAGCTGAGATCGGTAGAAGTCTGGCCGCTGTGGGTAGAAGCATTGTCTACTTCCTTCAGAGTACTGCCATTTGCGACATTCGGCCCACCGTTACGACGGCCGCCCCGCGCGTTGGAGCCCTGGAGGCTCTGCAGTTTGTCCTTGAGTGAGGTGTGCGCCTCGTCGTGAGCATGAGTGCGTTTTGGGGGCATGATGGTGGACCAATGGCGTGTTGCGACGACAAGTGCAATGTGTTGGCGGTTGCTCGGAAGCTTGTCAGGGTCCCTTAGGGTTTCGCGAAGATGAGCCTACGGTGGTCGTGTACTGATCGCCAGCGAGATGGAGAGCAAAATGACGGGCAAGGCCCAAGCGCGCAATGACGTTGGCGCGCTTCTCGGTCAGGGTCCTCCTTTCCCTTCCCCTGCATTAGGCCAAGCTACTACGAGCTCCTTCCAATCTCGACGTGTTATCTATCACACCATGTGCCGTTTCCTAGAGTGTCTGCGCTTCCGACTGTTTTGGCGATACACCTAGGTGCCATCTCCTCCTTCACGCTGTGTCGCGTATGTCGCGTGCCGCGGCTTCCCCACTATCCCGGTCGCTCGCCTAGTGCATCCCCAAATGGCGGCGCCAGGCACTTGTCGATACACGGAGACTTGCAGCCTTGCACACAGAGCTCGACGGTGTACATGGCCGGAAAATACCCCCTAGGTTTAACCATGACACAGGACCGTGCAGCTCTAGTGCCGAGGTGTGAAGTTGATTCGGGAGAGACGCGCTATGGTAGGTAAGGCACTCCATCCATCTCAGCACATGGCAGTACATTGGGGGACAGAAAGACGGTATGCATCAATTCTCGGAATGCGCATTCCGACATGACATTCGTCGACCTGGTAAGCGCGGGGTACCAAGAGCCAGGACCTGGAACCACGATAAGCGAAAGGCCACGGAGCGAGAGAAATTTGCCGGCGTCGTTGTGAGTGGTTGTCAGAGTATAGACAAAGAGCAGTCGTCAACTGGAGTCGGTGAGACCTCGGGAGCCGGACACCCGCGTCTTGCGATTAGCTCACTTCGATGCCCAGCAGGTACCAATGCGTAGGCATCAAATCCGGCCAGCCGTGATCTCGAGGCAGGAACTGCAACACGGGAAAGCTAGTGCCAGAGCCTAACCGTGGCGGCGGCAGGTACGCGATACGTGTGTGTCTATTACATACTGAACGACACGATGAGAGCCTCACATCAGATGCTACAAGACGTGATCAATGCCAGATTCGACCATGGCGATTGACCAAGCCTGCGATAGTTCCTAGTCTAATCACAGAACAGAAGACGGGTTACCCACCTCCAAAGGGTGATTCCGATTGCCTAGCAACATGCCGTCAGCGCCATACACAAGGGTCGTACCGATGTTCCTAGTGGGACAAACTTTACTTCATGCTTGTCAGCAAACTTCACTATCGATACATGTGACAGCGTCTATTGTTCTCTCACTCGAGGCAGCACGAAAGGTGCCGCCTTACCACCGCCTCTGTACTCTCACTTGTAGCATATATAAGCAAGTCCTCTGAGGTTTCCCACTGTCTCTTCTTCCGTCTCCCTCCCATTGCTATCTCTGCTTCATTTATTCAAATACGCCTTACTTATTCACAGCTTCTCACGACCTTGAACCACTATCTCACGGTGAGACTCCGACCATTATTCCCTTACATTCATTGTAGACTCATATTGTATTGCAGTCTAGATAATTCCAGATCATCATAGACTCACAAGTCGCCTTGGTTTGGAGTGGTCCAGTATACTCGAGGTACAATGTCTGACCGTGATCCAGTCCTCCACGGTCCGTACTCTCCACAGTACATGATGAACCCTACGGCCAACAACTTCGCTCCAACCCGTCCTCGGCAGAACGGCACGGCCAGCCAGGTGAGCAGCCCTTCATCATCATACCTGGAGGCACGGGTTTCCAATTTGGAGGAGGGACACGCAAGCTTGCTCGAGGATGTCAATGGTCTCCGAGAATTGTACCACGGCCTCTCCTTCTCCGTCGACAAGCTAAAGAAAGGCGGTTGGCCAGTGCATGTTGGCCCGTTTCAAGAAGTGGATGCAAAGATATCACACCAGAATGCTGTACAACTCCGGGCAGAATTGGAAAGCCTCAAAGATGAGGTATACGGATCTGTGAGTGGCAGCGCTGACGAGCAAAAGGCGAATGGTATGGCCTCGTCCAAGACGAATGGCAATACGCCTCCCCATCTCGGAGCTGCTAGTGTAACCAGTGGCGGTACAGTCAAGAGTTCGCTGCCTCCACATTTGCGTGGCAAGAAAGCAGAATCCAGCAATGACGGCAGGTGAGTCTACCGCGTACAAGCGTGAAAATACTTGACACATCGTGCCTTGTTCGGAACTGACTGTGATGCAGTACCAAGGAACAGATCGCGGCCCGCAACCCTCAGAACCATATCACTAGCAACGTTCAGACCGATGTAGCAGTCAAGCAAATTCCTATACCAGCGCCAACGCCACCTGTCTCACCAAAGACGGTTGTTCAGGATCAAGCATTGTCTCTTGAACGCATTTCCTTGAACCGAGCTTGGAAGCCCTACCATCTTACAACCCTGGACGCCTTTTCAGGTCCAATTCTTCCAGGTAACACTATCGTCACATTCCATCCTGACTTCCTTGCCAATATCCTTGACGGATCCTCTTGGTCACCGGGCCTACGCTTTGTCAAAGGCAAAGGTCCATGTATCCTCAAGAACCGCACATACTACCAACTAGACCCGCAGAACGAACCATACCTTCCCGAGGCGCCTGGAGACCATGGTGCAAAGCTCACTGCCTTCTTCAACAAGGCCCCAGAGGAAGAGTTTGCGGATCTACTTGATGACGACTCAAACTCATACGAGAATGTACCCATGTTTGTTCTGGTCGGCAAGCGTTACATGTACTATGGAAACTATTCCCAGACACGATGGTCTGATAAGCTGGACTATGACACCATGACAGCTAGGGTACCTCAGCACGTCAAGAACTACTGGGCTGAGGAGCTCACTTCGACAACGCGCGAGGAGTGGGTTACCGAAGAGCTCAAAAAGCATTTCTTTCGCAAGCCCGAGTACGAAGGCCGTCTTTCTGCTGGCTTAGACCACGAAACCACTATCGGTTCTCATACAGAGATGGAACTAACCGAGAAGATGACTAAAGACGTGCGTAAGTATGTTGAGCAACTTCGTGAGTGGGAGCGTGAGGCCAACATGAAGACCGCCATGATCAAAAAACAGTCTATTCTTAAGGCTTTCGATGCGGTAAGTTGCAAGAAGGTGCAGACAACATGGAAGCTAATCAAATACAGTCTGATATGGATGAGGAGCCCGCGCTTCGCCTCTGGTGGGAATACCTTGAGTGTGTCGATTGGAGGAAGGACTTCTACGATCTCCTTGTTACACTTCAAGGGCGCAACCCTGGAAGCTATTTACAGTAGTCTGGCTTGCGTATGCTCGACTGGACCAAGAGTTTGCTGTTCATGGAAAACGTACACCAGGTTGGATTTTGCGATTTGCGGTGGGTATAAGTTTGGGGTCGATGAACTCATCTATCTCTGCGACACCACAAGCGGCACATATGGCGGATCTATCAGTCTCTGCCGAGGTAAATGGATGGGTCTGCATGGCACCTGGTTCAAGATCTTATGTCCTTCGCCATTCTGTTTTTTGCTTTCCATCATTGGTTACCGAACTATTTCAGAACCACCACTATGGCGTTTGGAGAACCAGGTAGTGCATAAAAGTCATTTCCTATCATGTCGTCTCTTCGCATGGTACTCTCCTCCTGCCAGGTCGCCATTTGAGTAAGTCCGGCAATAACCAAGTTGTTTCTAACTTACCAGAAGCCTTGATTAAGCTTTGAGCGCCACTCCGTCTCCGAGAGATGCTTTCGGACCTGAAACTCGGATCGGTCTTCATTTATCAACTCACTGCTCAACGTAGGATGGCACCCCACGCACACCAGTGCTTATCCGACGATGGGCATCATTGCATGGCGCTATTGAACACTATACTGTCTTGTCAGACGACCAGGCTAAGTGACAGCCTGTCTGATACCTCGGTCGCACGATCTTACCTACCTCCACTGATGACGAGGACATCCGCGACCGAAGCATTGTATGTTCTGAATAGATTCGGTTCACCGTTCAGTCTTCCTCGCTCAGGCAAGCTATCGCACCCTGGAATGACATGGGATGTTCACATGGCCAAGCTTTCCAACCAGGTTTCCATCTCGCTCAGTATGGTCTGTAAATCTGCACGTGCAATGAATACTGTCGCGACGCGCATAAGCGTGTTCACAGCTCTTCGGTAAATGGCCTCCCAGATCGGTACTTCTTACGGGTTTGTGCGTAATCAATCTTGCCCATGTTTTCTAGGAACAGTAGTTCGCTGATGTCGACCACCAGCTTCGTCTTGAGTCAAATCCCAGACAACCATGCGACTCAAGCCCTGGACTTCACCTAGGCGGTCTCCACAGTGAATCAAGCATCGAGAATCTCTGATTCAAGACTTTTTCAAATTATAGATGACCCACACCCTAATATACCAAGCATCGAAGTCATGGGCACAAGCTACCGATGTCCCCGCGAATGTTGACCTCCGGCTATTAACATCCCTGCGAACTTCATTTATACACACCCACAACGGCTGCTTTCTCCGTCAGACTACCCAAAAAGCCTCACTCATCTTCCAACATCATTGGTTGACCAAAAAGATTAATTGTTCTTCCCCAGATCTAGCCCGGTAACACGAGCTTCTCCCTAGACCGAGGCGCCATGCGGCTGTGGCAAACCGAGCATGCGGCCTAGCAGTAGACATCAATCTATGGCACATGTGGAGATTTGCTTCCGCGACATGACTGAATACCCGGCCTTATCACGCGGTACACACTAGTATGGTTTGCAAGGGCAGACGAAGTGTATATGAGATGATGCACTCTCCGTCTGTACGACTTCTGGTCTTCTCACACAGCCAAACAAAATATCCTTCATCTCTCCTCAGTAACATCGCAAGGCAATATGAAGTTCTTTACAGCCTTCACAGGAGCTGCTTCGCTGATAGCGACCGCAACCGCACATGGCGGAGTTGATCAGTACATCGTGGGAGATACAACATATGAAGGGTAACGATCTTATCATGTCTGTTCATTGCATACTCTAACAGGTTCAAGATGGTCGCCCTACAACTCGGCTGCGGGTCAAAAGACAATTCAGCGACAGTACTCAAGCTACGACCCTATGTACATCAAAGATCTCTCTGTAAGACTTTGCAACAAGGTGGATCAGGCAGAAGCTAACACTTCATAGACAGTCAACATCCGTTGCAACAATAAGGGCACGCTCGGTACAGGCGTGTCAGGTACCATTGCCGCTGGCGCAAAGTTGAAGACACACTGGAAGCAATGGACTCACAGGCCGACTTCACTTCTCGTATACATGGCGAAATGTCCAGGATCTTGTGACAGCTTTGATGGAGCAGGCAAAGTCTGGTGTACGTGTCAGCTCTCCTTTGGATGTACAACGTTGCTCACGTAACCACAGTCAAGATATTCGAGCAGGGTCTTATATCTGGCACTGAAAACGCAGGAATCTGGGCGGGTGATGCCATCCTTGACACTCTATATGCCACGGTCACTATTCCAGCCACACTCGCAGCAGGCAACTATCTGATCCGCCATGAGCTCATCGCTGTCCATCAGGCGAACAACCCACAGTGTAAGCTTATTATTCGATGCACTTGCATCACAACATTAGCTGACACCCGCTAGTCTATCCTGAATGCGCTCAGTTCACTGTGACAGGTTCTGGCACAGCCTCCCCTCCGTCATCTGCGCTCGTGTCTTTCCCTGGTGCATACACCGGAACAGAACCCGGAATTGCTTTCAACATCGACTCTCCCGAAGCTATGAAGGCAACCACATACCCTATTCCAGGCCCCGCTGTCTGGGATGGTACGGGGAATGCTCCTGCTCCAGCGTCGTCTGCTGCACCAACAGCTCAACCAGCAACCCCTACTACTTTGATAACCAGCACAGCTGCTGCACCGACTGCATCGGCTGCCCCTATATGCGAAGTAGCAAAGTATGCGCAGTGTGGCGGTATGACGTACAGTGGATGCACGAACTGTGCGAGTGGATCAACATGCAAGGCGAACGGTGACTACTACAGTCAGTGTGTTTAGGCCTGACAGCTCGTATGATGACTTTCCGTTATTGCTAGCATAAGTTGCAGCGCGCTTGCATTATTTAGATACCAGGACGCCTAATCGGAAGCGAGATGATAGGTAGCGTCTTGGCAGGGGCTTGTCGTTCTTCCAAATCCACGGGTTTGCCACCGTTACTCGTGCGACCACGCTGTTATCCCAGCTGCGGGTGTGCCCGCTGTCCATTTTAATACATTCAAATTTGCTTTCGAATTCATCAACTTCCTAACTACCTAGAGCCATAACCTTTGCAAGTACGGCGTCGTCACTCGGTCCATCTCCCTTGATGGTTGCATACGCTGGCGCGAGCACAGATTTCTCGATTTCTGTGTATTTACCATCGCAGACAAAGATGAGATCTCCGCGGCGAGACTTGTCCACCATCAGATATGCGGCAGCCCGGGCAACCACTGCGGTAGACTGGCAGTTCTCTGAAACCGCATCTAGAAGGCCCTTCAGATTGGGCAAGACTTGAGTTGCTGTCCATGAAGGGGCGAGTGTGTTGACACGGATAGGAAGACCAGCAGCTTCCACCAAAAGGGCGAAACTCCTACCAAAGCCTAGAACACCCGCTTTAGCCGTCGCTGAGTCGCGTTGTCAGTTAAAGATCTACATATGATCGGCGAACCTGTTACTCACAATAATCAACTGCTCGGACGGGATGCAAGCCGGTGCTGGACCCCATGATGACAATAGATCCACCCTCGGCCTGGTCCTTCATGTAATGAGTAGCAAGCGTAACGGTCTTGACCACGCTGTCCAGGTTGATATCTAGGGTGTCCTCATTTGGTTCCTTTGGATCGCCGTTCTCGTCGACGTCAAGAGCCAGATAGTTCGCCCTTGGTCCAATGCCGGCATTAGCGAATACAAAGTCAACTCGACCATGCTTTTCTTTCGCGGATTTGAAAAGTTTCGTAAGATCGTTCCAGCGCCTGACATCGAGTTGGACGAAGTGACAATCAGCCACAGACGCCGGTGGTGCTTGAATATCACCAACAACAACTAGTGCGCCTAGAGAGACCAATAGCTCAGCTGTGGCGAGGCCGATGCCTGATGACCCACCTACGACAATGTCAGTATTTTGGTTCTCGAAGCTTATTTGACGGGGTCGTAATACCCGTCACGACGGCAATTTTGCCCTGGAAGCCTGTTAGGTCAGAGTCTTGGATCTGGAAGGATGCCATGGCGAAATTAGGTATGATGAAAGTAGACGAATGGAAGTTCAAACGGAAACCAGAAAGGGAGAGGGTAATATGCAGACATATCGGGCCCCCTGCACATCAGAGCGTATCGGCTCAAGCTCATGCAAGAGTGCACTGATTTGGAACAGTCAACGACTGAAGGTGAGGCTGCCGGGATTCTAGGCCTAGGAACATCACCTCAAACAAGATCTGGGAAGCCTCCGGAGATTTACAGGGAAGATAACAAACCCGGAAAGGTCTTCCAGACGGGGCCCGTTTTTTTATTGCAGGGAAGGATGCGGCTCGTGGTAAGCGAGCCGCGGCCCAGGAGCCATAAAATCGGTGTCAAGCCAAGCGTCTTTGCCTGCCCAGCAATTAGTCAGAGGCTGCACTTCAACGGCAGCAGACCAGCCCGAACAATTGTCCAACTTTTCCCGGCGTCTTGGCTGAGAACGAACGTATCCTACTCACGTAATCTGTGTAAGGCCCATGCTGGAACAAAGCTCAGGGTAGTAGAAGCTGCAAGACCCACTTTAACTGGTAACGGCCCGACAGAAAAAGAAAATCACGCGACCCATGTATCGTGTACGTACATAGAGCATGGTAAGGGGTCAACGACGCTTCAACGGCTTCTCTGTCTTTGAAGCCAATCGCAGGATAGCACACAGAAGGCTCCTTCCATGCAAGCAGCTCCTGTCACGTCGCGGCCCGTGATGGACCATGCGTGAAGAAAGCTAGACCTCCGCATGGCAGGGTCTCGAAGAGAATGTCGGACCAACCGGCATCGATAGACCAAACACTACCACGTTGGTAGGTTCCGCGGCTAAGTGAGACATTAGATCCCATCCAGACGAAGCTCCTTCCGTCTAGCGCCCGCGGCCTAACATTTCGACACGAGGCCCTGTTCGCACGGCTCACAGTTCAGGACATGAATCGACCAAAAAGCGGCAACCTCCTATGGCACAACATGGTAGAGGTGAAACGTCCATTATATGTCGTCCGGCGAGCTGCCCCAGGCTGCCCCAGGATCTCTTGTTCTTCACCTGCTTGCTTCGTTTCGAGTCTTTAATCTGTTTATCACTGTTGCGTGGGGAGTATGACGACTGTCGAGGTAGCTAGAGATGGAGTGGCATTGTTGTATTGCGCGATCATATTGCTCGTGTTGAGTTGGGTCGTTTTCTCCATGCGAGTCGGAGTTCGGGTATGGAGAAAAGCGTGGGGTATGGATGACTACCTTATGTTTGTTGGAGTTGTAAGAATTGGACACCACCAGTATGTGACACGCAGGCTGATAGCTTATTACAGATTCTATTCTCAGTCACGGCCTCTCTTTGCATAGTCTGCTGTTACTATGGCTCCGGGCAGTTTGCACGGGAGCTGCCACCCGTAACAATATCCAAAGGGACAAAGGTAGATACATCCTTTACACAAAGTTCTACTGGAATCCAAATTGACGTCTACCAGCTGTTCTATATCGCGGAGTATTTCTATGCTGTCAGCGCCATGTTCGTTAAGATCAGTGTTGCAGTGGCGCTTCTCCGTATCGCCGCCAATCGCCAATTCTTCACATGGGCTCTGCGGGCTCTTATTGGGGCTACTATCGTTGCAGCCCTTGTTTTCTGTATAGGTATCGCAAATATCTGTGGGTCAACTTGCTCTATATGGGGTACATACCGTTGCTAACAATCTGACTAGGTCATCCTATCAACACTCTCTGGGGCGAGTCGAATGGCACCTGCAATCTGCAACTTAACACGAACGTCAGTCTATTCTATTCAGCCATCGAAATTGCAGCAGACTTCAGTCTCTCAATCATGCCTGCGATCCTGCTTTGGAACGTTCAGATGAAGGGGGCTGTCAAGGCTTCAGTGGCTGTGATGCTAGCGCTCGCTTCTTTGTAGGGCATCCACCACCTCTCACATTACGTGGCCAACAACTAACTTGACTCAGTGCATCGTGCGCCACCATCGTGCGTCTCAAGTACCTCACGCTTTACAGTGACCCTGGCGAGTTCATGTACAGTACGGGCAAAATCGGCTTCTGGTCTCTGATCGAAGTAGGCATCGGCCTCATCGCCGGCTCACTACCTCCTCTTCGCCCTCTCCTCTCCCTTCGCATCAGGGTATCCGCAGGCTCTAATACACCTGCCGCATCCAGTGGAAGAGCATACCAATCGGGGACGAATGGCAGGCAGCCCACCTTGCGCTCGCGTGGCATAGCTATGGACACATTCCAGACTTTGGGTGACAATGATGACGCTGATCAGAGCGACGGCGACTCGCAGAAGAACATTATCAAGGAGACTAAGTTCACTGTAACATCGACAATTGCCGGAGGTCATGGAAACCCTGGGTCAATGTCTTGGGACCGTAAGGAGGGAAGCCATGTCTAAGACTATGTCCATACAATCAAAGGAAAACCGAGCGAAGTCGAAGAGCCAACGGCTTTGAACGGTTCAATGAACATGCGCCACCCAATTTTCTCTATCTTCTGAACGTAATCTTGAAGGGCTCCCATCATGCTGTATTCTCGGTAGACCCACAGTCCATTGACGTTCTGAGAGGCTGCGGAGAAGTACTGCACTACCCGAGAATAGGCCGAAGAAGGCAGTTTAAGCTCATCGTTTATCTCCCGATATACCCCACGCTTGTAAGATAGTCATCAACGTTGACGCCACCGTCCAATCAGTACACTCCGGTTCAGTTGCTTGTAAGGTGGTCTGTTGGGCGGCCGAGTCAAGAGCGACATACGCGTAGTCATAGTTGAAACAAATTCTGCCCAAGCAACAGCTGCTGGTCATTCTACAGAGATCGGGCGCGTGGGGCGTGTAGACAATCTGTTACTGGGCAAAACATACACACAGTCTTGGCGATAAATTCTCTTGAATTGCCCAAAGGGGTTAGCAGGCATGTTATAGTTGAGTTGTTGACTACCGTGAATTGTCGCGAAGGTCACATGAACGCGTGTAAGGCGTCTATTTTCGGAGATAAACGACAAGCGGTGCGTACTAGCTACGTCAGGCCGTTTCAAGCCGAACCCCTCCGCATTATACTCCACGGCGCTCGAGCGTAGCACTACCCTCACAGCGATACATAATGAAGACAACTACCTTTCTTAGAGCCGGCGTGCCAGCTTCCCGCAGCCTTGCATCCTCTTTCCCACGACCCGTTCGAACGAATCTACGAACGTTTACTACTACACGACGAGCGTCCTCCGACATGGATACAGCGGCATTTGGCGAACAACACATTGCAAAGGGCATTGGCCGCCTCACAAAGCATGTCTTTGAAGATGGCAAGGGCACCTTCATCACCACAGACAAGGGCGTCAAGCTGCTGGACATGACTGCAGGCATCGGAGTCGTGAACCTTGGTCATTGTCACCCCAAGGTCAGTGCCGCTGCAGCGGCACAATGCAACAAGATTACCCACGCCCAAGTCAACATTGGCTTCAGCTCCGCACAGATCGCTCTTCTCAAAGAGCTGATTCCAATCCTCCCGCACGAATCACTCGATACCGTCTTCTTCTGGAATTCGGGTGCTGAGGCGGTTGAAGCCGCCGTTAAACTGGCTCGTGCCGCAACGAAGAAGCCCAACATCATCGTCATGCAAGGCTCCTACCATGGCCGCACAAACGCCACTGCATCGATGACGAGATCAAAGACTATCTATGGCGAGGGTCATGGCCCGCTAATGGGCGGCGTCTTCGCGTCTGCGTTCCCATACTACAGCCAGTTTGGCCTCCCACCAGACACACCAAAGGACCAGCTCGTGAGCCAGGCACTGCTTCAGTTGAGGCTTACTCTGCAGCAGCAAACGTCTCCGGCAGACACCGCTGCTGTAATCCTGGAGCCTGTTCTGGGTGAGGGAGGCTACGTCCCAGCCCCTCCAGAGTTTCTACATGGTGTCAGGCAAATATGCGACGAGCACAATGTCCTTTTTATTGCCGACGAAGTTCAATCTGGTATGGGTCGTACGGGACACCAGTGGTTTGTCCAAGAGTCGGGCGTACGGCCAGACATTCTTGTCTTCGCAAAGGGCATTGCTAATGGGTTCCCTCTATCTGGTATCGCCAGCAGCAAGAAGCTCATGGATCTTCAGAAACCCGGATCGATGGGCGGAACATATGCGGGCAACGCAGTCGCATGCGCCGCCGCAACAGCAACAATCAAAGCCTTCCACGAGGAAAAGATTCTAGATAACGTGGCTGCACGCTCCAAGCAAATATTCTCATTCCTTAACGATCTCAAGTCTTCTGGGACTAAGGCCGGCAATTTGATCGAAGATGTTCGCGGATCAGGTCTCATGGTCGGCGTGCAGTTCGCGAACCCAGAACTACAACGCGACTCGTCAAACACCGCCGCGCGTAATGGTCAGAGTCAGCCGCAGATAGCACCCAAGATTGTACAGGAGTGTGTTAAGCGAGACATGCTTCTTCTCAGTACCTCTGTGTTCGACGTACTGAGATTCATCCCGCCACTTACAATCAGCGAGGAGGAGTTGAGCCAGGCTTGCAACATCTTCAAAGAGTCTCTAGAGGCTGTTGCGAAGGAGATGTAACTTTCATTGGCTGAGTAACGCGATACATGTCATTTCGGAATATTAGGAACTGTAAAGTTAGCATATACATATACCCTTTTTTGCGCTCTAATGCGCTACTAGTCAATGAGCATCCGAACTGTTACCTTTTGTTGTTAGCTTAGATAATGTGATGCAGCTGTGACCGGGAGGATCGCTCTGTCATGCCGCCTCGCGTTCGTTGTTCTGAAGGCCGAGCACCAATCAGCGTCATCTCTGTCAGCCACTGCCAAAAGCGGGCGAACAATGTGCCGGCTCGCGCGCTCGCTGCGTGCAACACCATGCGAACTTGCAATGCTTTGATAATGCCTTAACATTATACGTCACAGAATGGGCCCTTATAAGACATGCAGAAGTTACCTAATTTTCAATATCGACAACAGTCAAAGACGCACTTTCTTCGCCTCAACCTCATCATATAATACTTCATCAACCATTCATGGCTCTCAGAACAGTTCTTGTCACAGGCGCGACCGGCAAGCAAGGTGGCTCGGTCGTAGATGCCTTATTGAAAGCGAACGCACCGTATGAGATCCTAGCACTTACGCGGGATGCTCAATCTTCATCATCCAAGAAGCTTCAGCAAAAGTCTCCGAACATCAAGCTAGTCACTGGAAACCTCGATGCGGTCGATGAGATATTCGAGACAGCCAAAAAATCGACGCAGGCACCAATCTGGGGAGTCTATAGCGTTCAGGTAAGCGCGCTTCAAAGATTGACCATTGGGCTTTGCTAAATAGTCCCACAGGCCCTCGGCAAGAACGAAGAGAAACAAGGCAAAGACCTTGTAGATGCCTCCATCAAGAATGGTGTATCCCACTTCATCTTCTCCTCTGCGGACCGTGGAGGTGCAAACTCGGACACAGATCCGACAGTAGTCCCACACTTCATCACGAAGCACAACATCGAGCAGCACCTCTTCTTCAAGGCCAAGAAAAGTGGCATGACGTACACGGTCCTACGTCCTGTAGCTTTCTTTGAAAACTTGACACCGAATTTCTTTGGCAAGGTCTTCACCACGAGTTGGGCGATCAAAATGCCTAAGGAAAAGAAGTTGCAATTAATTAGCACCAGTGACATTGGGTTCTTCGCCGCTCAAGCGTTTCTCAAAGATGACGATCCGATATACAAGAACAAGAGCATATCGCTAGCGAGCGAGGCATTGTCCTTTCAGCAGTTCAAAGAAACGTTCGAGAAGAAGACGGGAGAGAAGCTTCCGATGACTTATCGATTTATTGCCGGCGCGTTGTGCTGGATGTCGAAAGAGCTTGGATATATGTTCAATTGGTTCCGTGACGTGGGATTTGGCGCTGATGTTGAAGGATGCAAGAAGGTGAATCCGGGGATGAAAGATTTTGCGACTTGGCTTGAGACGGAAAGCGCGTGGAAGAAGGGCTGAAAGAGGCCAGCCAGATGAGAAGGGAAGACCGGGTTGTGCAGGTACTTGTAATTCATAGACTTCCGTGAGCAATCGTATGTTGTCGGGCATTTCCAAACGTCGGAGCAGAGCGAAGAATATACTGCAGAATCGATTTTCCATCCAGTTTAAAGTCTTGACGCCTCTCGTCCAGCTATCCTTAATCCTTCCTCTCCATCAACAAGTACACACCATCCTTCTCCTCCCCTTCCGCCATTCCCACCAATCGCCGCCTTAAAGTTAGCTTGCGCATACTCCAGAACCTCTGCATCAAAGCTCCCAGGCTGCAGCCACACAGCGGGAATGCCTGCCTCTTTCGCCTCTTTGAGCAACTGCCTTGTAACGGCAGGTGGCGTGATGACCGATAGAGAGTAATCCGATGCTGGTGGATCTTGGAGAGCGAGCGGTGAAGGCACAGTGGTATGAGCACGGTTTAATATCGTGACACTCGGGCTCCTTGGGTTCAGTGGCGTCGCAGGGAGAGAGTGCTGGAGATACCACGCGAAGACTGTAGCATCTTGTTAGATATGATATAGGAAAGGTACGATACGAAGAACAGATGTTGGCATACTTTTGTGTCCGTATTTATACGGATCTGAAGAAGCGCCGGCTACTGCGAAGCGTGGGCTTGAGAAGAAGAGTTTCAATGCTGTCTCCATCTCCGCGTCGCGCTTTTGGCCTCGTGTTGTTGGCATGTGAAGCTCTTATCTTTTAATAGTGTCTATTATTACGCAGTGGTTTTGGAGGGCTGGGTTGTAATGATGCAGCATGCCTAGGCGTTTTATCGATAACGTCTTAAGTAACCGAGGCACGCGTCATGTCGTCATCCGCACGCGATGCCCGGTGTCACGCCTTTGCTTTCCAGAATCATCATCAACATGGGTAGGCTAAGTATATCGTCCATAGATTTGTTGAGACTTCTCTCTCATTCGTGCGAGCTGTCCTATAAAATCAAGTACCTATGTGCAAACTAACATACTCCAGCTGTGAAACGATGCGATAGCTCCAAGGAAATGCGTGGGAGCTCTACACTTAACAGGGACTCCTGGGCCGAGTCGTTCCTTTGCTCCTCTGACTTCCTATTCTCGTCTCCCTGACCCTCTGTGTGCTTCTCCTCTTTTGGAATTCTGATCTCTCCAGGAGCTCGGAGTATTGGATGCTTCTCGTCAGAGATGTCAATTACAGCCAGAAGATCGCCTTTTCGTGTTCGCGGATAGTCGTCGCACGCGCCCTCCCACTGCCCAGCGCCAATAGCCTCATATGCAAGCCGCTGGAGCTGCCATGTATCGCTTGTAACCCATTCGATACTGGCAAACGGGCTTTTGTACCTTTGCACACGCGCAGTAACGGTTGGTAGGCAGGCCGAGATGAGCATTATAAGGCTACCATGGGAGAATATCAACATAAGGCCGAGCACATTGAAGGAAGTATAGAAATCGCTCCGAATCTTCTGGTTGCTACAGACTGCTCGTGCTCCGGGAGACGTAGGCGATGAGTGGAATGATCGAGCCTCTGGTGTGACTGGACCAGTCCCTTGATCAACTATCGCCCGTTGTAGATCGACCATGGTGAACTTGAACCAATGTTCCAGTTCAAGCTTCTACTGATTATCAGGTAGGCCATCTTGTCCGAATTGAGACACGTAGTCACTTGCTAGGAGAGATTCGCCTCTTAAGATCATGCTGATTTCAGTGACACCTCCAGCCATAATTTGGACAGCACCTAGACACCAGAGAAATCGATCGATGTCTTTGGATTGTGAGAACACTGTTGCAGGGGCTGATCTTGCTGCTTCGAATATACCCATCGATGGCGTGCAGCTTTCATTGTGGTTTAAAGCAGGGTTTCAAAATTGGTACTGCTGTACGCACGCTAGCGCTTTCACCGGCAGATTACTTTGGTAGTAGGTGATATTCCCGTAACTCGTGGAACGGCTAAAGGGACCCTCTTCGGCGGCAAACCACGGATCGACGACAGGCGTCGAGTAAACGATGTCGTTCGTCTCAAGGAAGAAGACGCTTACATCGGCATCAGAGACTGAAAGTTCAGGGATAGGTTGCCATGAGTCATGGGATTGAAGGTTGTCTTCAACGCGTACGTCATAACGTGTAGTTAAACTTGACCAAGGTGTTAGTGACGGGACATGCCTCTCCATTAGCTATACTCACGAGATACCGTACTCACTGCGGGCTGTTCTTGGTCCTCCTTCCCCAAAACGCACAATATCGAACTGCCTAGTACACCCAGATTGGTTCTCTCCACATATCACCGGATCGTTTTCGTACGGAAACTGGACATTCCGTGGTCTCGCTGATGTGTTCCAATTCATATAGCCTTCGTCATTTATCGGAGCGCATTCGTTCACAGTTCGATAAAGAAATTTTGGGGATGGCTACGAATTGATACCTAGGTCGCGGTGACTATTCAAGAATCCGGAATCCAGACGGAGGGCAGATGCCGGCGAACGACATATCCGATCATCTCTTGGAAAAGGACAGGGATCGCCCTTTGTGATCGTTATCGGAAGGGTATTCCGGACAAAAGTGCGACATTTCTCTGCCGATCTGGACTTCCTATAGCAATTTACTTCATAATCGGCGCTCGATCTCATTCGACTAGCAAGATATGATTGTGACGAGCGGATGTTTTGTGTTGTGAAAAGCGATCCGTTTAGCGTAGCGCATTTATCGCCTACGACAAGAATCTCACTGCCTCTCGATGTAGCAACTCGCGAGGAAAACACTCCAGCGGTATTGAAGGCGCAGCATAGTGTGATTTTCCAATGAGCCTAACACGACAATCCGTGAGGGCGGAAACAATAGACTTATGCATTTAGGTGGTGAGGGCGGAAAAGACCACGAGATACCAACGAAAGTAAGTGAACACACAAGGCTGAGCGGCGAAAGTATTGTAGTTACACTCGTGTCGAGCGACAGTGCTACGCAATGTAATATCTACATCGGATGCAATTCTATCCTGTGGTAGAAGGCTCTACATCCATCACAGAAGTTGTTGAAGAGGAATTTTAAGAACCTTGGTAGGGCAGTAACCGAAAGTAATTGCGAGGCGGGTCAGCTCTATCACAGTATGCAGTGTAATGCAAGATCTTTCGAGCCATACCCCGATAGATTGCTACTCGTGGAGTCAAGTATACATTGGAGGATGAACTCAACATAGCTAGGCGTGAATAGGATAGCTGCAGATTAGAGACATTGGCATTGCAGACTTGGCCTGCTTGGATGACAACACGACAGTGCGAGACGGAATTAAGTTGATATTATTAGACACCACTAAGGTTGTGTGACCTACGATGGCCAACCATGTTGTAGGTGTCAGATCTACCAAGACTGCACGCCATCCTTGTTAATGACTTTTCCGCTATCATCGTCTCTCTTTCCTTCAACAACATCCTTGATAAAACGACCACCGATGCTTGGATCGCCCGCACCCCATCTTTTCATCATTTCTGGCCCCGCGCCCCCCAGTCCTGTAGCCAAAAACCCGGGGCTGATGCCGAATACCTTGACGCCATCCACGCTAAGAGTTTTCGCCCAGTGCAGCATCAGCATATTCAGGGCAGTCTTGCTAGAGCGGTATGCTGTTTGAGCCATGGATGGTGGCTTAGGCCAGCCCTTTGGCGGCGGCGTGTTGAGGAGTTTGGAGTCAGAATTGCCGGAGCAATTTTCTAGAGAAGACAGACCAGAGGTAACGAAGATAAGCCTAGGGTTAGGGGAGGCGATCAAGAGGGGCGCAAAGACATGCGACATCACATGGGTGGAGGTCGTATTAAGAGAGTAGGCTTTATTCCAAGCTGCGCGGATGCCCTTGGAGCCAGGATCTTCGCGCATGATGCCGTCGAATGATCCACCTACCATGAATCAGGTTATCATATGAACGGAGGAAAGGAAGACCTTTACCGGCATTGTTGACCAAAGTATCGACCCGTCCATACTTGCTCTCGACCTCTCCGAACGCTTTCTCAATAGATGCATCGTCTTCAATATCGATTTGGATAGGTACGAGCTCCGACTTAGACCCTGAGACCTCGTTTTTAAGCTTGGAAATGGATTCATTGGCCTTCTCCAGAGAACGACTGCCCATTAAGATGGTGTGCGGGTGTGACGAGGCATAGAGAGCCTTGACGCTTTCGTAACCGATACCGGTATTGCCGCCGGTGATAAGAACGATTGGTGAGTCGGTCATTTTGGTCGAGAGGTTGCAAGCTTGTGCAATGAGTTCTGAAGGTGTCACCTAGGTAAGCTTTGTAGAGAGTATGTCATTATGATCCCGAGGTCTTCTCGTGCTGTTGACGATTTTCCCCACCCGGAGCTAAATCCCCCGCATTACCGACGACCATAGCAGATAACGACAACACATTGCTCCGAAAGTCATGTAATTCTTGGAGTGCCACTGGTGTTCTGGCGCAACTCGAGTGATGTTGTTCGACAAGCACGATATGTCTGTTGTAACCTACCCCATAGGAGAAGAGATGGTGATGCTGGTGCCGGGAATGGACATTGGTCGTTTGATGATCTCCAATATGGTGCTTAACGGGCTTTTTGGTCTTGGAAACGGCCAGCTACGTGCTTCCAAAACCATCCCTCTGATTAAGAACACGCCGAGGTTATGCAGCGAATCGTTCGTGGATGTTTTCTCTATCCCCGGCTCGCTACTAAAGATAATCTCATAGTTCTCTGCTAGAAAACGTCTCAGGGAGAGCACACCTAGTACAAAAATTTGAACCGCGGACGCATACAGTGGGTTTGACATGGAAATGGAAGGTACAACGTAATCCCTGCTGCATGGAAGAAAGTGCACTAACCAAAGAAACAGTAGAATTTCTAATACCCGCTCCCAAATATCATCACTCAGGCTGGTGGTTTCCGTCGTTATTAAAATTGCTGATGAACACGACCAGTACTGCGCAATATGCCGCACTAGCTCCGAAGAGTTCATGCCGCTTCGCCTTTGTCACGAGTGACATGGCCGCCGAGAATAGAAGCGTGAAGACAACCAGGATACCAACAGCGTCAAAAGTAGAATTGCGGTCACCGACCGAAGTCAGCTGGTACATAGCCACGACCGGCAAGACTAATAAGACAAATATCATGACGGTGATGATCAACCCAACAAGCTTCTCGATACGTGACTGTGAATAGTAAAATGTGCACTTGTCGCTGGTCTTTTCGCGAAGCTCCTTGGTTGCGAACATTTTCTGCGTACGTTAGACTCGAGGATGTGGTATGGACAGTCTTAGCTTACCTGAGTAAGACGACAGTGCACTCTACGAAGGCACGATTCGACAAAGCCGTCGAAACCTGACCATTCTCGGCCATGTCGAAGTGACACGAGGTCTTCCTTACGCATTATGAATTCTTCTTCCGAGTCGTTGGTCAGTGGTTTCACGTTGTAGAACCACGTCCGAAAGTTGCGATAATCACGCTTTGATGGACGTTGGAACGCGTTAAGGTCGCGTGCTTTGGACAGCATCTCGTCTGCCATGGCATTAATTGTAGAGCCTGTAATCTGTATGATATGTCATACCGTAGTTCACAAGTTTACATCTGATCTCGTTGATGATGTACGCACGCTTGCTCGTAGTCTTTGCTCTTTTGGCCTGCACAAGATCTCCGCTTCGAGATCGTAATGGCTTCTCGTTACCGTTCTTAGAATCGATCAAGTCCATGTCTGTGAGGCCTTTCTCTAGACAGCGGAGCTCGTCCTGAAGCTCCAAGATGACGCGAGAATGCAGGTAGTTGAATCCACGATAAATCGACCAGCTCGGCTCACTTGATTGGAATGCTGCTTGACGAGGATAACCTTCGGGATAATCTTCTACTGCTATGAAATTAGTCATATAGACGGCTTGTAAAACTATGGTTTACGTACACGGTATTGTTTTGGTCTCCATGATCTCGCGTTCGATTTCAGCTGCCGTGGGTTTGGCTTTTGTAACGCTCTTACCCGTTTCATTATGCGTGAAGTCATGCCGATTTGTCTCTTTCAGGGCTAAGGTCGTTGCTCGGCTATTGCCATCGATAAAAGCTTCGCCGAAGCTCTGTGGGCTCTGGATAATTCCCTTCTCCACGTCGGAGATGTCAAAAGTGGGCATGTTTGCTTGATCCATTGTGCGGTCTGTACTCATATAGACGAATTGGCAGAAAGACAAAAGAATCTCGTCGCATACACACAAATGATCTGGAAAATCAGAATGAGAAGGCTCGAGCGACTCGCAATAGGGGGCTGAGCCGGTACTCTTGTAGTGAGAACGATATAGAAGGCTGAGAATGCCAAGACGTCGTAACTTCGAGCTGTTGTGGGTGATTTGTGATAGGTTGCCCAATGGCAATCTCGGAACGCAACCCAAACGGAGACTCTGAGCCCCTCATTGATCATTTTCAAGATCATTTCCTGGGAATAATTTGCCTTCTTCCCAAGACGAGTTGGTGACAGGATCCTTCAGCTCATACATCCAACGGCTGCCTACAAATTGGGAACGAGCCACATGAAAAGTCTTGTGATGCGTATTTCCTGACACTGTAACCATCATCTTGACTGGGTCATCTCTCTCATATTCTGGCTGCCGCTGGCCAGAATTATTAGTCTGAGCATTAAGTTTGTGCGAAAAGAACCTTCACTCACATCCGCAGGAGTATCACTAGCTTGAACAGTTGTCTTGCTTCGCTCGTTATCGGAAAGGTCTTTCTGTACGAGGCAAAGCGCAACCGGTCAGTGGTAGGCTCATCCGCTGGCGATGGGGGCGGGGCCAATGTGGTCTTACCTGGTCCGGCATCGAGGAGATTCTATTCGCAGAAGGGCTATGAGTAGACGGCCTTCTTCGTTTATTTGCTGCGATACAAGTGCCCAAGGCCTCGAGGCGGACTAGCAGGCTTACTTGAGCCCTTTATCTGTTCAAGCTTGCAGCATGCTTCAGCCGAATTGCAATTCCGCTAGACCCACAAACAGACGCACCGTACCGTATTGGACTTTTAAGCCTCAACTATGCTGGCTGATCGAACGGATGACCTAGTTCACTACGGTAATGGAGGGTCGGGTTCTCTTCTCATTGGAGTGACCTCGTTTGTGGCGCCATGTGCAGGACAAACGTCAGGGGTCAAGAGCCAACCAAAAAGGAAGCAAGAACTGCGCAAGCTATCAGGCAAACAGCCCTCTAGTATGTTGATTACCTGTGTTGGGAAAACAGCAAAGCTATGCAGTGTGACAGCACAGCCACATGAAGGACGATGGTTTTGAGATTTCACGGCCTGTCGTGAGACTTCAAAAACAGGACCCGTCCCCTAATGGCCGCCCTACATACCTCAGGTCGCACAATTGCTCGCCATGACAAACCAACAGAAGCCAGCTACCAGGCCGGGCCAACAAGGCGACTCGGTAGCCTTCCGCAGTTCTTCTCCAGCGAGAGTGTCCCGAAAGAATACGCCCGTCATACTAGACGATGCTGCCTCCGCACAGTCCGCCAGAAAGGAAGAGGAAAATATGGAGCGGAAACGAGACGCTGTAAGACAGGCCATATTTCAGGAAGCTTCGGACGAGGCTTTAAACATCCCCCTCGGCTACCTAAAGGTTGCAGTAAAAATCATTCGATGGGACGAAAGTATAGACGATTTCAAAGGTCACACTGAGGAGGTCAGTACGTCGTACCATGGCTTAGCAGCAGCCGCGTTCTTAACTTGGTTGTTAGATTGAGCGGCTTCAGCGGATATTCGTGGAAAGTTTTGGATACGAGTGCTCCGTACACTCCATCGAGGATAGCAAACGTCCACAGCTCGACATTAACAAAGCGATATTGGATCATGTTCATGCACACGACGACCCAAATAATTTACTGATCATCTACTACACGGGCCACGGCTCTAGAGATGAGGAAGGGGGATACCTAGAGCTGTCGGCGTAAGTCAATTACCTCAAATATTAGACAAGGATCTAAGAAAATTAGAAAAGAAGACCCCTCGCATATTAGAGCGTCCCGACGACACATGGCGAAAGCAAGCTGGCGCAAAGCGGAGTTGCCAGTTTTGAACGATATGGAGGGCGACGCACTTGTCATATTGGATTGCTGTATGGCGAGTGTAGCAGCCCTCAAGTGCCGAAACGTAGGATCACGGATCTACCAATTGCTAGCGGCCTCAGCGGAAGAGTCTTTCACATCTGGTCCAGGACCAAAATCTTTCACGACCGCGCTCTGCAACTCTTTGGAAGAATTGCTGGCCGAGAAGAGAGGGCCTTTTCTGCTAACACAGCTCTGCGAAAAGATAAACGAGAAACGAAAGAAGCAGCCATGTCTAACATGGGATCGACTACGGAGCTACAAGCGAACCGTGCAACTCGGGCCTCTACACCAGCATCAGACCCAGGAACGTAAGGCTGCTTTCCAAAAAGATGCTCCGGAGAGAGCGTCGATCAATCTTCGGTTATCGCTCAAGGTCGAAGATCTCGATGAGAACCAGATCAGATATGTTGCACAAGAGATACCTCGCATCTGTCGCGAGGTCAAGGTGGACGTTCGACGTATATACTGGGAAGGAATGACAACTAAAAAGCGAACTATGAGCAGTATCATAGAGGCTGATAGCGAGGACGCTTTCGAAGTTCCAATAGATGACCGAGGTGAAGATGCGATCGGGCGTCCTCGTCCGATGGTATTTGAGGCTGCTGTACACAGTGTCAACAGAGCGTACCGAGTTCGAAATGCCTTCAGGAGGATGCAGGACAATCGTCGGCCAACATGTGAACGTGAGAATGGAGTATTCCAGCTCTTTACCAGAACATTAATGACAGGTTCCATGGCTCTAGCGTTTGCATTGGTAGGCGCATTGGTCTTCACCGAAACAAAGGAGAGATGCATCTTGTTCGGAGCTGGTGTAGCTATGATGGTGGCGTATCAGATGCAGCAGCTTGAGCAAACTCTACAAGGGGATCGACGACGCCGTGGTCTCCGTTAACCACAAGTACAACCTGTGCGTACCTAGATAGGTGGAAAATGAGAGGCGTCTGGGTGATTTTCTCGGTTGCGGAGTTTGTTGGGTCCGTACTGGACGTTTTCTGACCTTTCATCAGTAGCATTATGAGGACTCTCTCCTGTTTTACAATTAGCAACAGAGCTCAAAATGACACACAAATACTGATCTTGGAACAGGATGAGCGTGCTCAAGTATTCGTGCATGCGCGTGAACAAGAAGTGGAGCAGATGCGACGCGTGACTTCGTGACGCATGAGTTGCACGCTAACCTGATTACGACAGCTCGACCGCTATCTCCGCATCACCGCGTCAACCACCGATAGGTCTCCAGGCTGCACCTTATCATATCTCTCACTACCATCTTCGTTCTCAGCAAACATGAAGTCAACTACGCTATTGCTACCACTCTACACTGCAGCCTTTGCTGCTGCGGTTTCGCATCCCAAGGACCCCCAAGTCGTCTTGCAAGAGCCGCAGCTTACTATCGTCGAGCCGGATGAGTATCTTATCGAGCTATCACCTGGCGAGACAAGATGGGTCACCGAAGACGAGAAGTGGGAGCTTCGCAAGGTATGGTCAACCACCCAACGTCGAGAGCTATCCGCGTGATGTACGATCCGAGGCTTGTCGCTGACATGGCCTAGCAAAACATCAACTTCTTCGACATTACGCACAACGAAGAGCTCGGTACGCTCAACCGCCAGTTCAAGACTGAGAGCGTAAAGTTCCCCGAAAAGCCCATTTACAATGAAACCATCGCTCCACTACTCAAGAAGCTGGAAAAGAACAACATGCGCGAGCATCTCGAGACCTTTACCTCATTCCACACCCGATACTACAAGTCGAAATACGGTGTGGAGAGCTCGGCATGGCTTCTTGGGCAGGTCAACAAGACTCTTGCCGATGCAGGCGCTGTCAAGGCCTCCGTGAAGGCGTTTCCCCACCCCTGGGGCCAATCCTCCATCATTGCCACAATCCCTGGCAAGAGTGATAAGACGATTGTCATTGGCGCCCATCAAGACAGCATAAACCTCTTCTTCCCATCTCTCTTGGCTGCCCCAGGAGCCGACGACGACGGCAGCGGTACCGTTACCATCCTCGAAGCATTACGCGTACTGCTCAAGTCGGAGGAGATCCTCAAGGGCGAGGCAGACAACACAATTGAGTTTCACTGGTATTCTGCCGAAGAAGGAGGTCTCTTAGGATCACAGGCTGTCTTCCAGTCTTACGAGAAGGAGGCTCGCAAAGTCAAGGCTATGCTTCAGCAGGACATGACTGGTTACGTTCAGAAGACGCTCGATGCAGGCGAGCCAGAGTCTGTTGGTGTCATTACCGACTTTGTTGATCCTGGCCTCACCGAGTTCATCAAGCAGATCATCACTGTCTACTGCGGCATTCCGTATGTCCTGACCAAATGTGGTTACGCCTGTTCCGATCATGCCAGCGCATCCAAGGCCGGCTACCCGTCAGCTTTCGTCATTGAGTCAGACTTCAAGTACAGCGACAACAAGATTCACACAACCGAGGACAAGATTGAGTTTCTAAGCTTTGACCACATGCTTCAGCATGCGCGGATGACGCTTGCTCTGGCATACGAACTTGCTTTTGCAAAGTTTGAGTAGCGCCGGATAGGATGTAATGAGATCTAAGTTGTACAGTCGACTTGAATGGTTTGTTGTCATTGCACGAACAGCCAACGATGTTGTATCTACGAATCAACCTCCTGAACCATGCTCAAGAATCATTGAACTCTCCAAACATACGTGACGTATGCATACCTTCAGCACTGTATGTTATAGGATTTGCGGAAAGGAATTAGATACTGGCACAATGGCTATTGACAGCCACATGTTCCTTCTATAGCATCCGTCTCAGTCACCTCTACCATCTACATCATCCAAGTCGTTACCGCCAGAGTGCTCGTCATCATCGCAATATTCTAAGTGATTAAAGTTGCCATGTCTCCACAGAGATCTTGGGTTTCACTCTGGACACCGACACACCCCGTCTCATGGTGCAAAGCCCTGCTCTGTAGGTATCCACGTAGATAATTATGGGGTAGTGGTACGTCATCCTGTGCATCATAAACCACGGGATATTCTCATCACGGTACAAGCGGTGAATGCTCTGGATGACAAGTTGCTGGTGCGTATGGCATAGCAAAGGCGGCACGATTAGCTGTTGAGCAAGACCGCCAACGAAAGCGGCATATATAATTCAATGGTAACGACCCATCCGTCTATATGCAGATGCAGTGCGAGTATAGACTCATGCCAAGCCGTATACATGAGTAAAGCAGACTGAACGAGCGAATGTAGAGGATGCGAGAGGTCTCAAGAAGAGCTCGAGGCCAATGAGAACTAGACCAAGCCATAGAGTGGTCGCGGCAAAGAGCTACAGACCTGGCTGTCGTTGTTTCCTGCCTTGATCTTCGCGCCCTTCAAACCAACGTATGCTTCGCGCCTGGCTGGATTGCCGACAGTAACACTCCACGTCTTCAAGCCATAGTAGACCCCGATGTGATGTACGAGCCAGCGTCCAAAGCTGCCGCCCACGTCTTCCTCAGGTGTCTCAAAGAGCATGAGCTCTTTCTTAATAGCCTCAGCCTCTGTAGGTGAGCGTAGATCGTTCATCTGTCCGTTCCTTCCAACAAAGACGATCTCGTCGTCTTCGCTGTCTGGGTCAGCAGGTAAGCCATCTTGCTCTGCCTTGCGCTCCTTCTCTTCCCAGTCGGCGACGAACTTGCGGACCTCACCCTCGAGGTCCATGAGAAGGCCCTTGGCACCGCGCGATCGCTTGAGCTTCTCGCGCAGTTCCTTGGGCACGACACCGGGAGTTGTGGGCTTGTTGGCTACGGTCTTGGTCGCAGCCTTTTGAGCGACTGCAGCGGTCTTGCGTTCGTTGGACTGGCGCTTAAGGCCGGCATCCCAGAGGGGAGCAAGGTAGTAGGGCACGTTTTTAGCCGTGTAGGTAGGATGAACCTCCCAGTCCTTTGGCAGTGGAGGCTCGGCGTAGGGGTTGTTCAGGAGACGGTCTGTCTGGAAATCAATGGACGCGTACTTTCAAGAATGAATTACTTGCAGCGCAAGTGGTGATAACAGGGCCGTATTGTGATGCGCAAAGTGTCATTGAGAGAGGAGGAGGGGGCACCCTCAACGTACCATTCTCCCAACGCTGCCTGCGCCTGGATCCCTCCTTGCCCTTTAGCAGAGCTTCACGCCTCTTCAAGCTGTCGCGGCGGAGTGGTTCTTTGCGACGGTAATAACCGCCCTCCTTTGCAGCTGCTGAAGCACCTACGGGCTGTCTGGCAGCTGCAGGCGCATCGTGTTCATCGAGCGGGATCGCAAGCGTAACCGAGGTACCCTGAAGCGCATCTCCAGGGGCAGATATGGCCACAGAACTGAGCGCAACGGTCGCCTGCTCGGTCCACGCTTCAATATCGATGGGTTGAGGTGGGGCAGTTGCCTGCTGGGGGCTTGAGGGAATATCGCCGACGGCCATTGTGGTGGCGTTGAGGGTGTGAACTACGAGAAGAGGAGTATAGATGAAGTTCAAGAGAGGAAGTGCTAGTACACTCAGCAAGAAGATGTCTGAATAGAGGACAAGGAGACAGAAGCTCTATTACACACCGAAGATGTGTTCAGGGACAGATGGCGATAAAGGCCGCGGCGCGATAGGAGAGTCATTAGGTCATGGTCGTAGTTCGCGTCGTGCTCGCAAGCCAATCAAGCGGCAAACGTGGGGCAAGCCGCGCATCATGGAGTGAGACAGCAAGAGTCACACGTCTGTGACTGTACATGCACTCAACGTTGTGTTCGTTCAAGGTCAGAAAGGTGATGAGGTAGTTATTGACGGTCGTGGTTCTTTTGTGTGCTGTACGAGCTGAATACGAAGCGTACGCAGCCCGTCTATCACATGTCATCCGTCGCCTTCCGCTTCTGCAGCTTCTCTATGAAAGTAACATGAGCAGCTCAACACAAAAACATCATAACGAAATAGCATTACCCGTCAGCTGCATAGAGATCCTCCATATCAGCTGGAGTAGTGATTTCGTTGCGCTCGGCAAACTCCTTCCAGTTCAGTGTAGGTTGATGCCACTTGCGAGCCGACACCAGATACTTCTTCCACTGCGTGCTGTTCCACTTCGCGCGGCGCCTGGATTCCGCAAGCGGCCAATCTATCTTCTCGACGCCTCCGCCTCTACCTTGGATTGATAACTGTAGACACTTCGTATACCACTCTGGTAGCCCAGTAACCTCTACGTCCTTGATGCCGCGAAGGTATGCAAGGCTTTCGAGACCGAACATGAACTTCTCTGTGTCCTTGGGAACACAGGAATTTATGATACCCCGAACAGTCTTCCCGCAAGCAGATTGAGCTGGCTTTTGTGAAGTAAGCTGGAAATCGACCTTTAGGTCTTCCAATAGAGATTTCTGATCGCTATCATCTGCATACTCTTTTAGGATTTCGACAAGGTACTCTAGTCGTGACCGCTGACGCTTGACGGCCCAGTGGCTGTTGATATCAGGAACTACCTCGATATGAATACGCCGCAGATTGCGTAACAATGGGAGTCGATCGGGATGACCAAGAGGTCCGAAGACGAATGGGCTCCGCAGTGACTTTGGCCACATGGTTTGTCCATGGACAGTGAAATTATAGGTATTCAGTCCATACAAAACCGCTGAAACAGTTAACAAAAGTGAATGCAAATATGGTGATGACTTACATAGCGCCTCGTTGGAAACGAACTTGCTCACCCGAAATAGCTACGTCTCGACCGTGATATGGTTCCAGCGGCGTACCGATGTGTTTTTGTAGAAGGGGTTTCCACCTATCCTGCTAGGAACGTCTTCACCCTTTCGGATGCCGTTTGTGGTCCAGTCAGGCTCGCCGCTCCTCAACCAACCACAATGTTCAAATGTAATGACCATATTATTTGGGATCAAGAAAGAGTACACATAGTATCGGAGCTCGGCTGGAAGATCAAGAAGGCGGAAGTTTGTCATGGTTTCGCAGGCAAGGAGGCTTCGTCAATGTTGAACTTGTAAGAGATGTCGGTAATGATCAAAAGTCGAGTGGGTGAAGGCAATCAACTCAGCAGGCGAGATGAGCAGGGGCAAATAGCAAAGTCCACGTGCGCCAAGATCACTTGTTCTACGCAGGCAGCAACGAACCCGCAATGGTGTATTGAGGTGAGCTGGGACGACTAGTGAAGTAGTGAGAGAACATGTATTTGGGCGACGCGAGTGCGAAAGAGAGCAGTTCACGTAGGGCAGCAACAGAGACGTGAGATCCAGAAGATGGCGTGGTGTTGTGGCACAGTTGCAGCTGCATGGCCAAGCGAGCCTTCCCACTGTTTCCAAAAGTAGTGTTCTGCTCGACGTCAGGCAAGTTTGAAAGGTATGATAGCACATGGGCGAAATGGGGCCAAGTACAGAGGAAGGACCTCAAAACCTATCTGTATAATGTCTACGACGGGCACAAGTTTGTAGAAGAAACAGAGGTCATAGCTGGTGATCAGCTTTCAGACAAGGCTCTGTTCGTCTCTTCCGTCCCTCACCATCTCCTCTGCCAGCCATTCGGCTTCTTCCTGCATCTCTTGGTCGGTCCGGGGCTTGCGGCTATCATTGTCCACAGCAGGGAAGCGCCCCTTCTTTTCTTCTCCCGCGAGATGTGCTTTAGCTGCCTTTTCCTTGTCGGCAAGCTGCTTGCTCAGGTCCGCATCTTCGCTCTCCATCATGCCGTATATAGCATCGGTGCCACCCTTCTCTTCCAAGTCGTCCCTCTTGCGAGGGATGATGTGCGCATGAACATGGGGCACGCTCTGGCCTGCGTCTACGCCGTCTTGTATAGCGATATTCAGGGACGAGGCACTGAAGACTCGCTCCACCATGCGGGATACCCGCTGCACGGTCAAAAATAGGTCCTGCACTTCGGCGGCGGACAGATCGTTGAAACGCGGCACGATACGGCGTGGCGACACCAAGACATGACCAGGCAGAAGGGGCTTGAGGTTGACTATGGCAAAGGACAGGCGCGTTACGTGGAAGACCTATGTGCGCATGATTAGCCTGTGTCGTATGTGGTCTGAATTTGTGGCTGCACCTGGTTCGTCACCACAAAGGTGCCGAACTTGATGACATCCTTTGTGAGCGGCATTCTCCCCGGTTCGTCGCCTCAAGTCGTGTCTAACAGGCGTCGTAAGAACTGAGGCGCCAAGCAGTCTCAACGCAAGGGCGCGCGCGGGCGGCGGCGGCGCGCCCAAGATTGAAACCACACGGAACTTTCCTCGCACCTTCTACTGCGTGCTGCGGTATGCACGCCATACCTCCTTCACCCCACTGCCCTTTAGCGCCGACGCTACACCGGAAACTCGAGGCGAGCAGAGGACCCCGTTCTCGGCCCAATCTCAGCTCCTGTCACATGAATTGCAGCGGCGCAATCAGAGTCCAAACAGCTGCGACGCGTGGTGAGCTGCTGCAAATCCATTCGCACAACCAGATCCACGTCCACCACCGTGGGGACGCATCGTGGGGTTTTGCCCTGTGCTTTTGGCTGCCCGCGCTTTGTGCATGCTGACGCGCCATGACGCCGCCGACGCCCTCCTGCTCAGTCTTTTTACTCATCCACCGCCGGCCACCTATTACACTATAAATCTTACCTCCTCAACATAGCCTCTGTGTGACTCCAAAACGTCCTGTTTGCTCTTATCAATACCCGTTACTACTGTGGAGCACCTGGTGGACCCTTTACTCAGACCTTTTTGCTAGCACACACCTCTGACTCCCAGCTTAGCCTACTTGGACAGCCGCAACTCCACCAGCAAGACACGCCAAGAGGGTCTCACAAGTGAGCTTGGCTGGAGCACTGCGTTTCGAGCCCGGACCGTCTTTCAAACAAATCACCCTCCAGCACAAACACGATTCCGCCTCACCCGCCTTTGTGCAGACGAGCGACAAGCTACTATTGATTGACTTGGCACTCTGCGCTGCGGCGATCCTACATCCTGACGACGAGACAGGAAGGATCCCCACAGTCCCACCACGTACGCTTGTTCCCTAAGCGTAAGAACCAGCATCAGGGTTCGTTTACAGATTCCTTCGGTCCAAGTATAAGAGGGTCGGACCTCCGATTTTCTGCTCTTCTGGCCCCCAAGTCGGATATACCATATTCCACAACGTTCCACTCCGATTACATAGCGCGAATACCACACACGCTCCAGCCCACCTTCTCGCTGTCCTCATCGTACCACGGTTTCCGTTGATCGGTACCGCGCATCACTCCTAGCCGACTATATATAAAAGTCTCTCGGCAGCTGCTCTTACGGTTCACAAGCATTAAATCTCCGATACAACAACCATCCAACTACTCACTCACACATCTACAACTCCCATAATGGATATCGCCACTACTTCCCGCGCTTACTTTGCCATGCCCTCTCCCACTCCCGAGGAGAAGATCTCCCTCCAGGCCAGCAACACAGTCTACACCTATCACTGCCTGTGCAACCACCTCCTACTGGCAACCACCACACCGCTCCCTTCTCTACCCAAACGCCAACATACACGCGATGCCGCACATATCATGCCGCTTCCGCCAGCACCCACTTCGGGCCGCAACAAGAACGCGCAGTCGCAGGATCACTATGGACTCCTCCTCTCTACCCGCCAAGACCGCCAAGCTGAGATCATAACCAGCGACGAGGGCTTTGAGAAGCGTTACCTACAGCGTTGTGGACGGTGCAATCTGGTTGTAGGATACCAGTTGGACTGGCAACAATTCTCCGTCGACCGGTCTGGTAGGCGCGAGGACTACGTCTTCCTTCTCCCAGGCGGTTTTGTCAAGACGAGCGACATGATCATGGGAAAAGCAGCTACCGCATCGACATCCGCCTCAGCAGTCGGCGGCGCGGGCATGGGCACGGTCAGTGTCACCCAAGTCAAAGCGTAGGCGGATCCGTCCGACCTGCGTCAGCCGTTGAACTCTGGGGCTCCCCGCCTTCCGCAGCTTACTCCACGGGGAAGCATGCGCAGGTTTCCTCAACAGAACGTTCTTATGGAATCATGATTACGATTGCCCTGACGAGTCTTCCTTTCGGCGCTTATTGATTTCAGTTGCTTTTTCGGAGTTCGGGACGTGTAGATCAGCGGGACGTTTTCCTTTCATCATCATCATCATCATCATCATCAGTACATTTAGATACCCCATTGGTGAACGCGCAAGGCTTCTCATGCTACAGGAGGAAAGAAGCCTACATGTTTACAAACAGACAGCGTCCCTTATGGATCCAAAAACAGTGTTGTGTTCCCTGTTTACATCAAGATATCACTGGTGTGCATTTGTGTGCGTGTGTGCGTGTGTGCGTGTGAGACTTGACTAATGCAATCTTGTCTTAGCATCAAATTCGCTGCTCTCGAGCTGTCCGACTCCCATGCCTTGCTGCCCTATAATGTGCAGATATCAAAGAAGTGTATAGATGTATCATGTTAAGACAATTCCAACGCCGACGTAATCCGCATGCAAAAAACCGTGACCCGTTTCAGACATGCTCGCATAAAATCTCAATGGAGAAGGAGAAGAAGGGACGAACAAGAATTGCAAGAACCAACGTTTAGTTCTCCGCAATAGTCTTGACGAACTCTGCAATCACCAGTCAGTCAAAGTCTTCTGATGCTCTGTTCAAAGATGTAGAAACTTACCCCTGTAGTCCACCTCGTTATTGCTTGCATCGATGGTGCTCTTGAACAGCTCATCGACCTCCTCCTCACTCATCTTCTCTCCCAGGTTGGTCAGAATGTACTTGATCTGACCCTTGCCGACAAACCCGCTCCGGTCCTTATCGAAGACCTGGAAGCCGCGGATGTATTCCTCGATGTCAAAGGGTTCGCGGAAGCCGCCGGGGCGGTTGAGGATCTTGGAGAAGGTGTCGAAGTCGACTGTGAAGAACCGGTTAGCCCTGGAACCCATGTGCAGCAGGCGCAAAACGCTTGGAAAGCGAATACGTGCATGGCGGATACGTACAGTCTGCGCCAACACCGCGCTCGAGATCGGCAATCTCAGCCAGTGTAGGGTTCTGTCCACATGCGCGGAGGAGGTCACCCAGCGCACCGCGGTCGACACGGCCGTTACCACGCTTGTCGAAGAGCTGGAAAGCTTCGCGGTAGTTGGTGGAGGCCTGATGACTGTTATCCATGGCTATTCTTCTCTCGTCCTGTTCAAATCGCTAGTGGTGGGGTTGTTGAACTGTCGGGCGTGGGCTTGCGATGCTGCCGTTGCAAAAGTCAAGTTGCAGTGTTGACACCATGTGCAATAGAATGAAGCACGCGCGTTGTTCTGCTGCGGCCACTCGCCGCTGCCCGTTGCCCGCACGCCAGGGCAGGGACGACCTGGCCCGCGGCCAACCAACGATTGCCCAGAGGCCACGAGCGATGCGGGGTCCGAGTTCCGAAGAAGAAAAGACTCGACTTACCATTGTGTATAATGCGTACTGTGAGAGTTGCTTGGTGACAAGAAATATATTCAGCAATTCCGAAAACGGTGGTATAGGCGGTGTGAGGGTTTAATCTGGTGTTGAAGGGGCTGTTAGATGTATCCTGAGCGTGGGCCGCCTAGTGCGTCGAGCGCAAAATACTGCCCGCCGCCAAGGGCGATGCGCCGTCGTCTAAGCAACCAGCGGTGTACTAGCTGTGTCCATCAACGTTCATGTTAGGCACAACAACAAGCTATCCATTTCCAAGAAATGCTCAGAATCCTCTAGCTAGTGCATATACAACACGAGCGGCCGTATCTTGTGCTCGGCCAAGACAATCCCTCACTTTGCACCTGCAACTATGAGACCATATGCTCAGTACGTTGAGAGACGGAGATACTGCTATCTTGCAAATCCACTCTATTCACACCCTCGCATTTATTGAAAAATATCTAGAACTTCTCCATCAAGTTCTTTCTCACGGTCCACATCCGTGCTCTCTTGCCATAAATGTACATGGGAATACTGAAAAGCATGCATCCCAATTGGATGCCTCCGATCGCTATGAATGTATCCTTGCTACCGCTCGACTCTAGCCAATGCGGGAAGAAGAGAGAAAAGATGAAGCCATGTAAAACGTCTGTCGGAATGTGTTAGTCTTCATATAAATGTAGGTAGCATCAGGCTGGACGTACTCTTTGAGAAATTAAGCGTGACAAGCGCCTCACCCGCATACATGCGATAACTGTCAACCACGAAAGTAATGGCTGTGGTACTAGCCAGCGAACAGCCGAAGCTGATGACGCCGAAGAAAACGGTCGGAACAATCCAGCTGTCCCTCTCTTCAGCACTCCAACCAAAGCCCATAAGTCCAATGACAGTGCTAATGGAGATCGGGACCGCCATGAGGAGACGGAATTCTGGCTCGTATACGCCATCATTCTTGCGTGCCATGAATCGTACCACAAGGTCGGAGACTCGGCCTGCTACTGCAGTACCCAGAACACCACCTACAAAAGGTGAGATGTAGACAAGACCCACTTGAAGTGGGGTGAAATTGTACGACGTGTCGTGGTAGATGTGGGCAACCGATTCAGAAAGCACAATCAGCCAACCAACAGCAAGAGCGTAGACGAGCGATGACCAGAGGACAGCGGGATAGGCAAAGAGGATGAATGGGCGAATGGCTACGCGAAGCCACTTGTCTTTGACAAGACGCCCGTTCCACGGCTTGAGCGACTGGCGATACGACTTTGCTGGCGCGTCACGGTAGTAGTCGGTGTAATGAATCGAAAACTGTTCTGACACATGGTCATTTTCGGCAGGATCCGTCGATATACGTTCGCTGCCAGGACGACTATCTTGTTTCTCTGGATCAGCTACAAAGGTTTCCGGAAATTGTCCGAAATAGTCATGACGCGGGTTCTCGCCAGGCGTGGAGTGGATGCTCATCGGAGAGCGTGGAGTAGGCGGCACACTTGCGTGTCGTCCAGTACCATCAGCAGTATCTGCATGATCAGTCTTCTCGTCAGGGTCTGGCTCGGCGAATCCAACATGTGTGTTCTTGTGACGTTTGGCGGGCACCTCGTTGGGCGCTGCCAGAGGCGATGTAGGCAAGGGTGTTGCTGGTACTGATGCATTTTGTGCCTGCGATGCATCGACAGCCTTCTTGTGGTGCATATTTGGTAGATGAAAGTGTCCATGGTGTTGTCCTGGACTCTTGCTGCGGGCGCGATTGTGTCGCTTGGCTGGCCTGGGTGCTCGGTCCCAAAAAGTTTCGGGCACGAAGAAGAAGATGAGGAAGAAACAGAAACCGACGACAATGGCGGTAATCCAGAAGACCCATCGCCAGCCCAAAGACTGCACAATAACGGCACTGACCAAAGGAATCAAGTTCTTTCCGCCAAGCAGAAGTAGCGTGTAGATTCCAAGGCGGTACGCTCTCTCGTGGAGGAAGAAAATTTCGGCAATAGTAGCGCTAGGCAGACATTCGACTGGAGAAACGGCAAAGCCTTGGACAATGCGCGCCACTACGAGGGAGGCGTAGTTGGGCGATACCGCACACCATATTGAGGAGACGGTGAAGAGTATAATGGCACCGAGATATACGGGCCGCTTGCCAAATAGAATGGCAGTAGGCGATGCAACCACGCTACCCAGACCGAGTCCCAGCATGTATAGGCCCGTAGTCAAGGCCACTTGGGGAATCGTCACGTCGTATGTCTCAGCCACGTCGTTGAAACCAGCGGCCAACAGCGGCGTCATTCCTCCTCCGACCATACAGTAGAAGCCAAGCGACAAGAGAGCGAGATCTCGTCGCACTTGTGCCCAGTTGAGCGGATCATTCGCCGACTCTTCGGGCTGGGGGTCCAGAATGAAACGACCATCCTTTGTCCGCTTCTTCTCGGGCGGCCGAGAACGGGACGACTGGCGGGAGCCCGGTTGCGAGGCAGTTCGCTGGGGTCTGGGTCGGTACGAAGTAGGGAGCGACGAGGCCGATGTGCGTGCGTGGGCATGCTGGAGTCCCAGCGGTTCGTTGCGGTTGTGCGTTTTGGACAGGAGAATAACGGAGCCTGTGAGGAGAGGATTAGTTGGCCATTCGCCTAGAACAATCAATAGAAAAAAAATGTCCTTACCAGGCACTTCGTCCGTCTGTGGGTCGCTCAGGATCCCCAGATTCCACCTCCGCCGTGGGGCGTCCTTCTCTTGTGTGGATGTGGCAGTCGAAGCCACGGGACTCTCGTCAGCTGACTGCGACTTCCGCCAGGGAGTGAAGTTGACCATGGCGTCTGTCCGAGAGTGTGATTCTTCCAACCGGAGAAAGAGCAATGTAAGAGACAGTAAGGTCTATATCCTACGGCGTACCCTGTAATCGATACCAAGGCTCTGATGACTAGTTCCTTGAGCAAGACTCACGAGGACCCTTTCTCCACACCAACGGCCCAAGTCTCCACGCCGCTGCAGATGCACGATAAGGACAGGTGACGGGATGTGGAGTCTCCATATCCACGTTGGGGAGGCAGCACAAACATGTGGTTACTACGGACAATGCGCGTGCTCAAGAAAGAGTGTTATCGCTGGTCCGCGTTGGTGCATATCGCGGCTACCATTGCTAGCGCCGGTGCCATGACGTACTGCCAAGGTCCATGTGACTTGGTATGGCTGAGACAGCCCGCCTCATTGGCTGCCTCGACCTTCACCGCCAACACTCTTAGTCGTGCTCAGACATGCGCAGACATGGTCCTCGTTGCAACACCTCTCCAGCCACAGCAATAACGCACGCGATACTTGCCCTATCCGCCCTTTCCGCGGCACTGCCTGTGCGATTACTCGCCTGTAACACGTGCTTGTCAGAATATGCAGCCGCTCTTCGTAAGAGACAGCCCATAAGCCCCAACGCTGCTGCCCGACAACCCTGTTGGAACGCAGCAATATTGGCGAACACGAGGCGATCGCGTCTGTGCCAACGAACATCAATCATGTCGGCCAAACCGCGGCTCCACAGCTTTCGGTCAATTGAAACGGGTCGATCAACCGCATGCTTGCTCTCACCACCACGATATCGCAATATTTTCCATACACTGATACGATCATGACGATTCATGCAATGACACGTACGCCATCGTCCGATACAAGCATTGCACCGCACATCGCGGTTACCTTTAACAAGAGATGCGTCGATCATGACTATCTTGATATTTCCTGCATTCAACATCGAAACAATGTACCACAATCGTCTTCCTTGTTCTCAATCTCCACAACCTCACTCACAGGCAAGAGGAATGCCCGCGTCTGGCGGTGGCGAGTATTCAATGCGAAGATTCGTGACCTTGAGCTCAGATATGGTATGGTGTAAGCGGGCAATCCTACATGCTATCTTCCCTCCATCTGCTTCGCACCTTCTGCCACCCCTCCATCTCTCCCTTTCCGCCTCTTTTCTCCAGTCCCAACCCCCGCTCGACCCACTCCTGACTTCCCATTTCACTCAATCTCGACAAGGCCCTAGCAAACGCAAATCGTTCTTCGTCACCAGAAAAAATACTGCTGTTCTTCAACATGTCCATGTTCATGCCAAGGTCATCCATGAGATTACGCATAACATCCGAGATAGCTTCATGATCGTCTGCTTCGGCAGATTTGGCAGGTGGCTTGGGCGAAGGAGAGGTCGTAGTGGGAAGTTTTCCAGCTTTCTGTGTAGCGGTTACAGCGTCGTTTAGTTCGGACTGATCGAGGAAAAGGGCTGTTAGGGGAACAGCTGTTGTCATTACTAGCTTGGCCTGGTCTTCCGTTAGTATGATACACTTCTAACCACGTGCCCTCGGGTATGGGCTCTCGCACTACCAGTATTTCGCTTACCCTTGATTCGTACACGGCATCTATAAAAGTGATGAATCTCCGCGCCAAGTCTCTTGACCTGTAGTTCATCCCAGGCACCCCTGTAATAACAAACGCCTCATACTGCCTCGTAAGTTCCAGATAGTCGGCTGCTCCCGTAGCGCGTCCAATGATGTCGTCGAAACTAAACACGGCACACTTCCCGCTAGCCTTCGGTACGCGAACTTCCCTTCCCCAGACCTCGTGAACAGCCGGGTGCGGTGGGTCGTTATCGAAGTCTCCGAGGAAGCGGAACCATCTCTCTACATGCGTTTGCGCGGAGGCGTCTAGCGGGTGGTGATAGACACCACTTGGCGGCCGTGGGATCTTTCTGTAATCTGTCGACGAATCCAGGTTCAGGACCGTAAGTCTTGATTTTAGAAGATTGATACAAGGTATGAAGCTTTCTCTTTGTATACCGTTCTTGTATAGGTCGTCTGGGTGTCTGTTACTCGTCGTGACGATGACTGTTCCATGCGCCATCAAGCTCTCCATTAATCTCCTGAGGATCATGGCATCGGCGACATCCGTGCATTGGAATTCGTCGAAGCAAAGAACCGAGGACCGCTCTGCTATACCCGCTGCGACGAAGGGTATACTGTCAATATCATTCCCATGCTGCATCTTCATTTTGTGCAAGTCTTTATGTACGCTTTGCATGAAGGCATGGAAATGGATCCTTGTCTTTCTCTTAATGTTTGGTGGAAGTGTGTCGTAGAACAAATCCATCATCATTGTCTTCCCACTGCCTACATCTCCAAACATATACATGCCCTTTGGTAGTGATTCTGGTATGGGTGGCAGGGCCGATCCTGCGGGGCTGGACGATGAGAGGAAGGAGAAGAAGGACTTTTTAGGTGGTTGAAGGGACTCGATGGTAGGTTGCTGGACAGGTGGTTGTTCATAGGATTGCAGCATATCGTGGAGGTCTTGAAGATTCCTGATGATGTTGCGTTGGTGCTCGTCGTCTCGTAATCGCCCGGATTCGACGCGCGCATCGTACTCGGCCATGGGGCCATGGGTTCGCTCAGGGTCTTCAGTTGCATCTGTTAAGATCAGCACTCATGTTGAAAAGAAGTCTTTTCAGTTACGAAACGTACATTCACGCGCAGCCTGTGCGTACCCTCTGCAACCTACCGGCGCAAAGGAAACTCTGTTCGGCACATGGGCAACGTTGCTCGGGCGCGCAGGAGCGTGCCCTGGCGCATGCCTCGCCTGTCTTGAACTTCTCGTGCAGTTGGTGCATATCGCCCTCTTGCCATCGACTGTCAGGTTGCGTCCCACCGCAATTCTCTTCGGCGTCGGGCCAGCGCATCGCGAAAGGGTCCTCCACCCTCTCAGGGCCTCGGATGATGTCATTTTCGACATTCGGCGCACAGCCTAAAAGCTTGCGACGACAACAACAACAACAAGGAAAAGAAGTAAATTAGACCTAGGGCATAGTGGAAAAGAAAGCTCAGCAAAAGCTAGGCGACCAAGTTGAACAGGGTAGTGGAGCGTCAAGCATGTGCGCGACCCACGACGGGTTGTTTAGGGTGGCGCGGGGAGTTTCTTCGCTGCAGCCTCGGCTTTTGACTTCCGGTCTGGTACAACTGCAGGGATTTCGGCCACATTTCAGTAGCCGACGTGAGAACAGCATAGTTCACGACAAAGTATTTGCATGGTCTTGGGAACCACTAGCGTTCCGTACTCTTCATCATCATTACCATTATCGCTACCTGCGTCGTGATCATGACTCCTCTTCCGCAGCCACACTCTCATACCTCCCTCCTTCACCTCCACCACCTCTCTGATACCTCATCTTGGGCACCTCATACAACCTTGTATAGTCCACTCTCTCACCACCCAGCCTTGCATACCCACTCTCTTTTGAACCAAACATTGGACTGGCGTCGCACCAGAAATCCTTGCAATTCGTAACGATACCTCGTGAAAAGGGGTTGCCCCGTCTTTGTCGCATTATTTGTTCTCCTTGGCTTCCGTGAAGGGCAATTGTAAGGAAGGTGTCGATTCCAAGCAGACGCTTCCATTGATCCCAAATAGAAGCTTTAGGTTGAGGACGACGTGGGATGTCGCCTGTATCTTGACCAGAGCCGAAACCGTTCGTGGGCGCGTTCCCGGCACCGCCGGACACGTCTTGGCTCGTATCGCCGGTGGTCACAAATGAGTTGAGCGCATCCGCAGGTGTGCCGCCATGAAGGTGTCCGCGCATGCTTTCGTAGGTCGTGAGATTGCGCGCGATCTGAAGAAGCTGAACACAAAGAAGCATGGTCACCCATGTCAGTTGGAAGGCAGCCCATATCGACAGTACAATCGTAAATGGGTCTTTGTTGAGGACTTTGCAAAGATCCGGCGAGATGACTGCGCATTTGGGGAAATCTTTGGGCGCTTCACGGATTTCCAGATCTACTAACATTAGCCTTATGACACCAGCATACCAGGTTCTGACTTACAAGCAAGGGCCAGCCTTATGAACATAACAATACCGAGTTCCAGAGACAGTACATACAGCACGAAATGTCTGTGGTTGTTGTTCGCCACACAGTTGTTCACCCATGGACAATGACTGTCACAGTTAGCGCCATCCTATGCTGTCAACGTGAACTACTCACTGATCACTCTTTGCAACGCAGCGCTCGCATCTCTTGCAATGCTTGCTACGCAAAGGCTTCCGCACCATGCAGTTTACACAAAAGTGGCGTTCATCAAATTGTCGTAGCTCCATAAGCTCGTCAATGACTGCCTTGGAAGCACTCCTGCTCGCCGACTTGGGTACAAAGCCGGGATCAATAGTCATGGTGAAGAAGTAAAAATAGGCCGTGAGTCCGTAGAATGCTGCGAAGAGAAAGTTCATAAAGAAGTTGGTTCGAATTGTCCAGGGTAAGACTGTTGTTGCCCAACGAAGACCGACCCAGAACAGTGTGCCGGCGAAGATGCCGGCCAAGAAAGGCTGGGATTTGGTTAGCGACAAGGCACAAGTAAGCCAGCAGTCGACGTACAGTATGATGTATGCTTCGCATGTTGGAGGGACCCCATCGCAAAAGCCACTGTGCTCCCCATTGCATGAGATAGGCGACAATCAACGACAAGGGTATACCAACAAACGCCGGGTAGTGGCTGACGAGGAAAAGTGCAGTGAAAAGTATAGCAAACGGCCAGAAGAATATGAAGCGACTCAGGAACCATCTCGTGTCCTTGATACCTGGGATGGGGAATTGTCTCGGATTTCCATTTCGATCGAAGCCAGCTTCCATGAGGGCGCGACGCCATTGCCGAGTAGTGTTCATCTCCTGCGCCGTGACCTCTGGTGTCTTGCCGTCGTTGTTCTTGGCGAATCGGTCGGCGCCATACTCTAGTAGCTTCTGTATTGATCCCTGACTCCCCTTTACCAGGGCCCAATGGAGTGCAGTGAAGCCCTGGTCGTCGGTCGCGTACACGTTGGCGCCCCATCTGAGGAACAAATCAACACAAGACGGATAGCCCTTGTATGCAGCCCACATGAGCGGGGTATGGCTCTGGGGATCTGGAATATCAACGGGTATGTCCTGGTGGAGCAGCAAGACGATCTGGTAGACATTGCCGTCAAGCGTGGCGCTGTGCAGGAGATTGAAGCCTTGGTCGTCGGTGAGGAGAGGGTCGGCGCCGTGGTCGAGCAGGAGGTTGACAATGTAGTAGTTGCAACGCTTCGCAGCCCAGAGGACGGGTGTCGCAACAGCATCGCCGCCCTTTGCGTTGATGGGCGCGCCAGCTTGGATAAGGAAGTGGCAGAGAGCGTAGTGATTGTTGATGGCGGCCCACTGCAGCAAGTTAGCAGTCGGTCCTTCTCAAGCCATCTGGTGTGCGCACATGTAGCGGTGTTATGCCCTGCTCATCTTTGAATGTCGCATCCGCCTTGCCGCTGTCGAAGAGTTTCTGGATAGCCGCAATTTCTCCCAGCCGAGCCAACTGCATTATATCCTCCTCCACTGGGAGACTGGGCTTGCTGTCCGCCATGACCTCGAGTTCGTGGTCGCCCGGGGAGGCTCCATTGCTGTCTGATGGCGTAGCAGCCATGTCGGGGATCCGCGTGATGCTGCTTGGTTGCGGAGCTTACAACACCTCCGGATCGTGGTAGCGCGCTAGTTGAGATGGCAGATGGATCAGAATTTGGGCAAGAGATTGGGAAAGCTGGTTCGATTGTCACAGCATGCTGACGACTGAGCATCTGGCGTTGGAATGCGAGTTGTGAGGCTTTGCAGACGCGGAAGATGCGGCCTTCGCGATTCCCCATTGCGCCCACACATCCTTGTTGCTGCTAACGCAAATCGTGGCGGTGCCACGCAAGCCTCATGCTTAAATCCGGAACCCGGCTTCAGCAGCCACTGATTTTTCCAGGCGCCAGCACAATTGTCAAAGAATCAACTAAACAATACACAAGTAGTCTATACATCCTTACATGAAACACTTTTTTGTTTTGCTCAACATGACATCCGAGACCTCGACATCTAGGCCAACATGCCCTGAAATTCGCCGCCTTCTCTAAGCATGTCTTCGGCTTTACCTGCTTTGATCAACTTGCCTTTCCCAAGCACCACACAATAGTCCGCTTCCTTGACTGCCTCCAATCGATGTGCGATCGTCACCACCGTACTACTCTTCATCTCCTCCCGCAGTACGCTTTGGATCCTCTGTGCCGTCTCGAAATCAATACTAGCCGTCGCTTCATCCATGATCAGTATTGGACTCCTCCGCAACATGGCTCTAGCTAATCCGACAAGCTGTCGTTGGCCCTGCGAAAGGCCCTTGCCGCCGCCCTCAATAGGCGTCGTGAGAGTCCAGTCGTACTGGTCGCCACCAATCTTTTGCAGCACTGATAGACAAGAAGCGTCCGAGTAGACAGATAGAGGGTCCAAGTTCTTGCGCATGGTTCCTGGAAAGAGGACAGGCTCTTGGGCGAGGAACGTAACACGGCTGCGGAGAGCCTGTTTGTCCACCGTAGATATGTCGATACCATCAATCAAGATCCGCCCGTTCTCCGCCGCAATGGTGGCAAGGAGGGAGAGGGCCAGAGTCGACTTCCCAGAACCCGTGCGCCCAATGACGGCTGTGTTGGAACCTGCTGGAATCTTCAGGGTAATGTTTTGAAGCGCAGGTTCAAGGTTCTCTGCATAACGGATCGTCACATCGTCAAACTCAATGTCGCCACGGTATGTAGGCCAATGTGCTGGCGGCTTGACAACGCCGGGTGCTTCTGTCTCAATGTCGAGGAGCTCAACCACACGCTCAACACTGGTAAAGTCCATCTCCAGTGTTCCGTAGATCCTACACATCCATTCTGTGTGAACAACGAATTTGCCCGCGGTGATGAGCACAAACGCAGTGAGCCCGGGGGTGATATGTGTATACACGGCGATGAGTGTCATGACGAACGTAGCACTAGCCGACATGACACTGAACCGAAGCGCAAGCCACGCTTGGAGCGACCAGTAGAAGTGGTCGTTCTTCTGGAAGTTGTCGACGACCTCAATAACACGAGCTTGAAATCTCCGTTGTGCACTGAAAGCTCGAACGGTGGTAAGGCCTTCGAGGAGCGCACCAAAGTTACTCATGAGTGGTGACAGCGATACCATCTGTCTCCAATTAGTAGTCAAAACCTTGTGTGAGTTTGCATGACTCACCTCAAGTCGTCTCAAACTCTGTGACGTTGGCAGGAAGCGGAAGAAGTAATAGACGAACCCACAACCAAGCAGCAGGCCAAAAGCCAGGAAAGTTGGGGTCGAAGACAAGATGATGACGACGGCGCTCATCCAGCCTATGGCCTGCCATGCAAACACAATAAAGGCGTTGCTTAGTTCGCCATCAATGGTGTTCATGTCACTAGTCAATCGGTTCATCAATCGCCCTACTGGCGTTACGTCGTAGAATCTGAACGTGGCATGGGCAACGCGCTCAACAGTTTCCCTGAATATGGTCTTGGCAGCGTGGTACTGAACGTAGGTGTATCAAGTTAGTGAATGTCTTACATGTAGTTTGTGGAGAGACACTTACGCCCACGCCGAACATGATCAGATTCGTCCACCAAAAGAGTACCGCGGTTGCCGTAATGAACAGGAAAAAAGTCCAAAGCCAAGGAACCACATCTTCCGCTGGTGGTGGTAGGAAGTCAAAGATACCCTTGTGTTTGCCCGGCTCGTAGCTTTCAGCCCAGGACTTGATAAACCAGGTCTGCGCAACGTCAAGCAAACGGAACAACGCCATGACGAATATAGCGACAGACCACCATCGAAGAGTACCTGCTCGGATGTAGCGCCAATAGACACTCCATTTGACACCCCCCTTTGCGCGATGTTCATCTTCGATGAACTTGTCGGGTACAGCCGCTGCTTGTTCTTCTCCTCGCTTCTTTGCGTCCTCCTCTGTCTCGGTTTCGTTCGTCTGAGTGCGCTCCAGTGCGTTCGCATCTTCAACTTGACCTGGTTCGTGGATCGTAGCTCTGCCCTGCTCTAGGTGGACCCATTGCTTCGCAATGCCATGGCATATTTCTATTCGATGTGTAGCAAGGACGGTTGTTCTACCTTCGAGCAATGGTCCAGCTAACAATTTGGCGACGATGAACTCGGCTGTCTGGTGGTCTAGAGCCGACAACGGATCGTCAAGCAGCAGCACTTTTGCGCGGCTATAGACAGCTCGCGCCATCGCCACGCGAGCTTTCTGGCCTCCAGACAGGCCAATGCCGTTCTCTCCAATATTTGACAAGTCTCCATGCTTGAGCTCAGTCATGTCGGGTAACAATGCACATGCTTCCAAGGTCTGTTTGTAGCGGCTCTCTTCATAGGGGTACGAGAAGAGTATGTTGTCGCGAATACTCATGCTTTGAAGCCACGGGGTCTGCGCGCAGTACGCAACTACCTGATCAGGGCGCACAAGCTCACCGGCTGTTGTATCAAGCTCGCCCAGAAGAGCTTGCAGCAGCGCTGTCTTACCGGCGGCAACCTCGCCGTATATCACCGTGACCCCAGCAGGGAAAGACAACGTGATGTCTTCGAGTACGTTATGATCTACTCCGGGCCAGGCAAAAGATGCATGATGGAGACCGAGATCAGCAGATCCTTCTGGCACGACATCCGTCTCTTCTTTGTCTGGTTCAGCCATAAACTCCTCAATACGGCCCATCGCGACGTATGCATTGAGACAAGTAGTGACGAGTTGCGGCAATGCTCGTAGGTACGATTCCAGCAGGTTAAACAGATCAAATGCAGGAAATATTAGATCAATGCGCAAGTTTTGGCCGGCCAACTTGGTGAAGGCGTAGAAAGCGACCGCAGGAAACAGCCCAGAACCAAATCGTAGAATGAAAGAGAGGGATGTCGAAAAGATGATGTTAATGATGCGAAGATGCAACTCTTTTTGACGAGACTCCAGTATCCCATCCAGCCATGCGCCTTCCCAGCCGTACCAGCGCAAGTGACGAATAGACTCTATAAATTGGCTCGTACGTTGCAATTTCTCGTCCGTTGCCACTCTGCGTTTCTTCTCGAAGTGGACCTGAAAGCGAGCAATGACGATATTGAGTAGCTGTGAAGCTGCTAGTGCCACAACACCGAGCAGGCATGCCCAACCCAGCATGCGCCAAATCAGTATAGTCGCGAAGATGGCACCGGCAGGCTTAGTAACGATATCGGAAAACTCCCAGAAGCGTTGTGCTATCTCGTACGCATCATTGCGCATCAGATTGAGGATCTTTCCCATTGATGCTGCGTCTTTATCATCTTTGACCTGCGCTTGGACGCTCTTCGTAAAGACTGATCGCACGGACATGTTCAGCCGTCCTAGCCAACTTTTGGGACTCGCTTTGATCGTTGCGTCAATATCACCACCAATCACACCGTTCGTTGCGTGTGCCTCATGGTTGCTGTGACCATTGGTCTGGTCTCGTTTGACTTCCTGTTTGGCACCCAAGATCTTGCGATGCAGTGTCTTCTCATAAAGCATCGTGATGAGCTCACCCCTACATCTCTCGTACGCTCGTCTCTGGTACCACAGGTTGAAGGTGTTCAACTGAGCAGATATCAGACGCAACCCCAGGATGACACAGGCGTAGGTAATCGTAGCGCTGTTGTTTTTGTCCTCCAAGGAAGCGAGAACTCGCTGCAAGAGTACTGGCGTGAGTAGAGCTGCTTTCGTCAGATCCATACTAAGCAAAGTAGAGGATTTAGATTCTAGACTTACTCGCACACAATCGTATCACGTTTAAGACAGTGGTGCGTATTAAGTCCATACCATTCGCGACAAAGATTCTTTTCGTCACCGAACCTTGGAGCTTACGGAATGTCTCGTGGAGCCGAGCATGCTTGAACTCCCAACCCAAATCCCAGATGTCCTCGTCTTCCATTTGGCGTGTCACACCTTTTTTGATCAGCGGTTCCATCCAAGACACCGTCATGTACTGCCAGGGAGTCAAGTTGTCTTCAGGAGTCCGAAGTTGCACTGTTGGGGTGTCAAAGGCAGGGCAGATGTCTTCTCTTGGTAATACAGGATCTCTAAGAGGCATGTTGAGTATCGTAATGATGCCCAATATAGCGGCCGCAGGCGCGACGACCCAGGGAACATCCTTGGCTAGGAATTTAGATGATCTATGGGACAGTGCGACCAGCTGTTCCAGTAAGAGACCCGTGAACAGAAGCAACAGTGGCAAAGAAGCTTTTCTTGGACGCTCTACGAGGATAATCGCCACTATAACGGCCTAAAACAATTGTTAGTCGACAATCCCAGCTACGCTAGAGCTCACGTACCCATGCGATAGCTGGATATATAGCTGTTGGTTGTCGAATGGGAAAGAAGACATTGAGGATTTGGAATGTCAGGCCGATCGTAGCGAGAGCCAAGAGGGAAAATGTCCCGATCACAGGCCGATGTGTCGAAGGTGTTTCTGCCTCACTCGACTTCTCCTTTGCCTCGTGTACAAAAGGTTTCGTCCATCTTGGCCAATACCCATCGACGACCCGTAGCGAGTACTTGAGCAGTACTAATGCCGCGAGTATAGCTGGTATAGTTGCAACAAAAGGCAGAGCACATGGGGTGAATTGTGCTGCTCTTGTATCCTGGTGAGGTCAGCTGTATTCTAAGAAGCTATCAGAAGCTGTACTGACCCAAATTCGATGGCAATGCGATATTGGTGGTATACTGGGAAATCTTGGAGCCGAAGACAATGGGATCTGGAAGGACGCCATAATGCTTGCCTCCTACGTTTACGCGTCAAGACCTATTTAGACAACAATTCCTTCCACCTGAGCCCCAGCCGATGAACACCTGGTCGAGCAATAGTGAGCATGTATACAATGTCTTACGCGGGTTTCCTAGGCATCAATGGAAAAGGTCCCCAGCGAGGCGAATGTCGGTGAAGTCTTCAAAGGCAACCGCAACGGCGCGGAGACTGGCTCCGGCCGCACTAGCGTACCCCACTGATGGCCATTGCAGGTGTTCGGGAAAGAGCAGAACATCATCGCAGTATGAGGTATCTGGTATCCTACACGCACCGGAGCATCACAGCTCGACCTTTCTCCTGCATGAGGTAGCACTAGAGCTAGGTTGCATGCGCGCGCCCTGGATGTTAAACGCATGCCGACAGGTGGCCTTGCCGCTCACAGTAAGACGAAAAGCGGAAACGCGTCATTGACACAAATAATATTAGAGGATGCAGTTTGTTCACCGATCAAACCATGATGGGGGTACAGGTCGATGACATCGTGGTCCTTCTCTGTGTTCCCGCGAATACGCGCTAATGCAGCAGGCGCTAAGGAGAGGCGCAATCTTCGGAAGAACCGAAGGATAGACGAAACACCACGCTTCCTCCCAACCACCTTGGCCCTGTTGCACTACATCTGCCAGTCCTATCTCGCCTTTGAAGGACGAATCCTACTGTTCGATATCGGCGCCTTGACCATGCGAAGAGAGCACAGTATGACGCACCCGAAGTCGCTGCCTGCATCTCCTTCGTCAGCGCGCCCAGAACACAGTCGTTGCTTCTTCCATGGCATTGCCAGCCACCGCCACTGCAAGCCACTTCGTCATTCTAGACAAGTCCAGTGTCCAAACTGCGAATCTAGATGTTCGGTTGTTGGGTTGCGCAAGTATGGCACCGATCCTAGGAAGGCTGCGAGGCGCCTACATTGCAGCCTTGCCTACAGCAAATGGGATGTAGGGACCAAAGCCTGACAACCATCAGACATCCGTCCTAGTTGTATCTACGTGTCTTGGACTGGGCACAGCCGTCGGCTATGCACGTCTGTTGCAGCAGACAAACACGGCATAGTCTCACTTACTGCAATCAGTACTTGCGAATGATGGTATCGAACGACCACATCGTTCGTCGCTGGCTATCACTCACTACGTCCTAACTGGAATCGTTTACTGATTTGAAATAGACATGGACAGTATCGATTGAGGCTGATGTTGTTGGATGTGCCATTCTTACCCTGTTGTCAATGCGAGGATGCGTTATGAAACATGCGAAACAAATGGTACAGCAGTGACATTCCGCACCGCCACACGTACGCTCATGCGATCTCTGCATTTGCTGGAGAGCAATTCTACAGCGCTTCAATAAACACAACTGATACGTTTAAATGACAACCATAGCGTATGGACTTCTTTTCTACCACATGGCCAATTTGTTATATCGTACATCATCTATCATCCATAATTTTCACACTCAAGTATGGTTTCCCGCGCCCCTTCAGACACCTCTTGCCTTCGTCGGTTGCATGGATCAAGACCAAGCTCACTATCAGAATCTAAAACTGAACCTAATGATCCAAATCTCACAACCATAAAATATCCTGCGGTGAGACAACGACTTACAGCCACCAACAGTGACTCCACAGTGAGTGTCCCGGCACAAATTGGATGTGGGTCGTATATTGACTTCGTACCACCGCATTCAGACTCTTGCCTCTACTGGTTCACCCATCAGCAAGATCGCCGCCCGATCGCACAGCCTAGTTGATTCGGCTACCTGCGACACTCGTTTGAATCGGTCTACTCGTTTCGTCTCTGATCCGCTCCAAGATCGAGAACGAATTGCTGCAGAAGCAGTTCGCGTTCCCAGGGAATCTATTCCGCGGAAGCGTCAGCGGTCCGATAGCAGTCCGGATCCGGATGTGGATAATTCATCCACATCGAGGTCTTCGGCTTCTCTATCGACCCCCGGTACAAACAAAAGAACGACTCGACAAGTCCGTCAAGACAACAATAGTCATTCACCAGGCATGATCCCGAAGACCGCCAGATCTACCCACGATAGCCTATATAGGGAGCTACGGAGAAAGTTGACTCCTACTGATCAAAAAGGCTTCATGTATGTCTTGTGTGATCCGCACAATAAGAGAGGAGGCTACAAGATTGGATGGACGACTCGAGTATTCAGAGAACGTATCGTCGAACATGAGAAGGGCTGCAACTTCACAGCTGATATAATTCACGTCTCGGATCACGAGATTGAAAACTGTTCTCGCCTGGAAAAGCTTGTGCATACTGATCTGGAAAGCCATTGCGTGCCGATTCAATGCGACAAACATAAATCGGTACACAAGGAATGGTTTCAGGTTACTGAAGAGATGGCAGTCGGGACCGTGAAGAAATGGGAAAAATTCATGCATCGAGAAAGACCATATGGCTGGAACAGACAGCTAAAGATCGTATGGGAGTACCTCCTCGAGACAAGAGCGCCTACATCTCTCGACGTACGTACATTGGCACATGATGCTCGTCAAGAGCATTGGGAGAGAATAATTGCGCCGCCAACAACGGACGACTACCTTCAAGCTTACCGAGTTCGCATTCAACTGTTGCTGAAAAACCTCTTCTGCAACCTATGCGATATCTGGTTGTGCGTACAGAAGTTCTTCTGGCCAATTTCCAGCTTGATCTACGGCATGATCACATTAGTCTTGGCTCGAAACCTCCTGGCATTCTATGCGTTCGTGTTCGTGCTTGTATGCGCCAGTATACATGTCATGTCTCATGTAACTCTGAGTCCTCCAAAGCGAAAGTCTCGGACGCCTAAGAAGATGAATGCAGTAGCTAGTCCGCTGTACGGGTAGACTGTGGAGAGGGATGGGACATCCCGCGCTTGATGAATGCCTTTTAGCCGCAATTCAGCAGTCATGGTTGCTTTTAAGATAAATGCCGAAAGTAGGATCTTGAACCCGGGGATAATCACCTCTGCAATGTATGCGTTGAATGCACACACTCTCTTTTGGGAAGGTACCAAGTTTCCATGCCGTTCTTCCTTTACTCGACGATAGGCGGTAATTTACATCCAGAGTTCCGACCTTTGTCAAGACTACAAATATCGCAGTCCGGTAGTTTCCGTGCAATCATTCGCTTCGCGTTCCCTGGGGTCTCTAGCGCTCTCTCAATTCTGCAGTGGATGTGATGCGGGGTACGTATTCTCGCGAAACGGAACCTTCGATGTATGCACCCCACATCACGAGTTGTCATCTCACCCAGGATGATGGTTCGTTAATCCATGAACACTGAATCGTGCCTCGGCTTCGATTCGCGAGCTTGACCGCAACGCTCGATAGTGTCCTTTCGATCCCGCAGCAAATCCTCGTCCCCGTACCACGCGACCCATCCATCCCACCATCAGCCGTTCATCCATGTCTACTTCATATGCATGCCTAGACACAGATCCCAGGCACAGATTCCTGGGCCGAGGAAGCTCAGATGCGACCAAGATGCTCACTGGTCAGACTATCGACAGTCAACAGTAAACACCAGATCTTGATCTCCCAAAGATGGTATGTGAACGGCTACAGCACTCTTTGGGGACAGTATGCCCGTTCATCAATATCAGAGATGCATTCCAAGATGCTAGGCAGCTCGGATACCGAGGCAGTCGTTGAGGGTGCCAGTGTGAAGACAGTATCTTGTACATGTAAGAAAGAGCATAAAAGGGAGGGGATGCGTTACGATTAGAGACACAGCACAGCCAAGCAGTTGACTCTCAGCTTCCTCAGGATACCCACCTTTCAGAGCCATCAGGCACAGTCTATCGCTATCTCAATCGCCAATATGAAGTATCTTGCGACCCTCTCTTTCTTCGCTTCTCTCGCTCTCACTTCGCCCATCGCCGTCGCAGTACCCATCACTGCGCCCGCTGACGAGCCTCAACTTATTACTCTCGAAGCCCGTCAGTCTAGTGCCACCAGTAATGAGCTCGAGACAGGAAGCAGCGCTGCATGCCCACGCACCATCTTTATCTTTGCAAGGGGAAGCACCGAAGCTGGAAATATGGTGAGCACAAACAGGTCCACCACATACTTCTCTATGTCAGTAGTTGACCATCATAGGGCGCACTTGTCGGCCCCTTCACAGCAAACGCTCTTGAAAATGCGTACGGGGCGTCAAACGTCTGGATTCAAGGTGTAGGTGGCCCCTACACTGCCGGTCTCGCAGAGAACACTCTTCCAGCCGGTACTTCTCAAGCCGCCATCCGCGAAGCTCAGCGTCTCTTCAACCTTGCCGCGAGCAAATGCCCGAACACGCCCATCACTGCAGGTGGTTACTCTCAAGGTGCTGCGGTCATGTCTAATGCGATCCCCGGTCTCAGTGCGGCTGTGCAAAATCAGATCAAGGGTGTGGTGTTATTCGGCTACACTAAGAACCTACAGAATGGAGGGAGAATCCCCAACTTTCCTACCAGCAAGACCAGGATTTACTGCGAGACTGGAGACTTGGTCTGTACCGGTACGCTCATCATTACGCCCGCACATCTTTTGTACTCGGACGAGGCTGCTGTGCAGGCACCCATCTTCTTGAGGGCTCAGATCGCCGCAGCATAGTTGGCTCTGAGGTTTTGGAGGAGCACCGTGTAACATACATGGATAAAACTTTGTTTGCTATCGTTTCGGTTGTTAGTACAAGCAGATGCTTGGACGTCTTATTACATGGAGGATGCAGTCTTTACAGCAGTCGCTAGTCTTCGAATTAAGCCAATCGTTAATAAACTTAACCGATGCGTCGTGCGAGATGATGCTAACGACGCAGATCAAATTTACCTAGTAGCTACCCGGTACTAAGCTATTTGCCCATTCCTCCACGTCTTTGAATTGTTCTTCGACATCGTCGGGTATGCCATTACCGTTCGCGTCAACCCATTGCTCTCCGCCATCAATAGTTCCTGGTCCGGCCATTGGACTAGCATTCTCGTCACTGATCAACTCTCCCGTCTTCCCATAGCTCTTCAGCTCCTCAATGAGTCGCGCATCAACTGCATCGCGGACTTTGCTTGCACCAACAGACTTTTCAGCAAGCGTCAACGCATCGTTGGCTGACAAGACTTTCTCTGGTGCCGGAAAAGGAAATTTTGTTGCCTGGATGTTCATGCCGCCATAGTTGCTGGATGCTACACCAAGCTCCGATCCGTCCAATACACCATCGCGATTAGAATCATAGAAGTTTCCTTCAACGTATCCCTTGAAATTCTCGTTTCCTCGTGTGAAGGCTGTTACGCTGGTACTCGGGCCACTAACAAAATAGTTTCCAACGATATTTGCTTCGCTCGCTGCACTTGAATCTCCAGCAATGTATCCACCGCCTCCTCCCCAGTTATAGACAACGTTGTTGGTAAAGTCATTCGTACCCTTGACTTTTGGATTTCTCGTCTTGTTGTCAATGTACAAGTTGCGGAACAGGCTAATACCATTGCCGATATTCGTTTGCATCAAACCGCCACAAGAATGTGTCTGAAGACCCTGTCCGATGATACTGTTCTGGATGGTGATGTTACCGACTTCTGAGCCAGATATCGAAAAAGTTTCGTCGCGACCCCAGGTAACAGAGACGTGGTCGAAGATCATGTTGCTCCCCTCTGCAATCGTGATGCCATCTTTGCCACTACTACCTCCTTTTCCCATTCTGATGCGCAAATACCGTACGACTGCATCGTCAGCATTGCTGAAACTCCAGCCGTTGCCGTATACTGTAATGCCATCACCAGGTGCTGTTTGCCCAAGAATGGATATGCGTTTCGACACGACCATGCGCTCAGTGATCTTAATTAACCCACCGATGGCGAACACAACGATGCGGTCGGGTTTGGAAATGGCATCACGGAGCGAGCCTTCACCGCTGTCGTTGAGGTTGGTGACAACGTAAACGGTACCGCCACGGCCACCAGCCGCGTTGCGACCAAAACCTTCTGCACCTGGAAAGGCAAGGGCAGCGGCGGAAGCCACTAGGAAGGGAAGAAGAGCAAATATATGCATGTTTATGGTGATATGATGGACGCGATGAAAAACAGAAACATGGGCAGACAAATGTGTTATTATACGAATCCACTACATGGCATGCCTTGGAATGATGAAAGGAGCTAGCGATATTGCAGCTCGTTGCTCGTGGACAGCATCCTGAGTCGCGGTTAGGTGGACAAAACAGGGTGGATTGTTCCTTTAATTTACCCCAGATGCTCAAGATCGACAAGGGAACTAAAACGTTGGTCCGCCAATCACGGCACAGGATGCGCTCAGACAAGTATGGGATAGAGCGATGCAGTGCAGATCCTGCAACATTTGTAGTGTATACAAGCATACACTCGGTTCGTCGGGGCATTGTGTTCCGTAGAGGTGCACCCACTTGCTGCGCTCATCTCAGTACATACTGGAGCCTGTCTTCACGTCCCCAGAGATGATACCAGCGTCTGCAAGCTCAGCGACCAAGTCCATGAGCATATGATCGCATCCTGCAGCAGCTACCATGCCAATTGTTATAGGCAGCGTCTCATTTCTCTCGGTTACCCTGCTGAAATAAGTTCGTTCACCAATCGGAAAAGTGTAGTCAGGCAGTGCAGCCAAAACAGACATCTGATTCCCGCTATATTTAAAGACTCAGAGTTAGTATATGTCCCAAGTGTGATTCATACAGAAGAACTTACGGTAGCCCCGCAGCAAAGATACCACCTGGTGCAGTGGTGTATATGTCACGATAGTCTTCTGTACCAGCGCCCATGGGATATAACACCAGTGTAGATTCACATGTGGGCGTTAGAGTTTCTCGAAACCATGATTGAAACGTCTTTGTGCGCTCGATAGCAGTGGTGTAACTGGAGGTTGGCAAGGTAGCAGCCCGGTTCCATCGCGCTCGTGTTTGTGGATTCCAATACGGTGCTCTGCCGAACTTGGCGATGTACTGCTCCCTGAATGGTAGACCTAGGTCGCGGTATTGATCGACGTTGGTGATATTAGAGTATGTGGAGCCAATGTATGATGCCGGGCCTTCGGAAGTGTTCGTGTATGCATTAAAGCTGGCATTGGCGTTGAAGGCTGTCAAGTTGGCATCAAGGAAGGTAGCGAGCTGGGAGATGAACGAATCGAAGATGTGCATGCTTGTTTCATTCACAGTGGGCCAGAACAGGTCGGGTAGAACGATACGCTTGGGATAAGACGTATATACCTTGGCTGGATACCATCTTCTATGTACGGCTTGTAGCAGCCGAGCCGAGCGAGCCAATACGCCCGGCGTATCGAAAATTGCTGATATGGGCAGAATTCCATCAAGCGGGAGTGAGGCATTAGTGACACGCATGCCGAAAAGACCATTTGCCATGGCTGGTAGGCGAACAGATCCACCCGTGTCCGACGCAGTTGCAAAATCCATCCAGTTGTATGATGCGAGTCCAGCTCCGGAACCCGCCGACGACCCTTGGGGATGCTGGTAACCATCGCCCCTAGGGTTAAAGGGTGCTAACTGATCCACATAGTCAGCGGTTGGCCGCTCTCCAAGCGCAAATTGTGTGGTCTTCGTCTTTCCGATAACGACAGCACCCAGATCAATCAGCTTTTGTAATGCTGCCGCGCTCTCAGGGGCAGGATCGACAAGGTCTCGGTACGCTCTGTTCCCACCACTAGTGCGAACTCCCTTGAGGTCGTAGATATCTTTGACCCCGAGTCGCTTTCCTGATAATGGTTTGTCTTCTGTGGGGGGTGGATAGTATAGTCGAGACGGCACTGCGATACTAAGAGCTCCATAGGCATCTGCCAAAGCCAAACCCGTAACAGGAACGAAAGTACCATTCGGACCCTCAGTGACAGACTCCACGAAAGCGAAGTTGTGATCCCAATACAGTCGATAAACCCTAGTAACAGCATTTGATGGGTGGAGCAGATATGGACCAGAACTCAAGTCGACATCCACCACGCTATAAATTTTAGTGCATCCAAGTGAAGTAACGTACCTGAAAGGTGCGCGTACGAAGTCAGTGTGTGTCTCTTGTGCAGTTCGTACAGGAGCTTTTCTTACGCATGCGCGCCGTCCGACAGGGTACCCGAGCCACCAAGCACCAGCGTCGAGAGAAAAGGTTCTGTGTACACATCATCGTGAGAGAGAAATGAAGTGATGGTCGATTCCAGTAGCTCCGCAGTAAGGGTAGGTTCGGCGAAAGAAAGGTAGGTGATTGGCACCGCTTCAGTTCTTTCGTCCTCAAATACGAGGGTTGCTGCGACAAGGTCCGGGGAATAGTACGATGTGGAGTTAAGCTGAAAGACTGTAGTTGCTTTCACGATGGTTGCAAAGTGCAAAAAAGATGTGAGCCTCATGATAGGCCACGCGAAAGCTTAATATTAAGGCAAACTTCAGATGAGACATGACAGGGCATCTTAGCAAACTTATATAGCAAACACTTCGGTTCGATCTCGCAAGTCATTGTAACGCGGAGTGCAGATATCGTTGCATCTGGTACCTTGCTCTGACAGCTCGTGCAGAAGTGGGAGAGACGGAGGCTAGCGCAACATTGATAATGCAGGCAAGAGACTTGGCATGACGTCACGCAAGAAGAACGAATCGACATCCCGCAGATAACGATTCAGGAACATGAGTAACATCCATGCGCCAAATGACAAACCGGTCAATCAACTGATTTATATACTACTAGAAGTTCTCTCTCAGGGGAGGGGAGATAGAAGTACCTATCGTAGATAAATGAATATGACTAAAGTCTGATTTGTCGAAGCCGCGCCCTTATTGACTGCAACCGACCTTTCAATCCTTTCATGGGAGCGGATCAACAGTCGCATTATGCTTCGAATCAGAACTGCCCTCTCAACAGACAAGTCAACCATGGGCTCCTGCTTCCTCAAAAAGTATCTACTTACCCTAAAAGTCGACAAAGCCAAGATCTGATGATGCACCGATCCCACATTCAACAGTGGATATCTGTCAATTTGCAGAACAAACGTATGCTAATTCTCCCAAAGAACCATGAAGAACTGATAATACAATCGCTCCCATGTGAAGGCGATATTGATAGCATACCGCTATATCTACTAACGGGACATTCCCAAGATGTGTCTCAACTGTTTTTCTAAATCAAGTCAGGCTCAAGTTGCAAACAGCTAGATGTTTGCGCAGTCTTATCAGTCCTCATATCCAGAACGCCTAGGCTATGCCCGCAAGGCCAAAAATGAGCCAACGGTTCAAACCACTTCAAGCCAGAGTCCACCATGCCGTACTCTACTGGTCTTCATCATCAAAGCATAAAACTACTGCGTTTCGTTTTACATGTAAAACGCGATAGGTTATCTAGAAGGATCCTGGAGTTTTCACTAGAACGCCCGGGGTCTCTTCTGTGTGGGACGACTCGGACCCGGTGATACACTCGGTCTTTTACGCTGAAAGGGACCATCACCATCAGGCTCCTCTTTAGTAATGTGTTGTCCGTAGAAGTTACAGCCAGGATGATCGTCATCTTCGCCACAACAATCCCACATGACTGACCTGTCTACCTGTCGAATCTTACGCCCAGCGTGAGAAACACAGGGTGCATTCACATCCACGAATTGCTCGTGGCATACGATGCAGGTTTTCGTTGAAAGTGTAGGCGCTTTGCTGATACTGGTTGGCTGTGAAGTAACTTTGGTCAGAAGCTTTGGGCTTTGGCTGAAAGTAGGTCGGTGCCCGGGCGTAGTCCTTGCTGGCGTTCGTAGTGTGGGTAGATGTTGTGTAGCTCGGGGATAGGCTCCAGGAAGATGCAGCTCACTATCCGAATCAGAGGCCGAACGGTCACGTGTCTCACGCTTTACTCGTGGTGTGGATGAAGAGCCATATGATTCTTGTAGGGCTCGACCTCTGCTTTCTTCACGAGATTGTGCGTGACGATTGCTGTGATTTTGGGCTGAATGTACAGACCTAGCCAGCCTCATTTTAGCCGCTTTGTAGATGCCGTCGCTGTCTTTATCATCTTGCGCCTTAACATTAGGATGTCGCGATCGTATCCAATGCTGTCTGATTATGCTCTGTGCAGATGTTGAGTGAGGCGCAAGTCCACGCATGAGGGCACCAGAGAAGGCCGGGGATACCTGGCAGAGCTCGAGCAGCACTCTCTGCAGGGCGCGCGGGTCGGCTGTGGTGATGATCTGTTTAATATGCTCAGGGTTGATGGGACGCGCTGTTTGTGGCGCAACATGGTTCCGCGCGGAAGTCACCGGCTGGCTAGCTTCCATCTTAACGTTTGGCATGCCGTACGGGCGTTGCTCACGTCCGAAGTACAATTGAGCTTGTCTGTGAGGCGGCATTTGCTGTTGCCGCGGTTGTGGCTGTCGTCGAGGTTCTGGCTCTGGTTCTGGGGAAGAAAGAGTGAGGTCGATTGTCTGATGGCCATTGTTGTGGAATGAATCCCAATCAATGGGTGTTTGTGAGCGCGCCATTGTGAGGGTAAGAATGGTAGCAAGCTGGAATCTAAAGTTATACAATGTGAATAATCGATTCCAGTGCCGCTGAGTCTCGTAAGGCGGCCCCAGCGTCGTACAATGGATGGAAGCTAGAGTTCATCGTAACGTGTCGATCTTAGCGCGACGCCAAATCACATGAGACGAGCACGGACTGAGATCCCATCTGATTGCTGTACCCCACAAACTTCGCATCGCACATCACAATCCCGAACATCGGCCTATGATCACACAGGCGCATCCGCGGGTCCAACAAACGCGTCAGCTACAGCAACCCCAGCAATGCGATACGAACAAGCGGCGTAACTCCGGGGATCAATTCTCCACCCTTCATCAGCCCTCTGTAACACGCTACAATCAAACCAAATCACTGCACGGACAACGACTACTTTTCCACCAACCAGCCGCCTATATGCGCAGCCGTTCCGCGACTCGACAGCCTGCCCTCTGGGGTGCAGACGTTGTAAATTTTCCGATGGCTTGCTTTACTTGTTTCGACAAGCTTTGTAGCGGGGAAACAACGACGACGTAGCTCGCTAAGCGGTTGTTTCGAGGTTTTGGTCAGACCGTGAGAGTCCGCCAATATAGTTTGCATACCCGGCATCCCGAGCTTATTGCATGTATAGATACTGCGTGTCTTCAGGCTTAATTCAACATTCGCTCACTCACTTTCCTTCCTTACAGCTTCTTGTTACTTCTTCACAATGCTTGCATCCCTCGCTTTCGTTCTTTCGCTCGCAGCATCCGCTGTCGCAGCCCCAACGGCACTGGTGCCACGCGCTGGGCGCACATCTGCTCCTACAGGGTGCTTGGCTGTCGGTGGTAGCGGAAAGTACAAGACTGTCCAATCGGCCGTTGAAGCACTGAGCGCTTCCGGTACGGCTGCGCAGTGCATCTACATCGCCAAAGGCACCTACAAGGAGCAAGTCTACATCAAGCCGTTGAAGTCAGCCTTGACCATCTACGGCGAGACTACAGACACCAGCAGCTACAGCGGCAACACCGTGACCATCACTCAAGGCAAGAGTCAGGACAATACTCCCAACAATGACGAAACTGCCACTCTCCGCGCATGGACTCCAAACCTGAAGGTTTACAACATCAACCTAGTCAACACCCGTGGAATGGGCTCCCAAGCTCTTGCCCTGAGCGCCAACGCCGACAAGCAAGGCTACTATGGGTGCCAATTCAAGGGCTACCAAGACACCATCCTTGCCCAAGTTGGTAACCAGGTCTATGCCAAGTCCTACATCGAGGGTGCCACCGATTTTATTTTCGGTCAGAAGGCCACTGCATGGTTCGAAAACGTCTCTATCGGTGTTCTCACAGCCTCACAGGGCTACGTTACCGCAAACGGTCGCGAATCAGACAGTAATCCCTCATACTATGTAATCAACAACTCAAAGATCGCCGCGGCTCCTGGTAACACGGTCAAGGCCGGTGCGTACTTCCTCGGTCGCCCCTGGAGAAACTACTCTCGTGTCGTCGTCCAGAACACCAGCATGACCAACGTCATCAACGCCGCTGGCTGGAGGGCCTGGAACACTGACGACCCTAGGACCGACAAGGTCACATATGGCGAGTATGCGAACACTGGTGATGGATCCAAGGGTACCAGGGCGTCCTTTTCGAAGAAGCTCACGGCTGCTGTTGGCATCTCTACGGTGTTGGGTAGCGACTACAAGAACTGGGTTGATGCAGCCTACATGTCTTAGGTTGAACGCGCACACGGATGTAGCTCGTACGTGAAGGCGTGTCTTCTTGTATATATCTTACTGGCACTGAGTGTCGCTTATCTTCATCAATCACCCATCTTGAAACCATTCTGCTCCTCAATCCCTCATTACAATTTTAAAAAGTTTGTGCGGCTCGTCTCTTACAGGAAGTGCCGATAGATTGTGTTTGGTGACTTGAGCATGCCCAGCTGATGTAAGCAGGGCTAGACACGGCTCCCGGCCTAACGCGACCCACTAGTGGGTCACCAAGTCTGGCCTCGGTAGGATTTTGCTCGTCTTTGCTACGACATCTGTTGTCGCATTCCGACTCTGCAATTACCAATATATCGCCTCAGACAGAAGATGTCATATGGAACAGTAGATTCGCCGGCGGCGCCAGGACATTCAGGTGTAGATTTGGTACAGCACCTACAACCTGCAGCTCCAGACACTGCGCGAGATGCAGAAGAAGCACATCAGCCAGCCCTGTGGAGAAGGGTAACGGCAAGTTTGAGGGTGTTCTATGACCGCAACTTCGGACTGTTTCTAGTGTTCTTAGCTCAGACCTGTGGGAGCATCGTACGTCTGGCCTCTTTCTCTGTGCAGTGGTTGCATTTCATTCGGACCTGGTACTGACAGCCGTTTTAGATGAACACAGCCGCCAAACTTTTGGCCAATGACCCATCGATCAAGTTCCATGCCCTGCAAATCATTTTTATCCGCATGCTGTGCACGACAATTATATGCTCGATTTACTCCTGGTACCACGCTGTGCCTGACTTCCCTCTTGGTCAGAAAGGGATCAAGGGATTGCTTGTATTGAGAGGTACTGCGGGTTTTGTGGGCCTCTTCGGATTATACTGTAGGTATTGCTTCTTCTCCACTCTTTTCGCATGAATCGCTGGCGTTCCAGGACGTGAGGAGAATACTATAACATGAGCCGAGCACGAGGAAGTTCTAACGCACGATCATAGACTCTCTGTCCTGGCTCGAAATCTCGGATGCAACAGTCATAACCTTCCTGATTCCAACCATGACCGCAATCGTATGTTTTGTCTGGTTACGTGAGCCGTTCACCTGGAAAGAAGCGCTTTGCAGCTTCATCGCTTTCTGCGGCGTTCTCTTCGTTGCGAGACCACCATGGCTCTTTCCCTCCTCACATATGAACCCTGTAGTCGATGACTCGAACCGGAAAGCGCCAACGTCGTCAATAACGGCAGAACAGCGGACTATGGCGATCCTCATTGCTATTCTAGGCACTTTTGGAGCAAGCACTGCGTATGCTACTATTCGTGTAATAGGCAAACGCGCACATTCGCTAATCTCGGTCAACTACTTTTCCTTCATTGCAACAATGGCCTCTTTTGTGCTCATCTTGGTTCATCCTTCGCTGCATTTTGTTATGCCCAAGACGCTCGGCCAATGGGGATTGATCGCAATCATTGGACTCTTTGGGTTTCTGTTACAGTTCCTGCTGACGGAAGGTCTGCAGAGGGAAAAGGGTGGAAGAGCAACAAATTTAACCTACCTACAGCTTGTATTTGCACTGGTAGTTGAAAAGCTAATCTGGGGGACTACACCGCCGGTTGAGAGCTTGGTAGGGGCGGTGCTTATTATTGGAGCAGCGATCGCGGTCAGTCTGCAGAAGGAGGGTGGAAAGAGCAAAAAGGTTGAGGCTGTGAACGACGAGGAGAGGAGATTGTTGCGAGAAGGCGATTAATTGAGAGCTGGCTACATAGTATCGTGACGAATGTGTACATGCATGTGCGCATCGTTCTTCGTTGTGGGACTCGATGTGTTTTAGTAAACACAGATCCTTTCTTCCAATCTTACGCTACTCAGATTATTCTGCCATCCGGCATCCTCCCCTCTATAACTTCACTGACTAGTAGCGCAAAATTTGGGGGCAGCTGGCGTCGCGTGAGTCGGTATTCATGTTCGTGCGCAGATCGTGACTAGGCAATACCCACATATGGGGTGTATTGCGTGGCAGCCGATGGGATCTTTTCAGGCATCGCTTTGCTGGAGAGCACATCGCGAGGAGAAGGCAGACTTCGCGGAATTTCGATCAACGTTGCCGCGTCACCTGCGTCACGCGTCTCGTCCGTTTCTACTCATAGGCTCATGACCTGTGAGGGTCACATATGCTTTATCTGTAGTGATTGTTTCACACGTCGCCTCTCTCTTCTCTTGAACTGATGTCGCTGCGAGGTCTGCCCGCTGGGCTGATGATATATTCCTCACTCTCATTCATCATCGTGTCCATATTAGTGATGTCATGGACAGTTCTCTTTTTGCCCTTTCTGTCAACATGCGACAACCGGAGACTATCCGGAAGACCGTTGCCAGAGCTTTTGTGTGATGGCTTGCCGGAGGAAACAGCTTTTTTGGCCTGAGTAAAGAAAGGTTTGAGGATGGGTGCGTTAACGGCTATGATCCCAACGAACTAGAGAGATACATTAACAAAGTTCAAGCGATCGCATACAGGGGCGAAGAAAGCATACCGTTTCGCGGATCGACCATATGGTACTAACGTTGATTTGGGAAACGTCTTGGAGGCACAGAATGCAACGGAGTAATGTCGCAGTCATGATGAAGATCCCTGTGCAGAGCCAGAAGAAATATAGCAGCTTCCTTTTGAAAGGTAGACGGACGCCCCACAGTAGAGGCAACGGAATGAAAAGGATCATGAGATCGGTACTGAAGGCCAGTAAGTATCGTGTCAACGAAAATGGCAGTATCGGTGATCACCCACGATACATTTGTGACTACCAAAGCTAGGTACTTCGAAATGTTGAGCGCACAGTCGTCACCAGGATACGGATAGACTTGCCATAACCGATGAATGGGGTGGCAATGTGTAAGAAATACAATGATGGTGGCGATGTATGCAGCGATGCAGACAGCCCCAGTGATCTTGACGAGATTTCTTTGCTGGAGATTGAGGCTGTTTCCATTAGCACAAAGTGATCAAAAGATGGCAAAGGGTCCATACGTGAGCCTCCTGTAGAAGAATAGCATACAAGCTTTCACTGTGATACCGAACTGTTAGCATATCCATTTGTACCGTAAGCAGTAGGTCCTTAAAGTAGTACGTACAACACCAGATCAATGTGGTGTACCTAGAAAGTGCGTGTACAAAGTCAGTTCAAACCTCACATGCAGTTGGTGCAGGGACATTTCTTACAGAATCCACCCAGCGAGAAGGCATTTGCTACCCACAATGATGCGTTGTTTTTGCGCAGTTGTAAGTTGCAACGCAATCTCATTACTCATTCCTGTAATGGAACCGTATCTACCAATGAGCTCTAGCATGACAAGCTCAGCGGTAAAGAAGAGGGCGCAAATTATGGTGAAGTAGTCGTCTCCATCCCAGTTCAACCCGACCTGCCAACAACGTGCTGTGATGCGGGAGAATATTATGACCATACCGACTGCATACTCCGTCCATGCTTCAGTCGTGAAAGGGTTGTACATGTTGCTAGGGTGAGCATAACCAGTTGATGGTCCTAATCGAACGTATTCAGGACAACAAGGCCTTTAACAAGGAGTATTGGTGCAAAAAGTAAACAATAGAAAAAGAACGAAAGACATGCGATTTCCGATGGAGATCGAGAATCTCAACCGGGTGTGAATGATCCGTGAGGGTGCAAAGGCAATTGGTATGGGTGTCCTTGTGGGACAGGCAGCCGTCAGGGCGCAGCAAGTTCCCGCCTTCGCATCGGAAATGATCGTCGCTTCCGTATGCTTTCCAACCTTAGAATATGACCCTGAACAGGCTTGCAAAATCGCCATGAAGATCAAACGGCCCGATAGCTATGACGACGCGGAGACCATTGGTTCGCAATATGCTTTTTGTCTTTGTATGGTCCTATGAGGTGGGGGTAGCAGTCAGCTAGACACCAGCTTGGATTAGCGTCTGTTGGAATCATAGTCCCTAACCATACATGATTGTTCATGCTTTAGCGGTAGGCAAACAAGCGCATGAGGGGTCGTCGCAAATGATGATCTCGGATTTGTCAGTCTCTGCTGAATCTCTAGGTGGCAGTGTCGAAGCGCGCATACCCGAAGATGCTACGTCAGTCTCAGGCCCGTGGGATCTTTGGACACAAAAAGGAACTCATCGCCACACAGACACTCAATCTGGGTCTGGGTGTATGTCGTTTGGTAGAGCTGCGGACAAACGACAGGGTGTGACAGGTCTAGCGCGAGGTCCGGCCCTTCTTTTGAGATGCTCCTCCGGTCCGCTAAGACGCTTGTGAACCTACCCCAGACCATTGCTGCCGTCCCGCGTCGTCTCGAGCACGCTGTGAAATGCGAGCAATATAACCCGCCCAAAGCTGCCTTTCAGTAGACTTTTGTTTGGAACCGCTTTCCTTGGTAGAGCGAATAGATACGACAAGTTCGACCTAAATTTTTCCACACTGTCAGTGTAGTCTCGGGAATTTCCCAAGATGCTGGAATGCGCGATCCCAGAGCATCTCCGCAAGGAAAGAACATGCCCGGTTAGCACACCGCCCAACTATGTTCCGCCTTTCCCTGCGTATTGCGCCAGCTTTCCCACCAAGATGGACGCGCTCGTCATGGCAGTTATAGGAGCACAGTATGCCTCTGTCACTGGAAACGATGGCACGGCCATCTCTAAGCTGCAGGATTTTGTCAATAAAGCGCCAGAGTCAAAGCGACCGTCGTTTTGGGAAGTGGCTTCCGTTGTCGACAAGAGAGGCGCGTACAGCATTGCTGTCATTGCATACTGGCGCAGCGCAGACGTGCACAAGAAATGGCAGCAAGAATCTGGTTTCGATACATGGTGGCAGAGTCCAGACAGGGAACAAGATGGACATGGCTGGTTCCAAGAAATCCTGTGTCCAACAATCGATCGTTTTGAGACGGTATTTTCGAACTCCGAGAATCCAGAAGGGGGCGCCAACATGCAGGAGAAGATCTCGGGCGAGATAAAAGAACATGCATACTGGGGTAGCATGCGCGACCGGCTGGCAGCTGCTCAAGACAATAGACTTGATGGCACCAAATTGAGTTCTGCCAACAGCAGCGCCAATGGCTCGCCTGTTAGCGACAACGTTCCAAAGCGCGTTCGTGTACCCGGCAAGCCCAACTTGTGTGTAATTCGGTCGGGTCAGGATTGGTCCGACACGCTACCTGAAGAACGCAAGCTCTATCTCAATACCATACATCTCGTGCTCATGGAAGGTATGAGGTTTCTGCGCGATGAAGGTCGCGAAATTGGGTGCTATGCGATGAACTTGTGGGACGTAGTGGACTCTAGCTCGTTCGCAGCAAACCGTGAGAGGACGTTCGGTCTCGGATACTTTGATGACCTGGCATCTCTCGAGTACTGGAGTAAGAGCCACCAAAGTCATATCAATATTTTCGGAGGCTTTCTGATGTATGCGAAGAAGCTCAACAACGTGTTATCGCTTCGACTGTTCCACGAGGTTTACGTGCTAGAGCCGAACCAGCAATTCTTCGAGTACATTGGATGCCATACCGAGACGAGTATGATGAATGTGCATTGAGTGTAGATCCGATAGATGAATTTGCAACAAATGTATGTCTTGAAGTTTGACATCTGTAGTCAGACTGGACTGAGATTGGAATCTTCCACCATAGTCTCGGTCAGTTGCAAGAGCAACCAGTCCGATGGGCTGGGTGCTAGTGATGTACGAGATTGTGCGTGCTGATGCTGCGTACTATCACGTGTAGTCGAGCAAGGTGATAAGAATTGTAAAGGGTTGTACTTTACAAAGAGTCGAATCGAGACAGATGGAGCCTTGGCGCTGCTGCCTTATCGCCTTATCGGCCTCGGCTGTGAGACGCGACTTGGTACGCGTCAAGCATCGTCGAAGTCTGTCATTTCAAGGCGATCCACGGCCACTTGCATCAACATGGAGGTGTCCACCGAAAAGTAAAAGGCACCTCCCGATATGTGGCGAGATCTAGATGTACGGCGCCACGGAGTGGTGACGCGAACAAGCGATCACGCGGAGGGTGGTAACGTACCCCGCGAAACATGATAAGCGGCACGGAGCTTACGCGGGGATATGGCAACGCCATCACTCCCTGGAGGTTGCCTGAACGTTCCGTCTCGTTTGGCAGTCCTATCTCTGTCTTGAACACGTTTCTGATAGCACCATCCTCTTGCCCTGGGTGCGCCATTATCTCCCTTTGCGAAAGTCGTCTGGCTATTGATGTAGCCACTGCCCCTTCACCTAGGCTAGCTCCGAGGAGCCGTTGGTGCCTTGGACAAGATATCACAGATCGATACAAAGGTATGTTTCGTTTCATGTTACATGGTCCATTGATACTGATGAGATGCAGGGCCAAGACCCTCCGCCCAATCTTCTGACTTCAGCTCCATTCGGACCACTTCCCAGTCTCGAACATGGCTTGGTGGCGCCGTGACCCGACCTTCAGTCCCATTCAACGTTACGCGCAACGCGTCCTACGGTCCCACGAGGCTGCTCTCCGTACGCGATGCTTCTCTCGTACGCCCTCCGAATCTGCACAACATGAAGACAACCATGACAGCAAGCGTCCATCTGGCATGTCTAATCTTGAGTGGCTGCAGCTACAGCAATACCAGCGATGGCGAAAGAGGCTGATGGACGACCCATACCAGGCTATCTTTGGTGCTAGCAACGATATGTTAAGTGGCAAGGGGCTCAAAGACTGGGAATGGACCAGCAAAAGCTTTCCAAAGTGGTTGCTGAGAGAGCTGGACATCCATGACGACACCACATCGTCGCCTAAAAATGATAAAGATGGCAATCCCAATCCGAGATATCCGAGACGAGTTGAGGTCAGGAATGAGAGTTCCCACGAGCACAAGGAACGAGCATCTTACTTTCCACAACCATCCTTCCGGACAAATCAACTGCTCCGTGACGACCCGACTGGGGTTGAATCTCCTTCAGACTTCAGGAGACCTCGAGATCAGCCTCATGTCAGGTCTTCCGGCCGCCTTCCAGAAGTGCCGAGCAAACCCGAAGCAAGCGCGACCAACTCAGCATATCCTGCAAGTATTCCACAGAACTACGATCTCCAGCAGCCTACGCCACCGAAGAGCACAGAGTCCTTCGGAGAGTACATTACGAAGACGAAATCCGATGCGGCCTCAAAGATCGAAAAGTCTGGCAACATTACATCGACTACGGAAGATTCCTCCATGGTTCAATTCCTGACGGAGACACCCGGGCACAAAGATCCCTATCTCTACGGTGCAACTGAGGATGGTACTTGGAGAGAAACTTCGCTACAGAGGAGATTTTCAAAAGATCTGGTAGCAAAGCCTGAGATTTACAATGTCCCTTTGCAAAAAGCAGAAGACAAGCCCTCGGCACCGGAGTCAGCGACTGTGGAGATTCATGAGGCACCCTCAGTGTCACCTACAGAAGAACATGTTACATCCATTCCTACAGACTCGGGCCTTTCAAGCACGAGGCGGCATGTTTCTCAAGAGCAATTTTCAACACAACAAGAGCATGCCCCTCAAGGCACTACTTCGTCTTCCCGGTCTACTTCCAAGATTTTGAGTCAGCTGCCTGAAGATGACTTGGACTTCTTGAGTGCAGATCATATACGTGCAAACATGGCCGCGAGAAGGAGCAAAGTCCTTAGCGACGATCTCAAAAAGGCCGAACGGGCCAAATTAGAGAAGACTTTTGAGGATACTCACAAGAAACACAATGTCATCGACCCGATGCTTGAGGCTAAGGTCATCAACGATCAGTTCGTCCGTCGAGTTGAAAGACAAATGCAGCAACCAGAGAAAACACTTGAGTCTCAGGAGATTAACAAACCGCAAACAAGTACACCAAGTGAGAAAACACATTCCGTGGAGACCGAAAGTCAATTGGAGTCGAGCGTCGAGCGAATGAAGTCATGGCTTGAAGAAAGCGGCGCCAAGTTTTCCAGCTTCTTTTGGCAAGACCCTACTGAGGAGGCGGACGTGGTAAAAACACGACAATTTTTCGACAAGATCTTGGCGCGTCTCCGTAAAGGCCGTACGACTATGAAGCAAGTGATTGATGATCTAGAGGCCGACATTCCAGCATCTAAGCCTCTCTTGAAGCGCATGAAAGCGGACGAGGATCTACTAGACTCTGCTATCAATGCCCTTCGGCAGGATCCGGGAACTGGCAAGATGCATTCCTTGACACCGAAGAAAGTCAGAGCTATTCAAGAACTGCGCCTTAAGTACCAGAGCACAGACAATGATCTTATTAAGGCATACGAACAGCTCGAGGAATTGGGCAAGTCCGATGCGGCAAAGAACATGTCTTCAGCATTCAAACGGCGACTCAACATTGCATCAAAAATCACCCAGAAAAATGCTCACCTTACGCGTTGTTTGATCTGGAGTCTACAGGGTCATCTCGAGGACGCGGAAATCGCCCAGACTATGCTACCGAATTACAAAGCTGTTGCAAACAGCTTGTTGACCCTCAAAGACACACAATTGGCTTTAGCGCGATTGATAGAACGCGCCATGCTCATTTATGGTGTAGTACCGCATACGTGGGAAGATATTAAAACCTTCAGTAAAAGTCAGAATGCGCAAGATTCGCAGGATCATGGGCAGTCAGCCCAAGGTAAAGTATACACTGGTATGACTGAGGTTGACAAAGCTCAGCTTCGCGCTAAGGTAGCAGCTGAAGAACGCCTTGCCAACGAGGTCGATGCACAGAAGTCCGCTATGCGTGGGCTCTCAGATGATGGATACGCGCGCATACCGAAGATGGAACTGAAAAAGTCGTTTGAGGAGCGAGGACCTCTTGCTCACAGCCTATTCAGGCCTTTCGGACCCGTATTGGAGAGCCTAGAGAAGGAAATGCCATCCAAAGTAGAAACAACCGAGGTCGAGGAGAAGGCGATTCACCAGCTCAACGACAAGACACCTGTTGATGACATCCAAAAGGCATATGTGGATACGCATGGATCAATTGCTGTTGACCACGAGCATACAGAGATCCCGATCAAGGATAACAAGGCTGAAGAAGACCATGAAGTGAACAAGTTTGATATGCTGAAGGATGATCCCATAATAGGCGAGACGTTGACCCAGGTGAACGAGCTAGAGAGCTCAGAACTGGTGGCTGAGAAAGAGGTTACATCAGTTGCTGCTCTAACCCAAACTGCTCAGGATACCATGACTGCTGCTCACACTCCATCATCTCCTGTATCCGCTACTTTGGATCCTAAGCAGGACAAGGCGTCTGATGACACCTTTGTTGAGGTATCGTCTCCGGTCACGTCACCTCGTTCATCAGGAGCGGGCTCACAGATGCTTTACACAATCCTTGTGCACGATCCGGACACTGGCAAGCTTTCGCTCACCACCTCTACATCGGTTTTACCTCGTGACCTTCCTCCCATGATACCACTACACGAAGCGCTATCGCAGCTCGATCAGCCTGCGAAGTTCATTCCACATATCAAAGATGGCCTCGAGATTGTCACTGCGAAGAAGGATATGCTTATCCTGCGCGATGCTCTCAACCCCACATCGCCCACTAAGTCCTTCGCCACCGTGAACACCTCGAGCGCAATGGAAGGCAACATTGACAATACGGTGGAGAGAGGCAATATCAATCCCATAGATGGGACAGCCCGTCTCTCACCTACTGGCTACGTCGGACCAGAGGAGAGCCAAGAACAACTTGAGAAAGAGTTCACTGAGCGTAGGCAAGCTGCTGAGCGCGTTGTCAGCACGGAAGAAAGCAGTAACGAACAAGGACCAACCGAACAAGAGACCAAAGGCAAGAGGAAAGGCCGCAAAGGAGTTGGTGTAGTCAAGACAGCCATCTGGGCTGCCGCGGTATGCTATGTGGCTGGTGTACTTGGAGAAGTTGTTAGCTGAGTTGCTCTACGAGAGCTGATTCGCCACTCGCTCTCTTTTGCTTTCCTCTTCTGTTTGGCGTTCGCGAGGCTGGTCACCGCTCTGGTTTGGGTCTAGTGAATATGTAAATCATTGTTCTAGTGTCATGTCTTGTTATCATACCTGCCCTTCTTGTACACTTCAACCCTACTCCCATAACACATCGTCACAGACGACAGCTAAATGGAGAACACAGCTTTCAGATGAATGGAATCACAAGCACCGGATCACACCATCTACTACGGAACACTTGGCCTTGTCAAAGCTATAGAGGCAACACGAAGTGCTTAGATGTCTCTGGTCCAACTCATACTTGACCTTATCATAGCTCTTGATGGGTGAAAGCTTGAATTGGTACGAAAGATCGCGCCGACGCCGAAGCAGTGGGACAATGAGATCATCGCACTATCCAAATATAAGTGTTGGAAGTCTGTGTAAATCTCAGACGCATTTGGTACGTGCATATTGCTCATTGTGCCTTGGGTCAAATGTACAGATTATATCAACGATAGGGATATTTACAAACGGCGGAACTGTACGCAGATTTCAATCATCCACGCTTACTAAAACTTCTAATGATGCACAGCTTCTTAACAACTGTTTCGTTGAAGGTCTCCTGGGGTAGCTCCATTTTATAGAACGTTCCTTAAATTTGCTATGTCGAATATATCCGTGAAAGCTTTTTTCCGCTTTTCATGCTCTTTCATTGCACTTTGTCTTTCCATATCGAGTCATTGAGGCTTATGCGTACGCCGAGCATTCCAACGAGTCCCCCATCGTGCGAATTCTCCCTCTACGAGTCTGTCTCTGGATATTCTAAGAATCAACCAATCGTGCGACACAACTTGCTCTTGCATTCGTCATGAAATGGACATCTACAGATCGAGTCACAAACTTGACTGTAGCAACAGGAGTTGCTCTTCTAACAGCCCAATTCTACCCCCGCAACCTCGATGGATACGCCCCAGCGCTCGCCGAAGTGATATGTTGGAGTCTCGTCACTGTGCCTTTCGGGTTTTCCTCGCGCTTCGTACCAGGGCTGTGGAAGAATGAGAACTTTGGCTTGAAGCCCTCAATCAAGTACTCGTATTGGATAATGGCGGGTTCTGTGTCTATGGTAGCAGCTTTGTCCTCGGTCATAGATTCTACGTGGGTCACAGTAGTATCTCCCTGCTATCTCCTGAGTCATCAAGCATGCTAACATACATTCGACAGCCTGTAGTCGGGTTTGCACTCATCGCTCGAAGTCGTACCGCGCCCTTCGCCCGCCTGTCTAAACTGCTGCCGTCATATATCAGATATACATATTTTGTATTGGGGTTGGGAGCAGCCCTCGTTGTAGCACTCGCACCGACTTTTGATACCTTCAGGATAGTATACGCTGTTCCCACCGCACTCGGCCTTGCGGGGATATACAGGTCACTCGCCGATATCTTCAACCTGGGGCGGCAATGCCTAGATGGAGGCGATCGGATGAGCACCGGAAATGTGATCCGCTCCATCTCGTTTCGCACGGTTGGGCTTTGCATCGCGGTAGCCATTTTTGTGGCTCTCTCTCCGTTTGGTGGAACTTCTCCCATGGTCAAAGCTCTATTTACTGGCATCGTAAAAGCTCGGCATTGGACTGCCGTATTCTGGCTTGTATGTGTAACTCTATTTGTGCTGATCCGATTGCAGGCTAATATAACCAGACACAAGAAGTACAGTGGGAAGTTGCGCCCGTAATCTGGGGCTATGTCACAGCGTCAGCTGATGCCTTTACTACGGATGCGACTACATCACTAGGGAGGTTTCAAACACTTGCTCGTACAACGATCGCAGTTCTTAGTCTGTACCAAGTTGTTTCTTTCTTACCGAAGAGTTCCAAGGGGCGTCTCATACTATATCTGTTCGCCATCTGGTCGATGCTGTCGCTTGTACGGCTGACTTCGATGGGGAGGCAAGTTCCTTTGCTGCCTGAGGCAGTATGGCCGTATGTGTCAACTGGCACTGTACCACCAGGCTCACTTCACCCTATCGATGAGCTTGCTCTGAAGGCTCGGAAGGATTTCGCGCATATTCAGAAACGACAATCTTCATTCAGCCGAAAAGGAGTATCGAAGAAGGAACTCACGCGAACCACCGCCGGGATTCGATAAGTGGTTTTTCTACGCCAAAGCTAACCAATCTCCTCTGATCGATGATTTTGACATGATCAATAAGGACCTCAAGCCATTCTGGAAGATCGAACCTCGCCGTTTACGCGAAAGTATCGATAACGTCACTGAGCTCGACCATCTTGCGCTCCGTAAGTGTGCCTTTGCGAATGGAGAATACAATTCGGCAAGTGATCACTGGCTTGTGAAGGACCTCAGAGGGCTCTTTGATGAAGTATCGCGCAACATTCCTGACGTCGTATTTGCTCTTAATTTATTGGATGAACCTAGGTTTACCGTCACGCGACAAACGCTCGATAATGGCAGTACATTACGTCCTTCATTCGAAGATGCAAATCACAACTCCATATGGGATAAAACCAATGATCTATGTTGGGGTGATCCTAGTGTTGAGGCGAATTCCTTCATCCTCAGTTATGGCCTTCCTTTCGTCCAAGACAAATCGCACGCTCAGAAAGTCTGCTCACATCCCGAGTTCGAGAGTATGCACGGCTTCTTTTCCTCTCCCATGACTGTTCTGACGACAGAAGCTCCAATCCCCATCCTTTCGCAAGCTGCGCCTTCTTCATTTGGCGACATTATATATCCTAGTCCTTGGTATACAGATAAGGTATATCAAGGAGACTATAAGGGGGCAGATGATCCTGCTTGGGAAGCAAAGAGTGACAACCTATACTGGGCTGGTAGTACAACTGGAAGCTATAGCTGGAACAGCAGCTGGCAACATTCCCACCGACAACGTTTCGTGAAGCTGGTCCAGGCCATCGATCACACCAGTCATACGTTTCTCAAGCAATCCAAACTAGGGCAATGGATACCATAGAGCGCAGTCAAGAACCAAAGCAGTTTTTATGACGTAAAATTCACTGCTGTGCTCCAATGCAATGAGCAGGATTGCAAAGACCAAAAAGGGTTCTTTAACCCTGGAGATATAGAGGAACAAAAACAACAGCTACGATCCCGCTTCGTGTTTGACATCGACGGGAATTCATTTAGTGGGCGATACTACACGCTGTTACAATCGCGGAGCGTTGTGCTTAAGCAGACGATCCTGCGAGAATGGCATGATGAGCGCTTGATACCATGGGTGCATTACATTCCTGTCAGTCTCTCCATGGACGAGCTGCCAGAAATTATGCGATATCTAACGAATCATGAAGATGGTAAAAGGAGAGCGAAGGAGATAGCCGATGCGGGTCGTGAGTGGCATGGGAAGGCGCTTCGAAGAGAGGACTTTACTATACATCTATATCGCCTCATGCTGGAACTGGCCCGGATTATGGACCCGAATCGTGAAGTAGAATAATCAACAGCTTGGTTCCTCAAACCTTACCTGAGTACAAGCGATCCTCCAACTACATGACGTCTGGCGAAGCGTCGTTGTATGATGCTGTCACAAAATACAAATTCCTCCCTCCATAACTTCTCCATTTCGATTACTCATACAAACAACCCCTTTACCAAACCCTCAACAGCATCATAGGCCTTTCCTTCCCTCTGCCCACCCGTTGCGCGCTCTGTAATGACAGGAATCTGATCTTTGCCTACTTTGTAATTCCTCAAGTTACTATCCAACCCTAAATCCTTGACCAGCCTCAAGATTTCGTCTCCAACCTTTTCAGCATCGGCCTTGGCATCGCCAGACGCCGACTCTCCGATGAATGGAAGCAGGCGAGCTACCTGCTCTGCCGCAGCGGGGTCTTGAGCCTTGAGCTTGACCACGTGTCCCAGAGTGAGGCATGATGTGATACCATGAGGAATACCATAGGGAGAACCCAGCGCGTAGCCTAGGGCATGAGAGAGACCGAGACCGCCTTTGATGTTGTAGCCCAAAAATCCCAGGGAAGCAAAAGCGGCAAGTTGCAACCTTGTGATAACATCCTCGTCTTTGGGGTTTTGTTTGTACTTTGGTAGGGCTTCGAAGAGCGTAGCTGCAGACTGTAGAGTCAACCATCTAGCGGGCATCTCAGTGGCGGTGGGATGATATAGTAGCTCGATGGCGTGGTCCATGGCGCGGAGACCAGTTGACATCCATAGGCGTTCAGGGGTATGTAGAGCGAATTTGGCATCGTAGATGACGACGTGAGGGACGAGTTCTTTGGCTCGAACACCAGTTTTAACGCCGTCAGATTGTGTGTAGCCGGCCATCAGGGTGCATTCACTTGCACTTAGGGTTGTCGGGATGGCGATGTGGTAAAGGTATTTTCCCGTCTTTTCGTTCAGACGGTAGCTGATGGCTTTTGAGCTGTCGATTGGGCTGCCGCCACCAATGGAGATTACAGTATCGATGCTTTGATCCTTCTTCACAAGGTCGGTTGCTTCGTCTAGTTGGGCGACAGGCGCGTGTTCGCCTATCTTTGAGAAGGTACCTGCATGTTTATCGCCCAGAAGCGCTTCAACTTGCTTCACCAAAGGCGTCTTGCTGGCCAGAGAGTTTCCAGTAATGACAAAGGCTTTGCTTGACTCTTGTGGAAGACAGGACAGGAGATGTTGTTTCACGGAGTCAGCACCATAATGCAGTTTCTGGAGCTGCGTAGGTTGCCAGAGGCCAGATAAGGGGTGGTTTGTTGCGTCTGTCATCTTGGGCTTGGCCTTTGTAGAGCTATATCGAATACTACAGGGAGGTTGGATGTGTCCGCCAATCAATGCTTTGCTGGCAAGCGTAGGATGTGAAAAGGTTCTGGGTGAAGAGTATAGGAATGCGATGATAATGGATCTAGTGGTGTTGGATCCGCGTGCGAAGAGGAGAGTGTGCTTTACAATGCCACGAATTGGAATCATAGGAGAGGGTTTGCTACAAAACTGACTTTGTGTATTATTAAAGAACGGAAGCCGCGGATTAGTAATGACGTAAGAGTTTAGCGGGTCGAAACGATGAAGCTATCCCGAGGTTCAGATAGCGGGGCACATTATATAGTAAGATCCAAAATGATTACATCTACAGGGCGACTATTAGTCGGCAATGAACGACGTCACTTTGTGATAGACGGTAATGAACATTTCAAATCGTAGATTGTAGAGCGGAGAAGTAAGCGAAGTGCTACCATCTCGCGTCTCTAAGCTATGGTACACTCATTGACTCCGCCATTATATCGTCCCTTCCACATCATGTCCTGACCACCAGTGGATATCACTCTTTCGTTATTCCGACGTGTACCAAGGATCCGTAAGGGTAATAAAACAAACGCTAATGTGAGAAGAGAAATCGTCGGAAAATATGATACAGAGATGCTCAAACATGTGTAGTGACATGTACACGTCTAGACGTGACCTAAACCAGACCAATCATGACAGGATGCAAGACGCCTGCTTTTGGACGTAACGAAGCCATCAACGAGAAAGATAAAACCAGTGCTGAACGATCAAAGCATTTACTGCTTCTTCTCGCCCTCACCCTCAGGCTGCTGAGGCTGCTCGCTCTGGTTTTGGCTCTCGGAGCGAGCCTTGTGCATCTGGTCGAACAGGCTCAAAGAGGCGTTCTGGAGCTCGTCGGTCTTCTCCTTGATCTCAGCGGCGGTGGCGGTACCCTCACCAGACTGGCTCTGAGCGATGAACTCGCGCATAGAAGTGATCTTCTCCTTGATTTTCTCGGCCTCAGCCTTGTCGAGACGGTCCTCGAACTCCTTGAGGGCCTTCTCGGTGTCGTTTACGACGCTGTCAGCGCGGTTGGCGGCCTCGATGGCGTTCTTGCGCTCCTTGTCTTGTTCAGCGTACTGCTCGGAGTCCTTGACCATGTTCTCAATCTCAGCGTCAGAAAGACCGGATCCAGAAGCGATGGTGATGGACTGGTCCTTGTTGGTAGACTTGTCCTTGGCGTGAACGTGGACGATGGAGTCAGCGTCGATGTCGAAGGTGACCTCAATCTGGGGTACACCACGGTGAGCCGGGGGGATGCCAACGAGCTGGAAGTTGCCGAGGAGCTTGTTGTCACGGACGAGCTCACGCTCACCCTGGTAGACCTTGATCTCGACAGCGCTCTGGAAATCGGCAGCAGTGGAGAAGACCTGGGACTTCTTGGTGGGGATAGTGGTGTTACGGTTGATCAGACGGGTGAAGACGCCACCGAGAGTCTCGATACCAAGAGAGAGGGGAGTGACGTCGAGAAGGAGAAGGTCGGTGACCTCACCAGCAAGGACGGCACCCTGGATAGCAGCACCGATAGCAACAGCCTCATCGGGATTGACCGACTTGGCGGGGTCACGACCGAAGATGCTCTTGACGGACTCGGTAACCTTGGGCATACGGGTCATACCACCAACGAGGATGACCTCAGAGATGTCGGTGGCCTTCAGGTTGGCGTCCTTGAGGGCCTTGCGGACGGGCTCGACAGTACGGCTGATGAGGGGGTCCATCATCTTCTCAAGCTGAGAACGGGTGAGCTTGGTGTTGATGTGCTTGGGACCAGAGGCGTCGGCGGTGATGAAGGGCAGGTTGATGTCGGTCTGGGAGGAAGAGGACAGCTCGATCTTGGCCTTCTCGGCGGCCTCACGGATACGCTGGATAGCCATGCGGTCGCTGTTCAGGTCGATGCCCTGCTCCTTCTTGAACTGGTCGACAAGGTGGCGGACGAGGGTAATGTCGAAGTCCTCACCACCAAGGTGAGTGTCACCGTTGGTAGACTTGACCTCGAAGACACCAGCCTGAATCTCGAGGATGGAGATATCGAAAGTACCACCACCCAGATCGTAGACAGCTACGACGTTGTCGGTGGCCTTGTCAAGACCGTAGGCGAGAGCGGCAGCGGTGGGTTCGTTGACGACACGGAGAACGTTAAGGCCAGCGATTTGACCAGCATCCTTGGTAGCTTGACGCTGGGAGTCGTTGAAGTAGGCGGGGACGGTGACGACGGCGTTCTTGACGTTCTTGCCCATGTAGGACTCGGCAGTCTCCTTCATCTTTCCGAGGACGAAACCACCAACCTGGGAGGGCGAATACTTCTGTCCTTGTGCTTCGAGCCAAGCATCACCGTTGGTATGCTGGACGATCTTGTATGGGACCTGCTGGATGTCACGCTGGACCTCAGCATCGGTGAACTTGCGACCGATGAGACGCTTGGTAGCGAAAAGAGTGTTCTCTGGGTTGACGACAGCCTGGCGCTTGGCGGCGATACCGACGAGACGCTCGCCCTCCTTGGTGAAACCAACGACGGAAGGTGTTGTTCGGCCACCTGGAGAAAGGATTAGCGTCTTGATCGAATTGGGTGAAAAATCATTTCGGACGTACCCTCAGAGTTCTCAATGATGCGAGGGACCTTGCCCTCCATGACAGCGACGGCAGAGTTGGTGGTACCCAAGTCAATACCAATGACTGAGCCCTTGACCTTCTCCTCGCCGCCCTCAGCATACCCTCGCGCAAACATGGCGGGAGCCCTGAATGCGGGTGTGCGTCGCGCCGCCGAAGCCGCACGAGGCAAAAACTATGATGAGGTCAGAGAATGTTGACGAGCAGAATCACAAAGGCAATTACTTACAGTCCGTGATAATCTTGAGGACAACATTGTGAATGTGTGAGACGCTGCGTGAGGGGATGCAAGCGACAGAAGATTGGATGTAGAGATGATGAGTGGGAGGGTGGATGGTATATATGATGTAGTGATGGAAGCTTTGACGATGGACAAAATTCTCGGAGAAGATTCTAGCTCGTTTTGGTGTAAAATCGCCGCCCGAGGTTCCGCTGTAAACGTCTGTGCTTCCGAGTTGCTACGAACAATTCAATTGACCATGCGACTTGACTCGGAATGGTGAGGAGGCGAATGACAGATTTTGCCAGTGGCAGGTGGTGAATGCTGCATCATGGCGCCATGACGCCTTCTGGCCTTTGTGCTATGACTTCCACCATGAGTCGCCGTGTTCAAGGCTTGGCGCATATGGCTCGCGTGTGGGGAAGATGCTTGACCATGGTGACGCCTGGAACACCTCGAAACACTGCGACTCTATCAACCCTCGCTCCGACGCATGCAACACGTGCTAGACTAGACCACAAATCACAACTACCGCCCTCCTCTCGCCTGCAAACCCATCTGCACTGTATTCCTGCCGGGGCCCCCTTGGATTTCTCCGCCTAGACGACTTGTGACGTAGATTGATTGCTACCGTCCCAGAGACATGCAGCCTTCTCCGACCTGACCGCAAACTATGGCCGTCGATGACTCCCTGAGCAGAGATACGGATACCTTTGTGTTGGCTCAGAAGGCTTACTACCCTACCAAGATCCCTATCGCGTGAGCGCTGGCCATAGACAAGCACACGGTGCGTCGACGCTGACGAGTGCAGACACTATCAATTGCGCCATTTCATCTCCTGCCCTGAACCCGATCTCTTGTACTATGCAAGCGGCGCGGCCGTCTACTGCCTCAATGCGGCCACACGAACCCAGGCACATGTCACCACATTGCCCTGGGAAGCGCGCTGCACTGCTTCCGGCTACGGCTATGTCTGTGTGGGTGGAGAGGAACATGGCAACTTCGCCGCCATCCAGGTGACCGGCTTTCCTCCAACAGACCCGTCCCGTGGCGACGCCTCGCTGCCCCTGGACTTCGAGCACCGCCTGCCTCGACCGCCCCTACTAGGCGCTGCATCGCGCGTACGTCTCGAGAAGATCGGAACCGATATCGTCAACTCCATATCCATACACAAACTGCCGGGTGAAAGCGAGGGTCAGCATGACGTCGTCGCAGTTCTTACCAACAATGACAAGACGGTGCGCGTCTATTCGTTGACTCAAAATCTGGAGCTGGCGGTGCTTGACTTGCCTTTTGCAATGAACCACGCTGCCATCTCGCCCGATGGCCAAATGTTGGTAGCTGTCGGCGATGCCCCTATTGGCTACTTCTTCGAGCGCACAAAGTCACCCAAGCCTGGTAATAAGGCACCTGAGGGGCATATACAATCAACACCTCCAGCATGGGAATTACTGAAGCAAGTGACTCTCTACCGCCCCGCACATTCGCATGCAGACGGCTACTTCACTACAGCTTGGTCACCATCAGGAAGCCTCTGTGCTGTTGGCTCAGAATGCGGATACATTACTGTTTTTGACGTCCAGTTGCTGAAGCTTGTCGAGTATGGTGAAGATGCAATCCTACAGATGATAAGTTCCACGAGACCAGACAGCCGAACCGGGCCCGGCGCGGTACGGACGATGCACTTTTCACCGGCACCATGGGATTTCCTCGTTTGGAGCGAAGACCAAGGTAGAGTGTGCATCGCGGACTTGCGAGCTGGTCTCAAGGTCAAACAAATCTTGAACCTAGATCCAAAAGAAGAAGGTCTCGAGACTGTCGAAATAGCCGATTTTGATCTCAGTCTTAGCCCAGAAATGCACGAGCTTCGCAGAGAAGCAGATTTCATCCGAGGATATCGACGTGCTTTGGATTCGGAAGGGAACACGGCTGTTATGAATGCCGCGAATGAGTATTTCGAAGCGGACTCAGAGCGGCAGAGACTTCACCGGCGGCTGGGTGTCGTAGAGTCGGACAACGATCCACTTGGCTTAACAGCACGCGAAAGACAGGTGCTTAGTGCTTTACGGACCAGTCATAGACAGCGTGAAGAGATCCAGGAGGCCCGTGGGCAGGGGATAACGCCCCGAAGTATCAACTATACAACTTCTGAGCAACTCAACACTGTACCGTATGCTACGCACCCGACTGCTGTAGTGAGACTTGACTAACAACATGTAGGGAGCCCACTGCCCGAGAGGTAGCTGACGCTATGGCTCGTTTCATGGCAGAGAGAACTGGGCAGGCGCACTCACGCAACTGGCTCCAAGAGCGCACAACTCCTCATCGGCGGACTTCAGTCATTGTTTCAATAAACGAAGGCACAGTTAATGCACCTGCTACCCTCACCAATATTACTGACACTGCTCTCACGCGTTCGCCAAACACGGTGCCTGCCCACGCGCGTCGCGTGAGCAACGAGATAGTGGCCTCAACAGATGAAGCATGGCGTACTGTTGAAGAGGCACTTAGTGCTGAACAACAACGCGCTACGACTCGTGGCACTACTGCACATGCGGCTGCCACTGACAGCAATCCCACTGCACCCGAACTCCGCAGCGAGCTTCGTCGTATCCGTCAATTGACGCAGGCGCGTGAGCGGCTCCGCATCACGCGTGCTGGCCAGCCCATCCTCGAATCCTATGAATTCAGCCTGGGCCTACGCGGGTCAAGCCGCACGACGCACGATTCCAGATTAGGCGTACGGACGGCGGGGCTGGCCATGAGCCAGGATGGACGCACTCTGTATTGTGGAACGGAGGAAGGCATCTTCGAATTCAAGATGAACCTTCATATCAGGAAGTCGTTCCCTGCTGTCAATCCCCGATGATGGACTCTTTCTGGCGTTACATTGGGCTCAGAATGACTCTCTTACTGCGTTTTTGTTCAACGATGCATTTTTCAAGGCACTTTCGGGACGGTCTGGCATTTGGTTCGGCGAATAGGTTTAGGCGCACAGCGTACTTGATGGGAAGGAAGGTAATTTTTTTTTGTAATGTCAATTCTGTCTAAGTAGGTATACCCGCATATCAAATAGTCACGAGCATCCTGGCATTTTGGACCGATGCACTTTTTTTTGCTTGTTCATGGGTGATTGTTTGTGGATTCTTTGTCTCAATCTGGGGTAGAGGCCCCTGTCGTCCGCAGGTCGGAGGCGAAAACACGCGGGCGATGTTCGGAGCAAGGGAGAACTGCCGATTTGTCCTCGATGGCGCAATTCCAGCGGTGACTCCCCACAAGATGGGGCTAAGCTACTCGTGCGCATGTCTTGAATGACATCTGTTTATGCTTTTGACCTTTGTACTCATACACCAATTACCTGAAATCTCGCAATTCTCCAGACCGCTTCGCCGTGAGTCTTGCTTTGTTCTATATACAACGGTTTCGTCATCGCCTCAACGCGAAACTCGAAACTTGCAAAACCCCGCCACTCGGCTCTCACCAAGTCCGCACCGCGGACACACCATCATTACAATGGCCGGAGAGAGCTCTAAGAAGGCCAGTGCCGCTGGCAAGGCTGCGATCCCGCTCGACATCGACGGCCACAACCTCCCGCCGTCGCCCGCGCCGAGTTCGCCCCGCAATGGCAGGAAGTATGCGCTCATGACAGAACTCGTCTACACAGAGAGCACCGACCAGTACAATGCCAGCTCTGTGCCCATCTATCAGGTATGCGACACTTCACCGTCACTGACATTGGTCGTGTCGAGGGCTAACATGCGTAGTCGGCAACCTTCAAGCAGGAGTCCGCAACCGGAGGCGGCGGCGAGTACGACTACACACGATCCGGCAACCCTACACGAACGCATCTCGAAAGACACCTTGCCAAGATCATGAACGCGAACCGCGCGCTTGTCGTCTCATCCGGCATGGGTGCGCTAGACGTCATTACCCGTCTCCTACGACCGGGCGATGAAGTAGTGACTGGCGACGACTTGTATGGCGGAACAAACCGATTGCTCAAATACCTTTCAACACACGGAGGCATCATCGTCCACCACGTCGATACCACAAATCCGGAAAAAGTACGCCAAGTCGTGAACAACAAGACGGCCATGGTTCTGCTTGAGACGCCTACAAACCCTCTGATCAAGATTTGCGACATCCCTGCCATTGCCAGCATCGCTCACGCCGCAAACCCTACCGCAGTGGTCGCTGTCGACAACACCATGATGTCGCCTATGTTGCTCAACCCGCTCGACCTTGGCTCTGATATCGTTTACGAATCTGGCACAAAATATCTCTCGGGTCACCACGATCTTATGGCAGGTGTCATTGCCATCAACGACTCTGCGCTTGGAGATCGACTCTTCTTCACTATCAACGCTTCTGGCTGTGGCTTGTCGCCTTTCGATTCATGGCTGCTGCTCCGCGGTATCAAGACCCTGGGTGTTCGCATGGAGAAGCAACAGGCAAACGCTATGCGTGTTGCCACGTTCCTCGAATCCCACGGCTTCAAGGTCCGCTACCCTGGTTTAAAATCACACCCCCAGTATGATCTGCACTGGAGTATGGCACGTGGCGCTGGCGCTGTGCTGTCCTTCGAGACTGGCGATGTCACTATCAGCGAACGCATCGTCGAGAGTGCTAGACTTTGGGGCATCAGTGTCAGCTTTGGCTGCGTCAACTCCCTTATCAGCATGCCTTGCCGTATGAGTCACGCAAGCATTGATGAGAAGACCAGGAAGGAGAGAAACATGCCTGAAGACATCATCCGACTTTGTGTTGGTATCGAGGACCCTGAAGATCTCTTGGATGATCTGAGCCGCGCTGTAAGTTTTGCCTTGTCGAAAACTTTTGTTCCGTCCCTAACATGTGTATAGCTTGTACAAGCTGGCGCGGTGAACATCACCACCGAAGGCTTCCAAGCCCTGGCCGCAGAGGCGCCTGCCTCAAGCCAGCCCACAGAGGCCCCTGCTCCAGCAGAGTCATAGACATCTGTTCCCATTAGTCACCGCTGTTCTGCTTGCCTAGTAGATTAACGTGATACCCTTGTTGCACACGTCGACAGACATGTCGGCTTCACTTCCAAACTCTCTCTGACCCAGTCACCTCTGTCATTGTCTTCCTCGAGAAGCCAATGTTAACGTGATATTCGTCCGATTACATTAGATAAGCATAGCTACTGCTAGCGGGAGTTCTTGTGGAATAAAAAGATCTCCTTGTTGTTCAATGAAAACATCAACTTAATGGCTTTTATCCAACCTCTGGTACTCCTAGTATTTCGCGTGTTGTCAAAACCATGGCAAATTCAATCATGTGCTTCAGGATAAAAAAGTCTTCTGACTCGAACATATGCATATTGCTGAGATCATGCCTCACGCTCCGACGGTAGTCCGATGGATCTCCAGATTCGTGCCAAGCATGACGCCACGTGCTTGTAGAAAGTCCCGGAACCCCGTACCTTCCGACTTATAGCACAACGCATCTCAGCTACCTCACAAGTTGGCTGATTTGCATCGTATTTCAATTTACTCAGAAATTCAGAGTCGCCTCTAGCTCTGCAGCTCCTAAACCACGGCTATCTGCCGTCCCCCAAAACTAACCCCAAACTTAGTGTCCCGCGGTATTACAAGGTGTACCTGCACGTCTGAAACAAGGCTCAGGCACGCCATCAGACTCGCCACCGCAGAAGAGAAGAGAGGCACCATCCATCCCTGTATTACCCCAGACTTCGGATTCGGATCACGTCTTGTACTGAGGGCGACAAGCGAGACTCTAATACAGTGGAGATGATGTGGATTTGACGTCTCTACATTGACAGCTGCATTGTAGTCCTTGCATGACTGTGATAGCAGAGTAAACATTTAATCGAAAATGGTACGGTTCCTAGATCTTCCCCGCGAATTGCGCGATGCGATATATACAGAGCTGCTTTTATCCTGTCGACCTTCTCCAAGTCTGAAAAATACACAATCAGCAACTGGCTGGTGCCGCGTACGGGAACCCGAGGGGCCGTGGGAGAATGGCTGTTTAATCGCGTCACAGGGCACGCCACCCACCTGTGCTAGCTTCCTGGCATGCAACCGTCAAATTAATGAGGAACTGATGCAAATCATTGCAAGAGCGAACCGGAAATGGGGGCTTGCTGCATGCATGGACTGTGTGGAAATTGATGGAACACATCACTTCACTTGGCTTTCCCTGCCACTCGTCAGGACAAAAAAGAACAAGTCGCCCAGAAACGGAGATGAGGATAGGCACGTGTGGCTTAGTTGGTTCCTATCAAGCTGGGCATCTCTGTTTCTCGGTGGTGGAATGTATCACCACGCTGTCGGCAACGTGGCGAAGACACCAGCCTACACAACGAGTATTGAGCAGCTACGGATAGACATTCGCCTCTCTACACCAGCAAAGACAGGCGGACTCCCTCCTCATTATCAAACTGCATGGGAGATATGCGCAGTCCTCAAGCATATATTCGAGCAAGGTCCGGACCCCATTCATAGGAGTCGAAAGGTAGCATTTATTGACGAAGTCGTCTTGAATTTGCTGCCTGCATGCCTATTGGGCAATACTTCCCAGCCTTCCAGTCCAGATGGTAGCAATGATATGGATCACGATATATATTTCAAACCAGAGAGCCCTATTGTCATTATTAGCCACGAGTTAGTCAACATCTGGCAAAAAATCTGGACTGCGAACGACTTCAACACGGTTGATTATCAGGCACGGTACTATCGCATGCTACTAGAGAAGATCAACAGAGTCCGCGTCTGTGTAGATGGAAAGACTTTCAAGACGAGAGATTTGGCTGTCGAGCTAGAAAGAGGAAGAGCCGAGATGAGGAGAATCGAGAGGAGGTAGGCAGGCAGGCGCCGCTAGAATAACCAAGGGCTTTCCTACCTTCTCTGATCAGAGATTCGTAGCGGTGTGGGAACAGTGATCGAGCGTCCGGAGATGAAGCGACTGGGTAAAGGCTCTGTGCGTTTTCGATGTGTCTAGAAGAACGCGCACGAAGCAAAACCGTTCTGTAGCTTTGTGTAATGCACACGTCGTGCTTGACATGTTTAATGCTGCGGATTCATCGAGACGAGGTCCCCTAGAGTCAAGCTAGCCTTCCTGTTCCGCGTCACTGCGGATGCGGCGTCGTAGCTAGCTTGCCGCGGCCTTCTTGCATGCCAATCTCCAAATTGCCCGCCTGAGTAGTTTCCCGATGCTCTTGAAATTGCTGACGAGGCTTTTTCACGTTGAATCGTTCGCGAGCGTTCCCATTCGTCGGCATTGTCAGGGGTAATCTTAGCCTCGGTTCGGCACGCCCTAGTCTGGACCTTCCATCCCAGCATCGACGAGAACATTTATCCTGACACAAAGTCTTGTCGATCGAACACGAATCGTCCGCACCAGCACGTCCTGTTATGCAGCCGTCTTCACACCAGCTATAGTGTTCCACAGATCGCTATCGGTAGCGGTCCGATCATAGTCGCGGATAACAAGTCAAGCTATGAGGCGTACCAGCGCTGACTACATCGCATCCAACACTTTCAGTGGCGCGCTTGGCACGGCGGAATACGTTTCGTGAAACACGGCCTCCGCGTCACGCCCCTTGCTGCTTCAGGCTGCGCCCCTACCGTCATTCGTCGCCATGCTCGACTTTACGAAGAGACTCCACTGCACCCCACACTCGATTGGCCAGACCGCGTCTGTCTGGCTCAGGGGCACAATGTGCAAGACGGCCCCTGCATGCCAACGTGTGTCGCGGATCGCATGTTAGACCATGATGGCGCTGCCAAAGGTGCGGGAGCGAATCCCCGTGGGCGCCATGGGTTTGCGAGGATTTTTTGTGCGAGGTGCAGATACGCGTGTTTTATATTTAAACATTGAGTTGGAGATCCTTACTCCTGACGGGACGATTTACTCGCTTGCTTCATTACTCACATACTCTTGCTTCTGTCATTCCTTCCCTCTCTTTATTCCTTATTCCCAGTCTCTACAAAACACTCCATCATCTCTACACGCTCGCTAGCATTGACCATATACTGTCCTTTCAAAAGCATTACTCTCAACTGCTGGACGGTTGCTTACTCTAAACCTGAGACTCACCAGCACCATGGCTGCGTCCAACGCTTCGACTACGAAGACGCTTCGGCCAGATAACATCGAAATACCACCTTCGACAAGCGGTTCAGCCAAGCCAAACGAAGAGTTTGACGGACCAATATCACCGCGGTCATGGCGACACCGTACTGTTACATACCAAGTCCCCTCACGAAGGCAGACGAATGGTAGCTTGGATGCTGAGGACTACTTTGTAAGTTCTTCACAATTGCTGCAGACTTACAGCTTGCTAACAATAAGCAATAGGTTGGTCCTCGCGACCTGTCCAAGCACAGCAAATGGCCGTACTTTATGCGAATGCACGGTTCCGTCTTTCCTAAGATGATAATACCACTCACAGTAGTGACTCTGTGGTCTACCTTGATTACATGCGTCTCGCAGTTCATTTTTGAGCTCAAAGTCAGCACACTCCTTCTGACCGTGCTCGGTTTCGTCGTCGGTCTTGCTATTTCCTTCCGAACAAGCACTGCGTATGAGCGATACACCGAAGGCCGAAAATACTGGAGTCAGTTGATCTTTGTTAGTCAGAATTTGGCACGAACAATCTGGTACCACACTGCTGAGCGCGAAGGCGATCTTGGAAAGGAGGACCTGCTCAATAAGCTCTCTGCGCTCAACCTGCTCAACGCCTTTGCCTGCTCTGTAAAGCACAGGCTCCGCTTCGAGCCTGGTATCGACTACCCTGATCTTCGCGACCGCATTGAATACCTGGATACTTTTGCCCGCGCTGCCGACCTCGAAATTCCCAAGCCGGGCGACAAGAAGAAGATCAAGGCCGTTGGTGAGTACCTTGGTGTTACATTCGCCGAGTCCAACCCGCGCAAGAGGATCAAGCGTTCCAAGAAGCCTCTTGGTAACTTGTCTCTTGAGATCTTGAACCACCTTTCCTGCTACGTCCACAGCATCATCGACAATGAAACGCTCAAGGTCGGTCTCTACCAGAACCAAGCTATCACTGGTGTTGTACAGCTCAACGAGGCCCTTACTGGTATGGACCGTGTCTTGCAAACTCCTCTACCCATCGCCTACTCCATCGCCATCTCGCAAATCACATGGGTCTACGTCATGATGTTGCCTTTCCAACTTTGGGATGACCTCCGCTGGATCACTATTCCAGGTTGTATCTTCGCTGCCTACATTATGTAAGTTTTTCTCCAAATATACAATCCGCCACTCATACATGAATCTAACAATACATCTAGCATCGGTCTCTCTGCCATTGGCCGCGAAATTGAAAACCCCTTCGGACACGATGTCAACGATCTACCCCTCGAGGCCTACTGTGAAGAGCTCGAGATGGACATTGACACCATCACCGCCCAGCCCGCTCCTACCGCCCGTGAGTTCATGCGTCGCGACGGTAACATGCCCATCTGGCCCCTCAGCCAAAAGAATTACGCGTCCTGGGCCGGAAGGAGCAAACAGGATATCCGTGATGCGTTGATGACCAAGACCAAGGCGGACATGGCTATCAGGAAGAGCTTTGCTGTTCCGAGGGAGAGCGAGAGTGAGGAGAAGGAACATCATGGGTTGCAACAACAGCATGATGCGTAGTTGGTGAGGTTGTTACTGGAACTTTTTAGAAGCGTCAGGCGCTAGACAGGTGTTTATGGGTGTGATATTTCTACCTTTCCACCCAAGGTGTGATTTTTTATTTTTACTACCAAAAAGGGTTTATATCCCACATAGCGAGGGGTCTTTTACGGGGCAATACTAGCCTTTGTTGTACTGCATCTCTGGTGTCACTTGAGTGTTTCGTGCTGCACTAAATGCCTATGCGAACATTGAGGGCTAAGTGTACCCAAATCTGCAATTTGCATGTTGGTCCTATCAAATCATGTGTAAAACGACCTTGAAGTATGTGTGTATATGTGAAAATGGCATGGTTTATAGGCAGATGAGGTCAGAAAGCAACATGTTACATGCCTCCAGGGTTTGAACATCAAGATATTCGATTGTGTCGCTGCGCATCGTACATGGACGAGCAATGCAGCGGTAGCCCTGTGTAGCCCGAGAACGAAAATAGTTTCGCCGCTGCCCTTGTGTTGTGTAAGCCACAGTTCCGCAGCTCCCGAAGTCGTCAGGTGTTTGTTGTAAGCCAAGATGAATGAGGAAAACTTGGCTCTATCTAGAACGAGTAGACTGTCTAGCCAGGGCCGAAGAGACTGTGGTGTCAGCAAAAAGCTGTCTGTGACATCTTGGGTCACAATAGTTTGTCCATCTGGTACCTTGAAGTCATTGCCGCTGGACTGTTCTATCTGACCAAATGTTGATCGTTAGTACATTGAATGTGAGTATGAGCAAGCTGACGAGCTGTTTGCAGCGTGGATGAAATGCCATCCCTCCAGTTGGTGTAGCGAACATGTACCATAGTTTTAAACACAACAGAAATGAAGTATGATCCCATGTATGAGACTTGGGACTTGTGCGTACGTACTGTGGTGTTGATGTCGCGATACTGACGACGATGGAAACTGAAGCGACCCTACCAGGCTAGCGCTTTGAGGCGCTTAGGCAAATGACGTCGCACCTGCCCTGCACCCTACATCTGACGCTTGAACTACTGCTCACATGCAGGCCCAAGCGATCATTCATCCAAACGGCCCGTCTGCGTCAGGCGGAACTAATGCACCCCTCAGACTCTACGGTTCTGATATGCCTAGACCTACTGATTTCTGGCGTACTGCCTTTCACCCTTTATAGCTGAGTTGAGCCTGTCAAACCTCAATTCCCCCAATGTCAGCAGTCACGATGTCGGACCCGCCAACGGAGCCCGCGCCTCTACAGACTATGACAACAGATGTCCCTACCATCGTCGAACCAGATGTAGACGCAGAAGAACGCGGCCGACTCAAGCGACGTAGGCAGTCGTCACAACACTCTCCACGCCGTGCATCCTCACCATCTCGCGGCCACGATCGTCGCAGCGGCTCCCGATACAGAGAGCATCACCGCAAACACCACCGACCTTCGTCTCCGACGTCTTCTATCTCTCCGCCGACATCCGCTCAGAAGAAGACTAGAAGGCGCAGTGATGCCGAGCCGGATCATACATTCCGGGGGCGGGCTCGCAACAGAAGCGGTAGCAGAGGAAGGACTAGGAGTCCGTTGCTAGAAGCCGATGATGCTTGCATCGAAAGCGACGAAGATGAAAGGAGATTCCGAAAGAGAAGTGCACCGCCCAGTCGGCACAGGGGTGAAGAGACGGATGAGGGTGGTGCGGTTCGGCGACAGAGAAGTTATCCGAACCTCTATAGGGAAGACAGGAGGGACTCTAAGGGCGAAGGCGAAGGCGAAGGAAAGACGCACGCAGCGGACGTTGTGAACTCGACAGAAGAAAGCGCGGCGGTGCCCCACTTGACGGACTAGCGACTTGATATGTTTGGCCTGTGTGTTGGAGAAATGCGGCGATTGGGATAAGTTTACTATGGTAGTGTAGTCTATGTCAACCTGAAGTGTCTAGGATCGTAGTGTATAATTCTGACTGGTAGTTATCCTCGACGTCGCGACTGACCACGGCACGCGACAGATGTTCTCGTGTCCCACCAAGGTGACGATGGCGTGGCTGTGCGCGTGTTTACACCAAAGTGTACGTGGCGCATACAGCACACGGCGATGCAGTGCTGGAAGCTCTTGGATATTGTAACACCCATGGCATCCGAAGACTCCGGACTGCTCACATCAGCGTCGTCGTCGCCGTCTCGAAGCTTCCATACCGAGGCGCAACAAAACCGCCCCACCCCCGCGGCGCTACCAATCATTGAAGCTTAAGTCCGCCATCACTTCCGTTGACTAACCTGCAGCCTCACCCCCTCTATCGCCTGGTCACTGACCCCGTTATGCCTCCGCCAGGCAACGAGTATGCCGCCGAGCAGCTTAAGAACTCCGGCAACAAGTGCTTCAAGAATGGCGACTATGAAGAAGCTGAGGCGCTGTACTCGCAGGCCATCCAGAAGAACTCAGCGAACCCTCTGTTGTTCACGAACCGCGCGAATGCGAGGCTGAAGCTGGAGAAGTGGGAAGGCGTGATTGATGACTGCATACGGAGCATCGAGTTGTTGAAGGACAACATGAAGGCCTTCTTCTATCTCGGTATGCTTTCACCCTCTGCGCAGATGCGCCAAGCACTGCAACAGCACATTCAAGGCTAACAACAGTGCAGCACAAGCCCAACTGGCCATAAACCACCCCAATGAAGCTCTTTCCTCAAGTCTCATGGCATACGAACTATGTACCACTTCGGCGCAACAAACCTCAAACGCAGCCACCATATCTGCCCTCGTTCTGAAATGCAAGAAAGCTAAATGGGATATCCGCGAACGAGAACGGATACGGCGGCGCGGCGATCTCCTCTCCGACCTTGAATCGATGCTAGAGACACAATTCAAAAAGGACATGGATGATATCGAAGCACGCATGGAGGCTGGGGAAACTAGTCGATCAGACGGGCAGGAAGAGAAAGCAGAGCGCAAGACGGAATTCGAGAAGAAGCGCGATGATCTACGGACCGCCTTTGCTATATCAGATCCGGAACATCAGCAGAAACGCGAAGTACCAGATTACCTCGTTGACGGCATAACATTTGAGATTATGCATGATCCCGTCGTTACCAAGAACGGCAGATCGTATGAGCGCGCTACGCTGATTGAGCATCTCAAACGGAGTCCTACAGACCCGCTGACGAGAGAGACACTTACGATTGGTGATCTGAGACCAAACATAGCACTCAAGGAGGCTTGTGAGGAGTTCATGACGGCCAATTCGGGATGGGTTTATGATTGGTAGGTTTGCGAGACTTCATTGGTCCGCGTGTATTGTGGTAGGTATGTCGAGTGGAGGGATCTAGAGTGCAGGGCATAGAATATGTGCGCTGACAGCATCTTAGTGAGGATGGTGAGGTAGATCCCGATGCGCGATGGGCGCACCTATCTTCAACTTGAGATCCATCCCCAACCTAAGTGTCTGAAAGAGATTTATAATATCTGCACCGGATGGCGTTTGTTGGATATCCTATCGTTATGCTTGCACACTTGTCAGCGATGGTCGTAGTTCTATACCCACAGCTACTCAGAATCTCTTTCCTCTCTGTTCTTCTTTCTCGAGGACAAGCTCTTATTGTGGCGCAAGACGGCGCCCACATGGTTTTGCGGCTTCCCCACAAAGGAAACCTTTTCGGCATGTCAATCTAATGAAGCTTTTGAAAGTTTACACTTTTGGAACATCTAGCGCTCAGACATCCACATCGGCTAGTCGATCATCCAGTCCTGCCTTGCTTACGTCCGCACTATATTAGCCTATAGAGCCCCACACTACTGTATAACAACCCCAGTAGTCTGCAGTGAGCGGAGTCAAGTCTAAGGACATGTTCCGACTGGTCACCATAGCTATACTAGATCGAGATCTAACCCAAGTCGAGAAGCCGAAGCTTCACCACGTATCTTAGGAAAGCCTTGTTAGGCAACAAAGTCATTGCGGTTACGCGGTCATACATGCAGGTGTTGTACAATATTGCGACTAGTGTCAGATGTGGAATATGGGGTAAGATTATATGATGTGAGACCAGGTGCCTAAACCCTTCCATGCTGTCCATCAGACATTTTCACTATATAGTTCTTCGGTTCCGTCTGTCCTGATACTCTAACAACTCATCATGAACGCACCACGTCCTACTCCTTGGTCGCCGCCTACCAACGAACTCCTTCCGCATACGTTGTTTAGGCTTGCGGCTCAAGATCCTTCTGCTACGTATGTAGAATTCCCCAATGACCCGGACAGGATCGAAGACGGGTATCGTAAAATCGCTTTCGCCGAAGTGGCCAATGCTGTTCATGCAGTAGCATGGTGGATCGAAGAGAACGTCGGGAAGTTGAGGGAAGAAGAGAAGATTGGTGAAAAGACGTTAGTGTACATGGGACCGAATGATATACGTTATGCAGTGCTTTGCCTGGGAAGTGTAATTGCAGGTTATAAGGTAGGCTCCCCTTGAACGTTGAAGACCAGGGGGTTGACTCGACTGACCATGACAAAAGATGCTCTTCCCTTCGCCACGTTATGGAGCTGAAGCACTGGTGAAACTGATAGAGAGCGTGGATGCGAAAGTCATGCTAACACCGGAGGTACCAATACCAGTCGTAGAAGGAGTCCTGTCAAAGAGATCCATGAAGACACTCCAGATACCAGGTGTAGAGCAGCTTCTCAAGTCGGCCGCAGAACCATATCCGTACAACAAGACGTTTCAAGAGCATAGCAAAGAACCATTGATCTGCCTTCGTACGTATACACATTGTCGTCCTGACCTTCCAGATCCTAATACCACATTTCAGATACATCTGGTACAACCGGCTTCCCGAAACCCATACTCTGGACCCATGAGTGGGCAAACAGCGCAGGACGAAGCATGAACCTTGACGCACCCCCAGGCTATGACCTGCAGGAAGAGCTTCTTTACAGTAGGAAAGAAGGGAGAGGCAGGCGAATGATGCTCCTTTTCCCTCCGTTTCATGCTAGTGGCGTGATCGGAATGGTCCTGTTTCCCCTGACAATCGGTGCGACGGTAATCTATCCACCAACATGGACGACGCCCGAAGCGGGCGTAGAAGGCGCTCTGAAGGCGCTAGACGTTATTGCCGCACGAGACGGAGGCGTAACGACAGACTGTGTGGCACTAGTGCCTCCCTTATTTGAGTATCTAGGCAAGAGTCCAGAGGCCATACGTAGGATGAGCCAGAGAACACGACAAGTAGGTTGGGGTGGCGGTAGGGTGAGTCGAGCTGCAGGCGAATCCGTGGCAGCGCAAATGTCCATTTTGAACGCCATGGCGTCAACTGAACTTAGTATCTGGCCCACTGTTCGTCCGAGCGGTACTGATCTATCGCAAACCGCATACTGGGAGTACACCACCTTCCACCCAGCCTCCAATATCCGGTTTGACCCTGTTTCCACGTCTACAGACGGCACCACACTATACGAAGCCGTTATGATCCGGAATAATGGAACAGAGCACGATGGCTATGTCCAACCAATCTTCTCAATCTTCCCAGACGCAAAAGAGCAACGACTCGGGGATTTGTTCACGCAACATCCCCGAAACCCAGAGCAATGGAAACACTATGGCCGTGCGGATGATCTTCTGGTTTTTCTCACGAATGAAAAGTTCTTTCCAACGGCGGTGGAACAGAGAATTGCGAGACACTCTGGTGTCGCGGAGGTGGTGATGGTGGGTACAAGAAGGCCGGTAGCTTCATTGATTGTGAGGCTGGAAGATGGCGTGCAGGTGAGTGATATCTGGGGCGTGGTGGAAGATGTGAACAAAGACTCGCCTGTGTATGCACGCGTGGGCAGAGAGATGATACTAGTCGTGGAAGAACTGTTTCCAAAGACGGCTAAAGGGACAGTGCAGAAGAAGGCTTTGTTGGAAATGTATGAAAAGGAGTTGGATGCTTTGTATGCAGGTAGTGGCTAAGCGCTACGATGATAGTACTCTATTCTTACGCGTTTCCGCTCAACTGCTGCTTCCATCCAGCTGGACACGTACCAGTACATGCCAATCCACTGTCGCTGTTCATGTTTGAACACAATATTTTCGCAGTGCCTCCGTTCTTAGGCTTGCTAGATGTGGGTGTACGGAGTCAGTGTATGTCTCATATACAGTTCGTACAGCCACACTTACATATCAATGTTCTTAAACTTCAGACCCGTGCAAGGTACTCCGCGACTGCAATAAATCGCTGCAGCCACGTTATATCTTGAAGTGCCTGTGATGTTCTCCCACGTAATGTCGCTAATCTTTAACCGACTCGAATCGCAGTTTTGGTAACTGTAAATACAAGGCGAGACGTAGATGGGTTGATTGACGTCTTGAAACTTGATATTGCGGAAGGTGACGTTCTTGACATGGCCTTGACCTGGGTACGTCTTGATCCAAGCTGCGTTGGAACTATGAATTGCAGTAATGTCTTGGAAAAGCACATTGTCAACCGTCTCAGGAACGTTGGTAGGGTTTCCCATTGATCCGATGACCATGGCACCGGACTCGTAGCAGGTTGCGTTTTTGACGTAAATGTTCTTGCTGTTACCTTTGACCGATATGCAATCCTTTGGGGATATCAGAACTACAACGGAGGAGAGGAGCATTAAGGCTTACATCGCCGCATGTCACAACCCAATTTTTTAGCACTATATCCTGTGAGTTCCAGCTATCGAAGCCATCGGTGTTGACAGTGCCCCATTGTGAAGACGAAGTGGCGTTCATGTCGAGGTTTGTCATGGTGACATTCTGTGAGTAGGCGACAAACGTGTGCCTGATCTGTCAGCAATGTGCTTATGTGCAGGATAGTACTTTTCGCTATCTTGTTGCAAACGTACCAAAATTGTGACTGTCGCCAAGTGATTCCATCAATCCATACATTCTTCGCTTGCCAGAGTGTCAAGCTGATCGGCCTACCAGCCATATTGCTTCCATCACGATTTGCGTCATACCACTTCTGCCCGTTTCCAAAGAAAAGCGCTTCGCCGTGTCCCAGTAGAGTGAAGTTTTCGCCCCCTAGGCGGAATGCTGTACTTCGCTGAGCATACGTCACGCCTACACTATTCTTGACCCAGTATTGAATATCATCGCTCCAGGTCAGTTTGCCGCGAATAGAGATGTCGCAGTTCTTCAGGTTCAAGACGTCCATTACTTTGGCGATGGTATAGTCACCTTTTGTGACTTCGATCTGACCGTTTTGTCCGCATTGCTTGAAGGCATCCATAATGGAAGGACTATCATCCTTGGAACCGGAGGGGGTAACTGTACAAAGGGAGCCAGTTTTGGTCATGCCAGCCAGCGCTGGCACGATAAGAAAAGCTAGAAATTTGAGCTGAAGCATTCTGTCAATTCTAGAGAGATTCCTGTATGTCAGAGAGCAGAGGGGAATAGCTAAGATGGTCAAGCTTTATGAATGCTTGTTTTGTGGGACCATGGCTCCCCGCAAACAGGTAGCATCGTGGTCCAAGGGGTATACGGCTGCAGTGAACTGGCTAGTCTTTACACACAGTTTGGGAAATGCGATTGGTGCAATATTTTTGAGAGTGGTAGTTTCTCCATATGAGTAGGTGTAACACCACCGGATCTTGTTCGGCTCTTGAGCTACGGGTAATGTAATAGATGAAGAGGCCGGGGTGATGGTGTGGGGAACGAGTGATTGAAGGAGAAGATATGGGTGGTTGCCAAGCCCACGTCATTGGTGGTTTCCGAAGTTCCTTTGACGGGTCCAACTCGGCATCCTCATCTCGACAAGGCGATTGCGCAGCCATTGAGCGTCGCATGGGCTGCCTATTACGCTCTTTACCATGAATACCGCCGCCCATATCCGTGCCCTGCGCGCGCGGCCCTCGATACCACGCTGCCGCCCTCGGCACCGCGCGTTGCAGCACCCCACAAGACGTGTCACGACAGCCACCGAGGCCGCGACCAAGGTTGGATCGACAGGCACTCGCACCAAGAACCTCGTCTACGGCACCCTTCTGGCGCTCGCTGGTACGTTTGGCTACCTATACGCCACCGACACGCGCGCAAGCATCCACGAATGGCTCGTGGTGCCGGCACTACGCCTGATATACCCAGATGGAGAGGAGGCGCACCACGCTGGAACGCACATGCTCAAGGTGCTGCATAGCTTCGGCTTGAACCCCAGAGAACGTGGCGTGGCTGATTCACAGGGCGATCTGGCTGTCGACGTCTTTGGACACACACTGAACAACCCGATTGGAACATCTGCCGGCATCGACAAGGGCGCCGAGGTACCAACACCGCTATTCGAGCTCGGAGCGGGAGTAGTAGAGGTCGGCGCTGTTACACTACTGCCGCAAGAAGGCAACCCAAAACCACGCGTCTTCAGGATCCCCAGCCAGAACGCGCTCATCAACCGCTATGGATTCAATTCCGAAGGCGCCGAGCTGGTCGCTTCGAGGTTACGACAACGTGTCAGGGAGTTTGCCTACCACGCCGGGCTTGGACTAGATGACGATGCAGAGCGTCGGGTCCTCGACGGCGAAGCTGGTGTTCCACCGGGTTCGCTGCTCAAGGGTCGTCTCATGGCTGTCCAGGTTGCCAAGAACAAGACGACCTCCGAAAACGATATCGATGCTGTAGTGCGCGACTATGCGACTGCCGTGGGCCATGTCGGAAAGTACGCCGATATCCTCGTCGTCAACGTCTCCTCGCCCAACACGCCCGGCCTTCGCACTCTCCAGAACGTCGAGCCCTTGACACGGCTACTCTCTGGAGTTGTAGGAGCAGTCCAGAAAATCGATCGCAAGACAAAGCCCGTTGTCATGGTTAAAGTCAGCCCAGATGAGGATACAGAAGAGCAGGTATCCGGCATCTGCGAGGCCGTCTGGGACTCGGGTGTCGACGGCGTCATCGTTGGTAACACGACGAAGAAGCGACCAGACCCTCTGCCCAAGGGCTACTTGCTTCCTGAATCAGAGGCAAAGCTGCTTCTCGAGCAAGGCGGATACTCGGGACCACAGACCTTCGAGCGCACACTTGCCCTGGTCAGCAGGTACAGAAAAGCACTCGACGAAGGCCCCAAGCATGTTGCACCACCGTCTGACGCTTCATCTCCCTCTACCGGTTCCTCAATGACTAAGCCAACGCTCGACCTTGACCAACCGGCCCCAACACAACTCTCCTCCAACGTTGACGACCTTTCTGAATCAGCACCTACTATGACCCTTCATTCTACACTCAAGACTGCACCTGCACCAAACGCACCACGCAAGGTCATATTCGCCACAGGCGGCATCACAAACGGACGCCAAGCAAGAGAGATTCTCGATGCTGGAGCGAGTGTGGCACAGGTATATACTGCCATGATCTATGGCGGTGCTGGCACAATCAGCAGGATCAAGCAGGAGATGAGGGATGACGCAAAGGAGCAAAAGACAATAACGAAGCGGTAGCCAATAGATGAGAGTAGGTAGATGATTCTATGCTTCAATGTTGACGTTGACAGATATATTTCAGGTGTATGGTAAACAATAGATCAACCAAAACGGTGTCTCTCTGAACAAGCCTACACGGAAGACAAGTCCCCTCTGTCATGTGTTTTCGAGTCAATGTTATCCTTTAATTTCAGGGTATCAATGATTGATCTTCAACAGCTACTCGTGAGGTATGTATCTTCTATGTACAAGCTGTATGTAAGACGTTTGCAGACTCTATACATCGAATCTTATGTATGTTGCATAGCTTTCGCTCGATTTCAGAACAAACACCATTGCGCCACCCACGGAAAGAAAATTTCATACCTGTAGCAAGACCGACCTGGCTCTAAACGGACACGCGGAGAATGCGCGGCATCGTCAGGCTTGCTCAACCAACAACGCATAGCCCCTATACGCAACGAGCTACCCCAAGTGGACCTTTGCGAGCTCGTGCTTCTTTGCAGAAGAGAATTGAAAACAAAATTACTTTTCGATACCACCAGAAACAGTAATCCAATACCTGATCGCGACTCATCGCGCGGAAAATTGCGCGAGAAGAATCTTATCCATACTGTACTTTCTAATGATCAAGCTGACGACTAGGGCGCTAGCGGAAACAGCTGTGGTCATGATGAAGACCGAATCGAAACCTTTCATATACGACGACAAGATGGCACTCTTCTGGGGAGAGTCGGCCATAGTACGTAAGACGAAGATATACTGCTCCGAGTCATGAGCGATCGATGTAGGCAGACCAAGCTCAGAAAGTTTGTCTGACATTGAATTTGAGAAAATGGTTCCTGCGAGCTTGGATGAGTCAGCATCGTGTAGGGAAGTCGGCTGACGGCTGAACTTACGGCAACACCGAGCGGCATTCCTAGACTTCGGAGAAAGCCGTACATACTTGCGGCCATCGCCGCATCTTCCGGCTTGGAAATAGCCTGGATGCCAACATTGAGGCTTGTAAGTACCATGCCCATGCCAATACCAAGGACGGCAAGGAACACTGAGGTAATCACAGTTGTCGAATCCACATCGAGAAGGATTTGCAATCCGCAAGCAAGCGTAGTGATGGCCCAACCACCCCAGATTGCCCATCGAAATCGTCCTAGGCGTGACGTCAAAACTGAAACCGCGACAGAACTAGGCACTGTGAGGAGGCAGACAGGCAGCATATCAACACCTGCTTGAGTTGGATATCTGCCCCGAACACTCATGTCGTAAAACGGCCAGTAGTATAAGGTGGTGAAGAGCTTGATACGTCAGTATGTGTTTGGATAACAATTAGATATGAACTTACGAGCAGGCCGTTGATCAGCGAGTTGTAGAAAGCGGCAATCGCGCTCCAGCTGCCAAAAACTGCCAGCGGCAACAGTGTGTACTCCTTCCTGTAAACCTGCCATAAGAAGAACAGAACAATCCCTACCAGTCCCGCGATGATGGGCGCAAGTGTTGCAGCTGAGTCCCAGGGATGTTGAATGCCGCCCCAAGATATTCCAATGAGCAAGCTTGTCATGCTGCCAATGAAGAGTATCGCACCCAGCCAGTCAACTCGCTTGAGCTTCTCCTGAAACGTGAGTTTCGACGTTGCATCGAGGTGGACGAAGAAGATTGCTACAATGAAGCCGATTCCACAAAACGGGTAATTGATGTGAAATGCCCATCGCCAAGTCGTGCTTTCGACAAGTTTACCACCGACTACTGGACCGACGATCGATCCAATACTCCAACAACCGAGAACCATGGAGAAGTACTTCGGGCGCTGTCTCAAGGGAACAATGTCGCAAAATATGACTTGCGTTAACGTTATAATTCCACCGCCGCCGATTCCTTGGATGCATCTCCCTCCAAGCAACGTGGTGAAATTATCCGCTACGGAGCATAGGATAGTACCGGTCGTGAAGAAAAGCAGCGAGGTGATGAGGAGTTGTTGACGACCAAAGACAGCGGAGATTGATGCAATGACTGGTTGGAAGATGGCCGAGGTGAGTAGATACGACGTGCCTGTCCAGAAAGCTTCAGCTGCGGTACCGTTCAGCTTCTGGGCAATTACCTATACATTATTAGGACATCTTCAAAAGGTAGAAGATCAAAGTTTTCAACTGACAGGTAATACCGTGACCAGAATTGTAGCATCCAGCGCCACCATCAACGATATGAAGCTCAAGCTGACCATGATAAGCAGCTCTTTCTTTTGCGGTTTCCACATATCGGGCGTTTGCATCTCGCCCTTCGCTTCGATGTTGCTTTCAGACATATTGCCGGCTACCAAGAATGTGTTGCCAGGTACTGGACGCGTGTTGTACGAGAATGCAGGCTTTTCGAGCGAGTCTGGTCCGCTGTCAACATCTATTTCACAATTTAGTAGAGGACTCTGTGAAATATATGCCAGAGCTGCTAAGAACCGAACACAGGTGAACTCCAAATTTATGGCCACTGATTTCAACCAACATCGCTTCGGTTATACGGTCCGCATAACATAGCTGTACAGGATATGTTACTGTGACATGCGGCTGGACTGCGTGGCATGGATGTAAGACATGCTTACCTCTAGTAAAGCCGGTGGGGCTGTATCCAAATGCACTGGACTGCTCGCTGTATTCATCGGTAGGGGTACTGCATAATGAGTCCCAATTCTTGTTGGCCTCATTGTGATGGGTTGTGACTGTCCTGATCATCCTTGGGGGCGAGATGAACGAGCGAGTACTGGTCAAAGGAATGCTTGGCGTGGAGACAGGATGAGTACAACGGTATCGTCGGAGCTAATTAGACAACAGCTGTGTGTGTGTCGACCTAGCTACCGACATTGACCTTCAGCTGACGGATTGAAGTACGGCGAACGCCCCCCCTTCTTCTACGGATAAGGCTCATCCCGAAAGATATAGATCCCGCGGATTGAGGTTGCTGCTTGGGGCATTGACCGTTTCACACAAAGAACGAGCGCGCACTTGGCTAAGCTATCCTAGCTATCCGCAAAGAAAAGTAATTGCATTCGGTTAAGGTAGCCGTGGCGCATCTCAACTTGGTTGCGTTTGTTGATCTGAGGATTGTTGTCACCGATCAGCTGCATCTGGCATTTAGATCACCACCTGCTCTTGGTTTAATCGAGGCCAATGTATACAAAAATAACCGCTAAAACGGCTTGAATGACATCAGGACAGCTAATGTAATCTGCATACACGAAAACCGCCTTCTTCGTTATCAGCTGGCAGTATCAGCCTTACGCGTCAAATTGGCCAATCATACCGCTCAATCTTGGCACTATAGCTAGCTTCGGCTCGCGATCCGCGCCACGGGGATGCGGCTCCACACCACCAGACGACCATGTTTCGTGCAACCCAAAATGTGGCTTGCATGCCAAAAGCACATGGTGACTGCGCCAGCGCTCTGAAAGGGTTGCATAAGCCTCACAGATATCAAACGCTCCTGAACACTCGCCTAAGGGCTTCTTAGTATTGGAGAGCCGTCCCAACGCATGCAACGGCGCCGGGAAGAGAACCGTGGCTGCGCATTCTCCGTCGCAAGTCGGAGGGCACGCATTCTGTCTCCTTTTAGGCGTTGATCAACCGCTGCAGCTGCTCACTGACCCTCCCCTGAATAGGAGAAGGCAAGCGACCTGGATGAAATTCAATGCGACGTCAATCGATAATACGAAAAAATTTGCGTTCAGCACCCCTAAGCTTTGCAAAGGAGATCGGCGCTGACCCGATCGCAGATTGTCAGCTTGCTTCTGACGTGTAGCATCACGATGTCATTCATGCGGCATGGCGTAACGTAACCACCAGCCTCGTTGCTTTGTTTAGAGTTTGAAATTGTAGTAAGGGCATGTGAAGCCTCAACATGGTTATACATAAGCGCCTGTCACAAAAAGGTACGGATGAAATCCTAGGAGGACAGTACTACGTTCTCCAAATTTACATCTCGAATCAGTCGAACCGTTGGCAGCAGTCTCACTATTTCCGGCACCGGGGCTCACTTTATCATTCAGTATAATGGCAAACAACAGAGGAACCAACGACACGATCCCAGGTTTCGAACTTATTGCTCCATCAATATGGGAGCTTGATCCGAGATCCGCACCTGTCTTTCCACGTTTCTCGTCGAACGACCTTACAGCACCGTCACTCATCCTGCTGTGCACTTGGACAGGAGCCCAAAATCGATACATCGCCAAATATACAGCAGAGTACCGAGCCCTCTTTCCATCGACACGTATCATGGTCATCACTACCTCTGCAAAAGATCTCTGCTTCAGGAACTCGGCACGCAAACAGTGGCGCATGAGACCGGCCATAGAATGCATTTCTAACTACCAATATCTGCCCGAGCAAACACCAGGAGCTGGTATCCTACTACACGTTTTCTCCGAAGGTGGAAGTAACAAGGCCTGTGAGCTAGCAGAAGCTCACTATAGGTTCACCGGAATGCGACTTCCCGTTTCGGCCATATGTTTAGACAGCACACCGGGTCATCCACGATACCTACGATTATGCGAAGCGCTCAACAAGTCACTGCCACAAATCCCAGTCTTACGGCATATCGCTATATTATTCGCCAGTCTAGTTTTGGGCTGTATATGGATGTTATACATCGGTATCAAAGGATTCGAGAACAACGTCATCAGCCGGACTCGACGACGAATTATCGACCCTACCTACTTTGATCCCTCAGCGCCACGTTGTTACCTGTACTCGAAGAGTGATACGCTGATCGCGTGGCAAGATGTATCCGAACACGTGGAAGAAACCGAGACCGCTGGTATACCCGTTATAGACATTCCATTTGAGACTAGTGAGCACGTTGGGCATGCGAAGGAAGACCCGCAGCGATATTGGGATGCAGTCATGACGACGTGGCAACAAGCACAAATCAGGGAGAAGCACACACCCCATCTCACATTTTCTGAGACGGGTTGTGTGGTTTTGGACCTGCCAAAGTTTCCGGAATTCTCGGAAAGGGAGTGGAAAGATACCGACTCGTTGCGCAATTTTTTAGAAGTTATGCGGTGGTAAAAAGAGGATAATTTGTTTGACGCTTTCTTTTCGATATACCCCTCTCGCTTTCTACGCAATCCTATATTTTAATTGCTTAATTCCATAGTACGAGCTCAGAGCTGAGACTTGCACCATTCATGCGTTGTCTCTACAGTCTCATGTGTCTTAGATATGCAACAAAATCCGAAACAACTGTACATATGTCACTGAGCACCCTCTTGTGTCCGAGTAATAGCACGGATGAACGTGCTATAGGATACCTGCAGGTATGCAGGTCTGCCTTCTTGTGGACTTACTTTTGGTGCTCCAATAGCTCTAGAACTGCACAGCCCTAGAATTCGTTTATCAAATCAAACGCCAAGATACGGGTCATCTGGATCTGATAATGAGACACCGCCAACCAGGTAACCGGAAATAATTTCCTTTGATGCGTGCTGTCAGCTGTGGACTATCACTGCCGGACGCGCCTAGCGTAGGATCTAGCGTGAGGCTGGCTCTCAGCCTATGGAAGCTACTCGGCACCCACCGCAGTTCCACAAACAACAAAAACTCGATATTATGTTCTATTGAATTGTGCTGTTTCTCTCAGGCTCGAAGATCGATCTTTAGCTGATGGTACCGATGCGCCGACGGATTTGATGCACAATGACGTCTTACCAGTAACTCTACAAGGCTTGTCGTAAGCTGATACGCCCTGTTTGCTAACCTCCAATCATCCCACTTGATTCATATTCCTGGACTACTACATAGCCTTTCTAGCACCATTCGACAGTATCCTATCCAGATGCACAGCCGACTCGTAGTCATTCGATACGGAAGGATGAGATAGACGAGATATCAGATGCCCAATAGTCGGCATCCCCATGAGTGCGGCCTTGAATCCCGCTATTGAGATCCAACGAAAACTTTCCGTTTGGCTATGATCCTTGGCTGCCTTTTACGCAGTCATCATGCAAAGGCTTAGCCACCACCACCATCCACAAAACAAAACAAGACAGCATTCTTGGCACCACGTCTCTGACATTGTATTTGAAATGGGAACATATGCCGAGATATCCACTTGATGGTGGCTGTTCACGTGTGAGATTGCTTTGATGACGATGCTGGAACGCAAAGCTTGCACGTGGAGTCTAGATAGCCCCAGATAGGGCAACCAAAATCCTTGCAGATCTACAACGCACAAGTGTTACGGTCGCCGGAATTGGAAAATGGAGAACGAGTAGCAAGAAAACTTATACCGATAGAAGCAGCGAAGGATCTAGTAACACGTATAGACTGAAATTCGGATTTTGTGAGGTCTCCAATGATTAAGAAGATTTGTATGGACTAATGCAGTAGCTTCTTGGGGGCCAAGGAATAAGCCATCAGTTAGAAGACCTTGCGGTCAACAGAGGACGTCCATGTGATCGGCTTGGTCAAGAATTGTCTTTTGCTTGCATCCTTGCGAAAAGTGTTCAGGTCAACATCGGCGCACATACAACCTATCTCGTACAAGAACGCGATTCTAATTTCCTCCATCTTTTAGTACTACTGAATTGAGTGAACGGCAACCATCAAGTCACTACCAAGCCTCCTGTACGTCCTTCCACTTGACAGTCTAATCTTCGAGAGTTATGATCGCTTGCTACTCGGAAGATCATTTACTTGCATGTCTAGTTCGAAGACGTGTCTATCGCACGTGGTTCAATCCTGAATACAACCTGTACATGTCTCGAGGAGATTATCCCGTCGTGCGTACGAGTGCTAGGTATAGATTCTCATCGCTTTAAGCCATCATTCCGCATCAACCTCGGATTTACAGTCGAAATGTGACATCGCCTCAAGCCGGTATCACTCATAGTCTTGCATTTGTGATTATGTTTGCAAACTTTTACGAAAGAAAGGCGTTCCCTTCGGTTGGGGATTGTTCGGCTTGCGATGCCTTGGCAGGTGTTGGTGGCTCGCCACTTCTGAGTACAAATCAACGACGCTTTCTGATAAATGGCATAACGCATATGATTCTAGTCCGAATGCCTGATGTTCAATCAAATGAAGTGTTTATGAGATGGTGTTATTGAGCTCTTGAAGATGAGATTCGTCGGTTGGAAGGCATTGACTATTTTCAAGAGATTGTGGTGCTCAGCCAATCACAAATCTGTATTGGTAGCAATTCTCTCATTGGTCAATCTCCAGCCAATTAATCTACTGTTATCCGAAAGGTTCGTGAATCATCGCTCAATTTCTCCCGTCTAACTCTTCCAGTTTCAATTCATCAGAACCTCAGTTCCCATCGATCTTGCTTTGCAAGAACCTTGGTGCAGGCCCAGCAGCCTCATCCGCGTAAGAGAAGTGCGCGGCAGTGATTGTCAGTGTTCCGACGCAAACTAGGTCGCCTGTAGCACAGTATACTTCCAAGTCATCACTGGGGTAGCTGGGAATACCACCACGATTCTGGGCGTTTCGAGTGTAACCAAAGAGTACGACACCCTTGACCTGATCGCGAATGGTAGTAGACAGCTTGGAAATAGCTCCCGCTATAACCGCTGTACCTTGACTGCTACGACGTAAGTACGAGAGCTCAAGATGGAAGGTACAAAGACAAAATACGCACCTGTAGCCACCAGCAACGATGGGGGTATCAGGGCACTTCTGATTTGCTTGCTGAAAGAGTCCCACGGCCTCATTAATAGCAGCTTGTGAAGTACCACCAGGTAGAGCATTGGAGCCTAGATCAGCCGAATATGGGCCACCAACACCTTGTACCCAGACACCACTTGCGCCGTAGTTGCGTTCAAGAGCGCTGGCTACAGCAGGGCCGGTAGAAGCTCCCTAGCGACATATCAGCCTTGTGCCTCCAGTGAATTGCGATACGCAACGTACCATGTTGCCAGTTTCTGTGGATGCACGGGCAAAGATAAAGATCGCCTTTGGACAAGCTCCAGCGCTTCCGTTCTCGAGTTCGTTCCTAGTGGTCGTGCCGAATCCAAACTGACGAGCTTGTATCTCGTTCTCTGAGAACTTTGCTGCCGGAGACATAGGCGACGCTGCTACAAGAGCAGTCATCATGGAAAGGGTAAAAAACTTCATCTTGATGGTCTGTCGAGCTGGAAGACTCAGGCAAAGGAACCTTTGAAGTAAATATGATGGTGATGAGGCTCGGTGATGCCATTCCAGATGGTGAACATCTTCCCAGTATTTAACTTTCTTCCCAGGTATACACTACCGTACAATAATCGATCGTCCGCTGTCAAACTCACAGGAACCTCGGAAGACGAGATGGAGTGATGACCTTCATTGGATCAGTGGTCGTTCACACTCAAGCACTTGCAGATCTCCGTCTCCACCCCACACGCCTGACCTTCTTTAAGACATCTCAACTCGGCAATAGCTGCATGATATCGAGCTAAAACTTGCCGACGTGCCGGTGCCTTACAGCCGCCGTCGCTAGCCTTCTTCATGTAATTGCGGTTACTCCGTGGCGTTTGAGTTCGCATGGCATCAGAAGCTACCGATTGTCTCATAGATTGATACATGAAGGGTAAAGGCGCTGGAAGGTTACTGAAGAACTGCTCCAATAGGACATGTTTAATCTGTAGTAAGCATGGGCTCGGCAGCTTCTTGTACATAGGAGTCTACCGAACCCCACGACCTCTTCGACAAGCATGCTTCAAATCTTACCACGCCTTGCATTGAAGAAGACAATTGCCTCGGGTCAAACGGAGAATGATGTCGGAAGCCTGTCAGGGATGAAAAGCCACCCGCTAGTGTTTAGTGTTCTCCACTGTACGTTGTTGTCCCGTGCAGATCATTCTTCGCTTCTCTTAGTTCTCCAATGACCATCAGATATCTTCTCGCGAGTTCTTGTGAACATTGAGATGGCTGGCTTGGCAATTATTGAGGTCTTCGCCCAAAGTCGCACCTCTCACGTAGCTTCGGGCCATTTACCTAGAATGGTAGTGCACTCTAACCGACACGGGAGGAACCGGCGAACCGCGGTGCAGGCAGATATCCTAGGGCATGATTTTGTACTTCTGCCGATTGAAGGAGTGTTGCAGACCACGTCAACAGCTCTAGCAAAGTAGTCCGTTTGTGTCGCCCTTTAAGCATGTGTTTGGTCGTGATAGGACAAACGCGTAGATCGATGATGATGGCGTTCTGGGCCAACCCAGCAGGATACTGACTGTGCGCGCTATAGCGCATTCCGGTGCTTGATGGGACATGCGACAATTTACGAGCGGGATTTGTACATCGTACGATGTTTCGTAGTTACAGACAACAAAAGCCCACTCTGTAGTTGGTGACGGGGATATTGACCGGAAGACGAGGCAGAAAAAGTAAATATCATGACTATTGGCTTCTTTGCTCGTAGGCAATTGAACCTGGATGAATAGGCATAGAATGTCTATTTACTCTGTCCACTTACGAGAACGGCTCTAAGCATGGCGGTTCAAACCGATCCTATCGTCTTTTCGTAAGTAGCGGAATTCAAAACACTCGGACATTCATATTAGGAGAACCTTGAGCTGAGACATACACCAAAGAACAACGAAATTGAGGTAGATTTCGAAAAAAAAAAGAAGGAACTAACCAAGTACTATGTTGCATCGTAGGAGAGAAACCTGGCCTGCGAACTGTCTGGCCAGCTGCTACGAGTACACATGATCAATATCTAAGCTTCCTCGTCCCTTTGGTTTTCTTGATCCACTGGGCGTCCCGTTTGCTTAATTCCATCGCACTTCTCTTCCTCTTCGCATCTCCACCCCCAATGTTAGCTGCGGTAATGTTTCCACACTCAGGTGTGTTCAACCTTTGTCCGAATTGATCAGCAGCCCAGATGAGAACACCGTTCGACCAACCAAATCCTTCCACGACTGTATACTCTCCGCCCCCTCCAGCAGCGTTGGTACTCTCATCGGAGTACTTCTCGAAGATCGTCCCGTTACCTTGAGAGTCGGGAAGTTGCGGCACTTCATCAGTCGCACCACCAGTGACACGCCATGTGCAATACAAAGAGTCAAGATAGCGTTGTGCAATGCGGAGGGAAAGATCTTGTGTCCAAATGTAATCCTCGGTTGACTGCTCGTCATCGTCTTCGCTAACCTCGAGGGGGGTATTGAGCAGACCTTGCATCAAGATGTATTGAAGTGGTGGCCAGACGTTTGGCTCATCCCATTGCTGGCCGGTCTGGAGGCTCGTTGCAGCAATTGCACCGTCTCTGGTATCAAGAAGCTCTTCGACTCGTGCGTAAACGCGTCTCATTGCCTTGGGGTCATTCTTGATGCTTTCAGGAGCCGCACCTGTCCAGAAAGGATAGAACTGGGAAATCTGGAACCATATTTGTTTTCCAGGCGGCGCTCCTTGGAGCGCAAGTGGTGTACTTGTGTTATCGGCCAAAGTGTAAACATTCTGGCTACTAGAGGTCAAGTTATAGTCGAAGTAGCTGTAGTGCTCAGGCGACCAAAGGACTGTTGTCATTGCCTCACTCCGATTTGCAGCGCGACCGGCCCACTCGCGTGCGGCGGTATAATTGCCTTGATGGCGGTGGAATTCGGCGATCGTAATCTCGTTGTAGTACAGGATCGAGTTGAGCTCTACTGGGATGATCTCAATGGTATTGAGCGAACGAAGAGGGAAGAATGTTTCTGTAACAGCGTCGGATGGGTTGGCAATCCAGCGTGCTGAATAGTCCCATCCACTCTCTGCACCCGATGCAAGGTTGGAATACAACGTCGCCTTTTGAGTCTCGTTGAGTGGCTGTGTGGCGTTGAACTCCTCGCCTTCTTCGTTGAAGTAGGTCGCATTGTTGGCAGTCACATAATCCTCGTAATAGGATTCAGGTCGTGGCTGCGTGTTTGACACGGCATAGTGGTTGAGAGAGTAGTTCATGCCAGCCCGCTCAAGCGTCACGGTACGATTGTTTACCCAAAACTCATACTCCTTCTCAAGGATGGGTATCGCCCGTTCGAGCAGAGTATAATTTTGTGTATACTCGACGTAAACACGAACCATCTGCGTAAGTAGTGGTGGCTGCGATCGATTTTCATAATAGCGACGAGCGCCGTTGGGCACGAAGCCAATATCTTCGACAAGATCCATGAAATTCTCGATGATGTTTTCTGCAATCTGAGTAAAGGACCCCTGAGTACGAAGGAGGCCTTCGATGATCCAGAAAGAGTCCCAGTAATATGGCTCCCTAAAACGACCACCAGCTACCACGAAGGTCCGGTTGACCGGAAGGAAGGAGTTAACGCAGCCAGAGCAGTTTCCAGCTCCGACATATCGGCGCGTTAAGTCAGGCCATATGTCGATGACTTGGCGTGTGAAATCTCGAACAACAGAGCTGTTGACGTTGTCAAGAAAATCCGGCTGCGTTTCTAGCTCATCAGTAGGTACTTCCTCTAGTTCTGAACCAGCCTCGCCAAAGTATTCGGATAGAAAATCATTTAGCGCTGTGTTATTCTCGATCGGCCTCGAAAGGTTGGCGAATGCTGCAAGCACTTCTTCTAGCGGGCGTGTTGTTGGTCTGCCATCGATTAGCTATGATCTAATACGGGTCCTTCAAGTTACTTACAAATCGACGAACGTCTTTGAATCCTCAAACGGTCTTGCGAGTTCGATTTCGCGAAGCAGGTCGCCATAACAGTATATGGGTGAGTCGCAAGGTGCAATCACGCTGCCATTGATGAACAGAGCATTTGCCAAAGGCACACTTGCAATGAGAGCAGGAATCAGCGAGCGCATTGAAGCCATGATTCAGACCCGGCTCCAGCGGAAGAAGAGAAGGAATTGACACAGGACCAAACACGTCCAGTCCGCCTACTTAAGCTCTCAGCCGTGCGACCCTAGTGTACAAAGAAACCTGCCATTGCACCGCGCAGTACGGGTACGCTGACCGGTCCGTCCACGTACGTGGCTTGCTACATCACCCAAAATGCGTATCGTCATACTTGGCAAGCTTTCCCGAAGTACCCAAGTAATAGTTCGGCATCAGCACATGGCGTATCGGAGGAGTGGTGTTATTGGTAAATTGTGGAGAGGTCGAGCCCATGCGGAGGTTCCCCGCAAAAATGGCTGTCCAAAAAGTCTTAGCGTGATGTCATCGCTGTAAGCTCCGGTCCGAACCATGGTACCGATTTTTGCATGTCACAGCTTTGACATTGGAAATTACCTACATTCTCATAGTGCCGTCTCCAACTTTGAACAGCTTGGAAATACATGGCACAAAAAAGCGCGGCTTAGTTATACTAGTACATACCCGAAGGCATTATCCGTATTCCCCAGTACCGCTTTGTCGACGGACCTCTAGCACATCTGACAAAAGTACCATAGTCCTGAGATCCGATTCGAAACTGCAGCGAGTGTGGTTCCAAAGGTCGCGACTTCTACGTCCACGATCCTGTGCAATATATTGGCGTGATAATAAACGGTGCTCGAGGACGTGGAACCACATCACGGCTGTTGTCTCATGACATTCAGAGCTCGTCAAAGCACTGAGAAGCTAAGTTGAACCGTCGTTCCTTGCACTAGCGCAATCCTAGTAGTAAAAAATCCAGTGTTGAGGCTGACTTACCTTCTCTTGTCGCCGGTCCGGCTCGTTTCGTTCTTCTAATCACGTTCCCTTTATCCGTACATGGTCTCGCAAAATCACATGGCATCCGATTCTTGTCACAACTAGACTCCAAATATTCATGCCGGAGTCATTAGTCTCTGGTCCGAGCGGCGCTACTTGTACAAAGGGATATTAGATGCGTTTGCGATTTGCCGAAGCAATTTCCGATTATCATCAGAACCACAATTCAAATTCCTTCCATTGGTCTGTACAATGTGGAGAAGCACGATCAGACACGGACATAGACTGTCACGAAGCCTTTTCGATGATTTGTGTTGTGCCAAGAACACTCACAAAGCTGTACGGCTTTCTTCTTGTCCGCCTCCTACTTTCTGCACTTTCGATTGAGTGCAACTCCTTCTCTCCGATACCGAATTTGTTCTGTAATGAAGAACCATATACCATCAACAATCCTTCCGTTCAGAGTACCGCGATATCCTGGCCCTTGAACCCGTAACCTGAGAGAACGAATCAGGGAATCCTTCCAGGCAGGTTTGCCAGCGACTGTCGTGATTTCGATGTCTTAACTTTGCTCAGCTATCCAAAAGTACCGCTGTTGCCAAATTTGCGGGATCCAAGCTGTGCTTATCGAACATGCGTGCGATGGGATTGCTTTCCTCGGCTCATGAGCAAAGTGATCTTGGTTATCCCAGTATCGTCCTCACCCCAGCATTCTCGCCAAGCCACCCAGACTGACATTGAGACTAAAGCTCAGCTTAACACCTTTAGCCTGCGCCGTGAATTCCTGGGTATGTTCACTCCATTCCCTCCGGATCTGCGCGCGTTTTTGGAGAGCGCTGGGCCTTCTCTGGACATTCTCCCTCTTGTCACTTTCTCTGTGTACGAGAGGTCTTCGTTGCAAACCTTTCGTGTCTTGTAAAACTGGTGCTATCATGGTTTGGATGCTTGCGATCTGATGTGGCGGCACGTTTTCGAAGAGGAGTTTACCGCTCTTGGTCTGCATGACGAAGCTTTGGTACCGATAAGCATGCAGGATCAAACTGTGAACATCTGACATGGCACTCTTCTCAAGAAATGCAACGGCAGATTTGTAATGCCGCAAGTCCCATACTGAGGCGTTCTTCTCGGTTATCAGTAAGAAATTATCTCCGGCACCCAGTGCTACGAGACGCGGCCGATCAATCCAACTTTCATTCTGTATGTTGTTCTGTAGGGCAACAAGCAGGGTTCCCGGCAGATTCTTCCAGAGGTACGAAGCTTTGTCGTGGACGAAGAAAGACGAATTATATGGTCCCAGCGTACATCGTACATTGGGAATATTGCGGTTTTCAGCGTGCAGGAAGTCGACTAACTCGTGCGGAAGTCCAGAGCTCTCAACACGGTCTCTTTCACTACTATCTCGCCAGGTCAAGAGGAAGCTGTCCTCGAAACCAAGAGTCACATGATAAATCTTTTTCAATTGTGAGGAGCTGAGAAATCTTGCCAGCTTTCTGGGAAGACGTGCACTGCACCATCATCAGTATCAATCATCAGCTTGTTTCGTGTATGAAAGCATACTATTCTCGTCTCGACGGACATTGAAAGAAGTGGCAGCCGCGTTGGCCAAACGTAAACGTAGAATCGCACATGTGCCGCCGAAAACTCGGGCTCGCTAAGAAGAAAAAACGCTGGGTCTAGATCGATGGAAGCGGTGTGCGACGCTGAACACAGTGGGCCACTATAAAGCCGCAATGTTGTGAAGAAGTAGGCAATCGCACGACTGATTGTGTTGACATTCGCCTTGCCAAGCTTGATCGCTTCTAGGGTCTAAACAGGATAGCAACGTTTTGAAACCGTTGTCGGGGAACACGCGCCAGTTCGTAAAGACGTCAGGGCAACGGAAACCTATCAACGGCTCAATACATACGCGCTTGTAGGTTGAATGCATATTGTTTCACTCATTTAGGTGCATTGTTGACATCTTTAGAGGTTTCACCACGTTAGAGTGCGTGACGTCATAATAGCTTCCAACCCAATCGCGCCCAGCCGGGAATGAGTGGTACCGCGAGCAATGCCTCGTTCTTTTCGTTCGGCCCCAATGACAGCTACATATCCAAAAGCTTTGCGGGACTCAATTAGTACGCCGCCAGCCTATTTCTTTGTACGCGACAACTAACGATCAACAGTCGTAACCTCCCTCCCAGCCTCCAAGAACTCCTCCTAGGTAGGTCTGTTTCCGAAGTACATTGGGCAGCTCTAGGGCCGATAAGCGAATCCTGGATCCTGAGTTCCAAAGACTCATCGGGCAGAAACAGCCTGCAGTGGGGCTCATCTATACCTTCACGACTCCAGAGTATCCTGACTAAAACATGGCACTCTCCACACCTGCGTGCCTTCTTGGGGCCCGACGATTCCTTCATCATCTGGCATCCTGAGCTCATACGTTGGGCTAATCTGCCGCCGAGCCTAGAGGATGCCGTACAGTCTTGGTTGACACCTTCTGGATGGCGCGTAGGGCCGCCACGCATTGTAACATGGGGTCCCGAAGGCGCGTTCTTCGCTATGAGTGAGTACGGTGACGTTGTATACCGTTTAGGTGATGTAGATGCCTGGGAAATCTACAAAGAGACGGTAGAAGAGTGGAAGGCGGAGAAGGGGTTTCTCTGGAGCGATCTGACTTTCATCACCCTGGATCCCACTAGCTCTGATCAATTCATCGCAATCCGGAACGATGGGACATGGGCTGGCTCCATTGACGATGTCAACGAGGAAGCACTGGAGACTTTTGCACTCAACTTCTTTGCTCGAGCGAAGAAGAAGTCGAAACCTAGCACATCCCAGTCGAGCGGGCAGATGCCAAACGGTAACGACAAGTCTACAGAGGCGAGACCCGACGCCGCGACGCAAGCCCTCTACGAAAAATGGTCTACAGAAGCGGCAGTCATGTTCGCAGCCGCATCAGCAGCAGCCGGAGGCTCGAAACCCAAAGCCCCACGGAAACTCCAAGTTCGTTCCCAGTCCAGTAGCTCAGATGCCTCTAGACCGCCACTGCACCGCACGCCATCTGCATCGCCAAAATTACTGTCCATGTTCCCCTACCTGCCTAACACGATTACGACCTGCAATCTCACAGCGTGTACGATTCTCAAATCTGAACCAGATAGTATACACGCCTGCCAACACGACGTAGCAAAACTACTTCGAGCAAGCGGTTTGTATAGCTACGAGTGGCTACGTCAGGAGCGCTTGCGATGGCATCCAGACCGCTTCGGACGGCTGTGCGAGGAAGAATGGAGAGAAACTGGGAAGAAGCTCGCTGGCGAGATGTTCAAACTCATGAGCGTACTGATAGAAGATCTCAAATCGCATCAAAGTGAAGGTAGTGGTAGTAGGGATGTATAGGAAATAGAACTAAGAGTAGGCGTTTGGACATGGTTAAGCCTGTCTAGCAACCAGCCTCAAACTTCCCTCATCTTTCCCTAGACTCACGCTAGTACTTGCAGCGACCTCTTCCAACCGCTGTCTGCCCACCGGCCTAGCCTCACCCGTAATGATATCATCCATCTCGCAAAACAACATTGCCATTATCGAACTCTTCCACAGCCTCTCGCTCTCCACGCCCCTACTCTCAAGGTGCACCAGTAAGAGGAAAATAGCTGAAAGTGCTATCATTGTAGCAGGAAAGGCGATCCACGTCCAATTTATGTTGATACAGGTTGTTGTGTACCACATTGTCCCTTCAGCAGGCTTGTTAAAACCCGGCATGCCGTGGGTACGGAGGACAGTGTTCATGGCGGTGGTGAGGTTTGTCATCAGACTGCCGACGTGGTCTAAAGGCGCATTTCGCATTTCACCGTCATTCCACAAGACACGCATAGCGGCAGATCCAGAGCGGCCATTTGGTACAAACGTGAGGAACTGTGTGTCGTAAATGGTTATGAGATGTTTCCGGATACTAGACGTACCCGTGACTGTCATGGCCCAAACGCAGTCTTCTGGGTACCACACGGTTTCCGCACCTGGGCCTTCCATATCCAGGTAGGTTGTATTGATGGGTGCGGCGTCGATGTTGATTTTTGCGACGGGCAGATAGCCGGGTGTGTCAGTGTTGCGCTCATCACAGGGAATTTCTGTGCCGTTCCGGAGGGTTTGCTTCGTGGCTAGACGGAAGACAGAAGTGCGGCCAAAGGCTACGTCTTCACCAATACGAACGCTATTGCTTAGCTCTTCCTTCAAGACACCATTGTGGTATGTAGCCTTCATTGTGTTGACTGTGGGATATATCCCGCATCTTATCGCTTTATACTCGTAGTTCTCGCGTGTGGAGTTCGATATGTATATCATGCCTATCGTCGATATGGTGCCATTGTAACCAAGTTGTCCTTGTGATACGCCAGTAACGATGGATCCAGGCCAACCGGCAAGCAAAAACTTGACTGGGGGGTAAGAAAGGAGGTTGTCGGAAAGTGACAGAGAAAGACCAATGTTCCTTGCTTTTGTGCCGTTTCTCATAGTGAATTCATAATCAGTCGTGAGGGCAGCCGTCCCGTTGGTACTATTTGGTGAACTGTGACTCATCTCCTCAGCACATGCCTCGGGACTGCCGCCACAGTTCATTTGAATCAAAAATTCCGTCGGCAAATAGCCGTAGTATTCAGCATCGTCGTAGTTGAGTGGTACTTCCACTACTTCCGATGTAGCATCTTCGCACCAGTGGTTGGTAGCCAGAGTTGAAAATGTCGATCCATTTGCAGCCGGAAAAGTGCAATTACCAGTTTTACATCCGTAAGAAAGAAGAGTAGTCGTGTCCTCAAGCGGTTGAAGTATCCCAACATCCATAGCTACACTCATGGGAAGAAATTCGTCGAACCCTTGTACATATGTCCTTTCTCCACTGGCGTTATAAACATTAGACTTGCGTATTCCGACTGCGGCACTTTCATCAGTACGAAGGCAATCATTGAAGACGACAAGTTGCTGAGCAGCGAATCCAGTAAATGCCGACATGACGGTGACAAGAGCGCCCATCGCAGCGATAAAGCTTGTATGTGTAAGTTTATGCCTAGACGTAGTTCGCATATACATACTAAGGCTTCTTGATCCTAAGACCGAAGATGAATAAGACAGAGCCCCATGCACCACGACTGGCGGAGTCGAATTTTGCCATGTCATCAAGCTTGCGTGCTTTGCGGAACCATTGCCACTTCGATTGACTGATCCCCTCGGCGAGTACCATGCTTACTCCAGCCCTAATCATCATAGAGAACAGAGAGACGATGGAGTTGATGCTAACAATCTGAGGCCAATCTGGCAAGGGGCGATCTTGATGAGCCATGAGCGTAAGAACAAGACCGATCAACGACAGCAGCGCAAAAATGCAACTACATGTCTCCGCCGTCCAGCCCTTTCTCCATAACCGCAGTGAACCGTTAGCAAATGCCTTCCATCCTCGAGCCACACCGCGTAAGATTGCAGCTAGAGCATTAGGGAATACTGAAAGGCATCCTCGGGGGTGTGCTGTAAGGTTCTTCTGCGTTTGACCATGGTTGGGGTCCTTCTCCACTGTGGTAGTTGTGGGTTCTTTACATTTTTGTTGCAGTAGCGGACTGGATTGAGGTGGGCCTGTGCGATCCATTGTTGGAGGGAAGAGTGATAAGGTGTGCTGTCAACGTCCGGGATACCACAATACTATAACGTCTCATCAGCATGGACGAAGTGCAAGGCGGCTCAGCAGGGCGTAAATGCGGCGCCACGCACTGTAACGGCTCTGTAGCGCGTACTAGAGTCTGTCTAGGTAATGAGTTGTACCCATGGTGACAAGGGTCAGGCTGTTGGATCCTGTGTCGCAGAATACGCCGCTGTTGTAGGCAGCTGGCCACATTCCTTACGTTCTATTTTTTACCTGTACTGTACGACGTTGTTACAGACAGTGTACCTCTACATTGTCTTCTCGTGTCCATGTGCCCGTTCCAACATGACCATGCGATCCAGAAAGGCCCCCAAATCCGTGCCTCCCACAGGATAAAGTCCGAAGCGCCCGCTGCCTGTTTGGCTCTTCACCTCACCCGTCATTGGCCATGCGGGCGCGCTAGTGCACAATATGTGATGAAGTCGTAGGAACAACTGCATGTGCGGGGCGGCTCAAATTTAGGAGATTTAGTATCCGAAGCAAGCCACACAGACCCTGGGCGTTAACCTCTTTCCGCCCCAAGGTACCCGCAAGGTGCAGCAGGCGCGACTCCAATACCAACTACTGTACATGCGCTCGAATAAGGGCTGCCGCTGCCGCTGCCGCTGCCGCATTAGTGTCATACATCGACTGCACACAGTAAAGGATGAAATAGTTGCCGAATCTCTGCATGCAATGAAGAACCAAAATATTATTCTAAAAATCGTCGTCCTGTGTTGACAGGTTGAACATCGAAGTACAAGACCCATGTCGAGCCGCCGCAGATATCAAAGAATGGTGATCAGGGTATACGCCTAACCGTGTGAACGCCGAGTATTTCCAAAGGCCGTTATCAGAATCAATAAATCGCCAAATCGCATCCTTTAAGTGCCATGACTGTACAAATTTATGAGTACCAGCTCGGTCGCTGGCTGTACCCTTGGTTGTCACCAATATCATCGTCGTTGTATTCTTCCACCTCAAACTTGGAGCCTAGAGCCTCGTTCGCTTCTCTCAGCATGGCAGTCATCTGCAGGCTCATTCTGCGCATGCGCTCGTCTTCCTCGATCTCTTCCCTCCGCACTTTGTTGATCAGACGTTGACTTTCCTTTGGCAGAGGGCTCGCGGTGTTGCTTGATTTGTCGTCGAACATGGCTGGTGAGCCGTAGCTTCGTCGGCTGTAGGAGTGCGCTCGTTCGTGTGAGCTAGGAGTGACTGCCGGGCTGCCACCAAAGGATCGTCTCTCGACTGTCGAGCGTCGGGATACTGGGATTAGTGAGGGCCGTTTGTAGGATGGCGTTCCTGCGTTTGGTCGTGATACAGGGCGTGGGATTAATGAGGGCGATCGGTCTGGCAGTCTTCGCTCTGATAGTCGCGGTGTTGAAGGTCTCGATTCTGTCTCTAGATTAGTTCCAACAACCACCCAGTTGTCTGCTGTGCGCAGTCGCTTGGCCATCCTAGGTCGATCTGGCGTAATGGAGTCGATCGACTGGATTCCATAGTCATCGCTTGGAGCAGGAGGCAGTTGCTGCACTGGACCTGCCTGATAGGGGTCGTCCTGCAGCCCAAGTTTCGCCGCGACCTCCTCTTGCGCATCGATGCTGTATCGCGCTCCTCCTCCCGCCTGGAAACCTCGGAAGGGCACTGTGCAGAACTGGAACAGCTTTCCAGCCACTCCTCCAACAAGACCCATTATAGACCATGATTTGCTCTCGCTGGGAGTCGTTTGCACTTCGCCAACTGCGACCTGTCTTGCCAGGCCAACCTGGGGTGTAGGAGGTACCGACCAGGTACCGCGCTGCTTCTGGAGGTTGAAGTAATCGTCGTAGTCGCCTTCTCGTCTTGTATCGTTGTGAGTCCCATCCATACCCCCAGCGAGTTGGTAGCGGTCGTTCGCAAGCGGAGGTGGACTTCTGGTATCGCTGGAGCGAGTGTTGTGCAGGACATGTTCTCCCCAGGGACCTCCTATCGCGGCTTCGTGCGCCGTGGAGCCATACCGGGAGCGCTTGCGGGTCTCGTGGACATGTGAATCAATCACCTGGTGGCCGGAGGTTTCATGTGCTGCATCGAAAAAGCCCGTCTGAGACTTTGCGCGTGCATCCAAGGGTGAGGGACTATACAGCCCGGGCATATCGTGGAAGTAGCGCGAGTTGGTAGCCATGCAGGGAGGTGGATACGGAGGCTGCCTTTGCGTAGGGCTGATCCGGTACTGCTAGCGAGCGAATGATGTCAGGCTTGCTGCACGAATTACTGGTATCCGTCGGGAGCTTCCTTGACCCGCTGCTCCAAATGGCAAAAAAAGTAACTAAAGGGCCATGTTGGGTGCGGCCTGTCGCGTGTTCGGGATGTGAGTGGGGAACTGCGGAGTGAGAGCCATTGTTTGTATTCAACCGTCGCTGTGGTAGCGCTATGGACGGACCATCATCATCATCATCAATATCATCACAGGAGCAACGAGTAATCACAAAATGAGGGGCTGGTGCATATGATTTTGCAAAGAGCAGCGAACCCATCTATCAACACAACAACGCCTCCCTTCCCAAGACTGGGGTATACCTTGCCCGAACGCCGCCAAAATGATCATGGTTCTCTACCAAACGCCGGCGCCATCAGCGCATTTCCTCTACGCCCTTGCTATCCAGCCGCTATGCACAAAGTATTCAAACAGTTGCGATGACTTGTTCGTATCAATCTTGCAAATCTCTTTAGCCGTCTTCTTCTTAAGCGCGCCACCATTGTTGAGCGCTGCCCGAATGATAGTTTCCTTGAGCGCTAGATATGGCTTGGGCATGATACGCAGCGTACTGCATATCTCCACCTCCTCTGCATTGAGCAACTGAAGATCCGCTTTTGACTCTTTGCCAAACTTGAGAGGCACGGTGTTGGGGAGTGACTTGGGCACAAACTTTGTCTTAGAATGCTGTGGTGTTAGCACACCATTTGCACCATTGACGCCGTTCTGAGCGCGATCCGGAGGTGGCGTTGTGAGACCACTGTTCTGCTTCACATGCAAAGGCAGCTCCTGCGCGAGCAATGCCGTGGCTGCAGATGGTTGTTCGAAAGGTGGTTGGGGTTTTGTCATCCTACTGGATGCCAGACGATCGAACTGCCCAATGGGGGGCGGCCGGGTTTGCCGTTGCTGCTTTTCCTGTTCGTACTTCTCCCCAGCTTTGAGACTCGTGATCTGCATGTTCCTCCACTCCTGGAGCTGTGAGATGGCCTGCCTAAGGTTGTGCTCGTATTCCAGATCCTTGCAGAACTGCTCAAAGTCGGCATGCTGCATCATCCTGGCAAAGGGCTTCGCCTTGTTCATCAGGTCTTTTTCTTCTTTGGTTCGCTTCTTGTCGGCCAGCTGATTCTTGCGGTACTCTAGCAACTGATGCTCGAAGATGATCTTCTTGCGCTCAACTCGGGCGTCTAGACGGTGGTTGTAGATTTCCATAATGGTCATCTTGAGCTCCATCTCCGGCTCCAGCTCGCCCGTCCTTGGGTTCAAGCCATCACCAGGGTCAAACTGCATGTGCTGCACAGCCTCTTCGGCTTCGTTGAAGTATTCAGTCTCAAATTCCAGACGACCGGGCATGTATCCTTGGACCTCGTGGCAGGCCGGGACACTAGCCGTGGGCTTCTGCTTGGGGGCATCAGGTTCGCGGCCTGCAGCTTCCTCCTTCTTCTTCTCTATCCTCCTCTTCTTCCTCGCCTGGAACTCGTGACGCGGTATGCGGGTACTGAGCTCGGTGTCATCCTTGCTGCAGTGCTCCGGCAGGGGAAAGCTCGGGCTGTCCAGATAGGTGTCGATGTAGTGGTCGCGGACCTCATCCTTCTCGCGGTAGCCGCCTATGTGGTCCGCAATGTCTGCCCATGAGCCCAGACCATATGTTTCGGCGCCTTCCAAGAGAGCCAGCTCCTCGTCGGCACCCCAGTCTTCGGTGTATATGGGGATGGAGTGCTGCTCGATGACCTTGAACTTGTGCTTGGCAGGCTGGTGGTCGCGTGTAGCCTTGCCGTCAGAGAAGCATGGCACGCAGAGGTCGTATTCGCTGCAGACGTCTTCGGCGCAGCGTATGCGGACCGTGGACGTGATGTCGGACGAGCACACATCACAGACGTACTTGGTGCCACCTTCGGTGCCCCGCGTACCTGTCTTCTTCTTGATGACCCCCATGGTGCCCCGCTATTGATGTGCGCGCAAGTGAAGGAGAGATGGGGATGAGACAGAGAGCTGTGGCTGTGCACGCCGTTGCTGCAAGGGCGCGAGTCGGGGTCGGAGGGGGCGATGACTAATGCAATGTAGGATAATGCCGCAGCTCGCAATGCTCGACTGAGACAGGGCGGCTTGGTGCGTTCAGATGGCGAGCGGACGCGGTGTTGGGCTTCAAGGTCGCGCGATGTTGACGTACCCACGCCGGACGTTGTTGGCGGCGGCGGAAGCTGCAGCCGAGGCTGGGATGGGATGGGCAGGCACGAATCACGACTTCACTCGCAATGGCGTAGCATGGCCCGAATTAAAATAGACAAGCAGACTCTCACTCGTGCTGCGACGCGCGAAACACTGCAAAGGAAGGGCAAAAGGATTGGCGCGTCAGTGCGTGGTCAGTCCGAAATGAAGGCTAGTTTCAGAGACCCAATGACCCAACTTCAAACGAGGACCCTATCTGGAGCATCGCAGCATTGACGGAGACCTGGGGCACTCGGACGTTAGACACATTGCCACCAGCCGCTCCCTATACCTAGGTCTTGTCTGCTCTCCCTTTCCAGAGCCCTCTCCCTGAGCCTCTACACTATTCACTGTCTGCCAGCACCACCTCCGCTCCTTGGTGTGCCCCTCGTCGCCTTCCCGCGTCCCGTAGTCTCCACCCTCTCGCTCCCTAGCAGCAGCACCCTGGGTATCCGTCTGTTCTTCCTGCATCTGCCCACTGCTGAGCTGCCGCAACCATGTCTTGGAAGCTCACTAAGAGTGCGTATATCCCCAGAGCCCGCCTGCTGAGTGGCGCCCCCTAACCCGTACTACAGAGCTCAAAGAGACGCATCTTGCTCCCCTCGCCAACACATTCAGTCGCTCGTCGTCGACGTCGACAATAGTCGGTGACCAGCCGACGCCCAAAGCCTCGAGTTCCGCCGCCAGCGCGACGACCCTCGGAGACTCCAAGGACAATGGCATCGGTACTTTGGTCCTCCTGTCCCCACTCACCTCCTGCTGACCCAGTCCAGCCGCCTCAGAAGCCAACGCATCCGCCCCGGCGCAGCCCCTTCGCCCCGGTATCCTGATCGTCACCCTCCATGAGGGCCAGAAGTTTTCGCTGCCCCCGGGCGCTGAGCAGCAATTCAGCGGCGGGAGCCACCACCAGGGCTCCATGTCCCAGGGCGGCGGTCTCTCCGTGGCAGGCTCAATGCGACCCGGCTCGTCTTCGCGCAATGCAGTCGCCGGTTCCTACGCGAACCGGCCGCAGTCTGCTGCTGGCAGCATCAATGCTGCGCCTACCATCCACGGTCGCTACTCGTCAAAACACCTGCCCTACGCTCTGGTCGATTTCGACAAGCAACAGGTCTTCATCAACGCAGTCTCCGGTACACCAGAGAACCCGCTCTGGGCTGGCAGCAACACGCAATACAAGTTCGACGTGTCCCGCGTCACCGACCTCACCGTCTCGCTTTACATCCGAAACCCCTCCGCATCGCCCAACGCCGGTCGCAACGAAGACATCTTCATCGGAACACTCAAGGTCCACCCCAAATTCGAGGAGCAAAGGACGGACAGCAAATCTGGAAATGGCGACGGCACAGCTGGCCAGGCCGGTGCTGATTGGATACCAGTGCAGTTTGGCAGCGGTCAGATGAAGGTCGGAGTCAACTTTGTCGAGAATCGCCAAGATCGTCTTGCGATTGACGATTTCGAGCTTCTCAAAGTCGTCGGCAAAGGTAGTTTTGGAAAGGTCATGCAGGTGCAGTATGTGCTCATGCGCTCTTCTGCATTATCAAATACTCACAACGTACAGGAAGAAGGATACGCACCGAATTTACGCCCTGAAGACCATTCGCAAAGCACATATCATTTCCCGATCCGAAGTCGCACATACTCTCGCCGAGCGCTCTGTCCTAGCTCAGATCAACAATCCTTTCATCGTACCGTTGAAGTTCTCGTTCCAGTCGCCAGAGAAGCTGTACCTTGTCTTGGCCTTTGTCAACGGCGGAGAGCTCTTCCACCATCTGCAGAAGGAGCAACGATTCGACATCAACCGAGCTCGATTCTATGCTGCCGAACTGTTATGCGCCCTTGAGTGCTTACATGGTTTCAATGTCATTTACCGTGATCTGAAGCCCGAGAACATTCTTCTCGACTACACTGGTCATATTGCCTTGTGCGACTTCGGTCTCTGCAAGCTCGACATGAAGGATGAAGACCGGACGAACAGTAAGTCATATCGGAGCATGGCTTGAATCAGAGAACTAACACTGTCTTAGCATTCTGCGGAACACCAGAATACCTCGCTCCGGAACTCCTTACTGGCGCTGGCTACACCAAGTCCGTCGACTGGTGGACGCTTGGTGTTCTCCTTTACGAGATGTTGACTGGATTACCTCCCTTCTATGACGAGAACACCAACGACATGTACCGCAAGATTCTTACCGAACCTCTACACTTCCCCGGTCCTGAGATTGTCCCACCGGCCGCACGCGATCTCTTGACTCGCCTCCTAGACCGCAATGCAGAGAAGCGATTGGGTGCCAAGGGCGCTGCAGAGATCAAGGCGCATTACTTCTTCCACAGCATCGACTGGCGAAAGCTGCTTGAGAGGAAGTACGAGCCCAGCTTCAAGCCCAATGTGGTACGTAAAACTTTTGTTAATTCAAAGGCCATGGCTAACATATACCTAGGTTGACGCAAAAGACACCGCCAACTTCGACCGCGAATTCACCTCGGAAGCTCCAACAGATTCGTATGTCGATGGTCCTATGCTTTCCCAGACTATGCAACAGCAATTCGCAGGATGGTCTTACAACCGCCCTGTTGCGGGTCTTGGCGATGCTGGTGGTTCGGTGAAGGATCCGTCATTCGAGGGTGTAACGGAAAGATAGTGCCTTCATCGCCTCAACACTTCGGCTTCGGAGAATGGCCGTTGAATAGGCGTGTGGCTTGTCACGGCAATGGAGCCGACTGCAAGCACAACACCCGCCGGCTTTGGATCCACAGATATAAGACATGGTCATTGGTGGGATCTCAGTACTCTTTGATGCTTTTTTGGGTTCTGGAGCAATGGCACGGCGCTTGAGGCAGCATTTGTGTGAGAGAAAGCCTAAATTCAGGCAAGCAAATCAAGACGATATCCCCATTGAGTTAGAGATGCACATGTCTTAGTGATCAGCTTTGTGGTGCTTTGGTAAGGCTGTCCAGGTGGAACCAACGGGATGTTCTGACAGCAAGCGCGTGGTAAAAGTGGTGCCCCTCCTTCCCTCAACGGAGCTCTGACGCAAGCGGGGCTGAGTCTCGGCCGCGCGACTTACAATTCTCCCATCACATCCGCGAAAACAATCATCTTCACTTCACTCACACCTTTTCCATCATCTCTCGCGCTTGCAATTGACCTCCTCTATCTCCAATTGTCCAAGTTTGAAACCTCATACCCGCCCACTAATCCTATAACACAACATGCCCGGCTTCGCACAGGCCTCAGACCTCAATGCCTGGTCCGCGCTTCAGGACCACCACCAGAAGCTTGGCAAGGACATTGTCTTGAAGGAGTACTTTAAGAAGGACCCTCAAGTAGGTCTGGATGACTAAATCTAGTACGTTGCTAACAAACTGTAGCGATTCGAGAAGTTTAGCCGTACTTTCAAGAACGATGCCGAGAACTCCGAGATCCTGTTCGACTTTTCCAAGAACTTCGTCACTGAGGAGACTCTGAAGCTTCTTGTCGAGCTTGCAAAAGAGGCTGGCCTCGAGAAGCTTCGCGATGACATGTTCGCTGGTGAGAAGATCAACTTCACTGAGAACCGTGCCGTCTACCATGTCGCACTCCGCAACACCTCCAACCAGAAGATGGAGGTTGATGGCAAGAGCGTCGTCGAGGACGTCAACTCAGTTCTTGACCACATGAAGGAGTTTAGCGAGCAGGTCCGAAGTGGCGAGTGGAAGGGATACACTGGCAAGAAGATCGACACCATCATCAACATTGGTATCGGTGGTTCTGACCTGTATGCAACTCTGTTTGATACTGTTCGAACGTGTACTGACTTCAAATAGTGGCCCCGTAATGGTCTCAGAAGCCCTCAAGGCCTACTCCCAGCGCGATCTCAAGATCCACTTCGTTTCCAACATTGACGGAACTCACATCGCAGAAGCTCTCAAGGACTCCAACCCCGAGACCTCCCTCTTCCTCATCGCCTCCAAGACCTTTACCACAGCCGAGACCGTCACAAACGCCAACACCGCGAAGTCATGGTTCTTGAAGAGCGCAAAGCAGGAGGACATTGCCAAGCACTTCGTTGCCCTCTCCACTAACGAGGAAGAGGTCACCAAGTTCGGTATCGACAAGAAGAACATGTTCGGCTTCTCCGACTGGGTCGGTGGACGTTACAGTGTCTGGAGCGCTATTGGCCTGAGCGTGGCTCTTTACATTGGCTTCGACAACTTCCATCAGCTCCTGGCTGGTGCTCACGCCATGGACAAGCACTTCAAGGAGACTCCTCTTGAGCAGAACATTCCCGTCATCGGTGGTCTTCTGAGTGTATGGTACTCCGACTTCTTCGGCGCCCAGACTCACCTTGTCTCTCCGTAAGTTTGTCAGTTCAGCAGATACGCTTAGTCTAACATTGCCCAGCTTCGACCAGTACATGCACAGGTTCCCCGCCTACCTCCAGCAATTGTCCATGGAGTCGAACGGAAAGGCCATCACCCGCAGCGGCGACTATGTCAAGTACACAACCGGTCCCATTCTGTTCGGTGAGCCAGCCACCAACGCTCAGCACTCCTTCTACCAGCTTCTCCACCAGGGCACCAAGCTCATCCCAACCGACTTCATCCTCGCCGCCCAGAGCCACAACCCTGTCGAGGGCAACAAGCACCAGAAGATGCTTGCATCCAACTTCTTCGCCCAAGCCGAGGCGCTCATGGTCGGAAAGACGCCTGATGAGGTCAAGGCTGAGGGTGCGCCTGAGAACCTTGTCGCTCACAAGACCTTCCTGGGTAACCGACCCACTACCTCCATCCTGGCCGACAAGATCACACCTGCCACTCTCGGTGCCTTGATCGTTTACTACGAGCACCTCACTTTCACCGAGGGTGCCATCTGGAACATCAACAGCTTCGACCAGTGGGGTGTCGAGCTCGGCAAGTCGCTTGCCAAGAAGATCCAGTCTGAGCTTGACGACGACAAGGAGTCTACTTCTCACGATGCTAGCACAAGCGGTCTCATCAACGCTTTCAAGAAGAAGGCCAGTTTGTAAGCGGTTGGTGATGTGTTGTGCGGGGCTTTAATGGCTGAATGATTTGATGACTGGAGGCTGGATTAGCAGCAAGCACCTGAAGGATGCATATATAGTACTGATATCACGAAATACCAATGGACACGTTGAAGTATAATTTCGCGTCTGAATACCCTATACTCTAGTATGTGAATTGCGTTCGTTTCAATCGACTCTCTTGCCTCCACCTCCATATCCATATCCGCCTAATCCGTAGCCACTGCCCATGCCACTTCCTCGACCGTTGGCTACAGGCAACCCATAGCCACTGCCTCCGTTGCCAAATCCTCTTCCACCACCATTCATCCTATCTGTAGCGTACCTCTTCAGCCGTCTGGGCAGTTCAACACCACGGAAGTAAACAACGCACACGGCTGCACTCGCCACAGCACTCAAGAAACAGTACACCAGAGTACTAGTATAGATGTGTCCACCATATCCACTCCAGCCAGGAGGCAGCGTAGTGCTTGGATACCACCTCACACTAAACGCCAAACTCAACGGATCCCCAATGGTAATCTTGGTATTCCTTGTATGACTTGACACGGAGTATGCAGTCGCAGCATCCACCGTTCCAGGCGCCACGCTCTTGGGCCCTGCATGGACCAGCAAGTTCAAATAGTTGCCCACGTGCAAGTGGCTCAACTGTAGTGTCCCCGCCAATGCTATAATCAGAGGTGTGTACATTGTGCTCTGAGTTCCTAATGCGCCTTCCTGTGTGCTGTCGTCGCTCACACGGTACTCTGTTTCCATGACGGAAGGTGGCAAGGGTTTCGAGGGGATGCGGCACGACAGGGGCGCATCGTTGTGGATGTAGAACTCGAGAAGGTGGAAGAACTCGTCGGTCACAAAGTCTATGGTGCAGTTTACGTCTTTCTCGACGCCGAAGTTTAGGTGGAGGGGTTGGCCCGTTTCGTTGCAGGTTGGGAAAGGTATGTACTGGAGGTGGCCAGCTGCGTCTGTGATCTGAAAACATATAGGTTAGTGGCCACAGGGTAGAAATTGGGGGCTTGTGCTCGTTAGGTATTCCTGAGCGTGATGTGGATGGTATACGTACATGTTCACCGGTTTCTCTGATGTCGAGGTTAGCAATTGTACTCGCAGCTCCTTGTGTATATATTGTGACGTACATGGTTCGGTTTAAACAGCTGACTGGAATGGTCTCGCCAGGATTATACCCTCGTGCTTCTTCCACGCTCTTCATGGGCTCCTGGCCGGTTAATGCTGTTGCAAGGCACGTCAAGAAGGAAAGTAATGCGACGGTAGGGAGCCATGCCGATGGCTGTCGTTTCGAGATCATGGCGAGAATCTTGAGAGGAGAAGCCAATGGGTCACTCAGCGCATGTAAGCCGGGTACTGCGCGTGAGGCAGCTGCGACGGTCGAGGTGCATGTGTCAACTTGGACAATGTTGGATACGCGAATCGAGGTCCCTGGCCTGTGCCCGTCCGCGGCAAGAGACTCCCGGTCCAGCTCCGCAATCTAGTCTTCACCCCTACAGCCAAAGTAGATGCAAATCATATGCTTCCGTGTCAGGGTTGACGCATGCTTCAGCGATGGTCATAATATCTCGATAGCTATCAGTTCGGTAAGCACCCAGTGCTTATTATGCAAATGCAATGCAGTTATAGTACATTATGTACACGTTGGATTCATACATGGTTGATATCCCCGCCATTCCGAAGCATCAAATCAGCGTCCTACATGTTTACCATCCCTTCCTCGTCAGTTCTGTCACCCGGTTGGTCACGTCGCGGAAGCCCTTCTTGAACCTCGCTCTCCACCTCTCCGACGCCAACCGCTTCCTCTTCAATCCGCCTCTCTCGTGGAATCTCTGTTTGTTGAAGTCGCGCTTGACTTGGTTCCTTGCCATCAAACTCCCCAGCATGCCAATACCCCTCACCATATCACGTCCGCGGCTAGGATCCAACTCTACAGTACGTCCGTATACGGGGTTCAAGCGTGGGAACTGAGAAAACGTCTCTTCCTGTTGTACAGCGAGCGATGCCGCACCGGAAGGCTTGTTGGCAAGACTTGGGTTGGCTATGTCGTCGGACAATGCCATGTCGTCGAAATTCAGGCCTGGCTTGTGGGCAGGCCGTCTGCTCTGGGTGCCCGCGAAGGCTTCTCCAAAGACGCGGTTGGCTGGTGAGGTAGGCGCTGCGCCCCGTGGCATATACGGTGTCCTGTTTGTGGTCGTACCGCCTAGCATGGAGTCGATTGTCTGTGACGTCTCACTCTGGGTGGGCTGTGGACTTGCGGCTGCTCGCTCGGGAACGTAGTTTTGGTCTGCTTGCTTTCTCTGTGGCTGCGCAGGTTGTCTTGGCGATTTCGATATGGTTCGTTGACATGTCCAGGATGGTGTTGTCTGTCTCGAGGACTGTGGTATGCGTGTAAAGGTCGAGGGACGGAGCAGTCGCTCGCCCAGCGATCGTGATGCCATGTTCAAATGTTTTTGCTACAATCCTGGCATCGGCAGGAGTGATTGGTGGTGCTCGCGGCGGGCAATGGCGGGTTGGCTGCGGTGAATGATGGAAGTCATGCACGCCGCGGTTCCCAAATTTGTCGGCGCTGTAGGTAGTTGGTGGTCCGAGCGTCTCTCGAAGCTCCAAATCTCAACTGCGACTTCTGCCTCTCACTACAACACGCGACGAGCACCTCGACAGTCCGATTTAGTAGCTCCCCAAACCATCCTATCGAGTTCCGCGACTGTACATCTATTCAAGATGTATGGCTATCCTGGTACGTCGGGCGATTCCTTGCGACGCCAACTCTGCTAACATGCGCAGGTGCTCCGGGCTACAACCGCCCTCCGGGCTTCGCAGGCACTCCACCAGGCATGGCTGGCATGCCACCGCCTGGAATGGGTAAGCAGTCGCATCAACTGATAATGGACCATCTAACAACAGCGCAGGTCCGCCAGGCGCCGCACTTCCCCCAGGTGTAGCCGCTCCCCCCGGTGTTGCGAATGCCCAAGGTCCACCAGCTATGAACGCACCACGCGCTCTACCATCCGGATGGCAAGCGCCCCAGAACATGCCCAACTTCAACCTTAATGCGCCCGTCATCCGTCTGGGAACGCAGGGAGGACGAAGTGGTGCTGTCGACAGCCCTGTAGGCGGCCGAAGGGACAATGCAGCACCACCCGGTCGTCGTGGCCTTGGTATGGACAGAGACGGCGATCGCAGAGACGGAATCCAGCCCGTCAATCCTCCATCACGCGAAGACATTGCACGGACCATCTTTGTTGGTAACATTCCCGATGGCGTTGGAGGCGACGAGGGCATGGAGCGCATTCTAGAGACGGCAGGAAAGCTCGTGCGCTGGACGAGGGCTACCGATGCCAACAACAAGCCTCAGACGTTTGGCTTTGCCGAATTTGGAGACGCCCAAAGTTTGGAAACGGCCGCTGAGATATTCAAAGACGTGCGTGTGCCTACAAAACGACAAAAGCCCGGCAAGCCGAAAGCCGAACCCGAAGGCGATGAGCAGGACGAGGTGGAGACGATACAACTGCATGTCATGGTTGACGACGCCTCGATCAAGTACGCAGAGGAATGGAGCAAGACCCGAAACGAAGACGAAGCTACAGTTCAGTTCAGGCTGGATAGCGCAAAAGAAGCCCTTTCATCGGTTCTCGCCAGCTTCTTCCATCCACCAAATGCACCCAACGTCGACTACGCAGGAGACGCAACCATGCAAGATGCGCAGGCACAAGATGGTGAAGACGTGGAAGTCGCGTTTGTGAACCTTGCCAACGGTGAGGATGAGCTTGCAGATATTCCGGCAGAAATGCGTGACATCGTCGCCGCAGAGATTGCTGCTTTCCGCGATCGTTCCAATCAACGCGATAGAGAACGACTTTTGAAGGAAGAGGAGCTGGAGGCAGAGGAGCGCAAGCGCAGTGGTAGACGTGCATCGCCACCACCTTCTGCGCCTACTGGTCCCGGAGGTGCTAATGGTGTACCACTTGGCCCAAGGGCAGAGAGGGGTGTTCAAGGTGCCCCCAGTGGGCCCAAGGGCTCCCAATTCCCGCGTGACTACCAGGGCGGAGTCAACTTCGTTAATGGTGGTGCTATAAACAATGGCGTATACATTAACCGAGAGGACGATGACGACTCGGCCAGCGATTCGGAACTAGAGCGCCGTCGCAAGAAGAAGCGAGCAGAAGATGCTGACGAGGCATACAAGAAGCAACTCCAACGCTGGCTCCAAACCGAGCGTCGCACCTTTGCCTCTGTCGAACGCACAAACGACTACTTCAAGAACATGGACGCGGAACGCGAGAAGGCTCGTACTGCACAGGCGAAGCAACTCCGAGAATTTGACGATGATCAGGAAGCAGCTTCAAGGCGCGATCTCTACTACCGCGATCACAGCGATTGGATCCGCGACCGCGAGCAGGTCCGCGGCCAGGAGGCCAAGGAAGATGCTATCGATCGAGAGCAGGAGCGACGCGAGCAGGCGGCACAGAGGAAGCAGAAGGATCATGCCCGTGGACAGGCCGATGCCTTTTTGGAAGAACATGGAGAAGAGCTTATGCGCAGGGAGGAGCAGCGCGAGCCAGCACACTTCAAGATCTCCCTTGGCGCTGCAGCCAAGAAGCTTGAAAAGACTGCCGCTCCTCGTCGAACCGCAGCGGATGTCGAAAACTTGCTCGAGGACGAAGATCTCACAGACCAAAGCGGCTCTAAGAAGCGAACTCTTGTGCCCATCAACTTCGACGCCGCTGTACGTGCCAATCTTACACAAGAGGAAATCGAAGAAGCACAACGGCAGCTGGCACGCGACATTCCCAACGACAAGGAAGGCCTGTGGAAATGGCCTGTTGCTTGGGAGCATCTGCCTCAGAAGAACATCGACAAAGACATCAAGCAGTGGGCTGCAAACAAGGTTCTTGAGCTCACAGGTGTTCAAGAAGAGATGCTTGTCGACGCTATCGTGGACCATTTGAAGAGTAAGGGCGCACCCCAACCACTTGTGGAGAACTTGGAAGTCGCTCTCGATGACGAAGCAGAGTCTCTTGTGAAGAAGCTTTGGCGTATGGTCATCTACTACAGTGAGACAGAGAAGAGGGGTATCAAGTGAGCCTGTCGCCTCCCGCTCATGCAGAAGAAGAGTCCATCTCCAATATTGTCGGCCAGGTTACCACTATCGTGGTTTTTGCAATCCTCAGGAATCGGGCGAGTGAGTATTTGGGGTTTTCGTGCTGGGTAGCTATTGACGCGTTGTAGGGTCCTCGGATCTTGCATCACGAACGAAGTGTAGATAAATGGGTGTATGGATACGATGAGGAGTCATACCAGGTCCGTCCTTTTACTTTCAATTGTCACACCACTAATGCACAGGCTTGTTGTCTTCTTAACATTGTCCCAAGCTGGATTGTAGTTGAGTCTGTTGTTGCGTGCGGCTTTAGTATGGCGTGTGCTCAATGATGATTGACTTGGAGTTTCAACATTGATACTCATGCTCCTCGGGCTGGACTACTCCTTTGAATCCACTCATGCCTCCCCGCGGCCGGTAAGTTCATGTTTGCCGCGGTATTTGATCACGCTCCACGATAGTACACGGAGTGCAAGAGTAAGTAGAGGACGGGCCTTATATTGACATACCCGGCCTGGTCGTCACGGCCACTATTCTCTTAATTTCTCCTTCGTACCTCACGCATTGTCATGCGCGGTCGAGTTCAAGCTTCTCGCCTAGGTGCGAAGCACCTGGTGTCTCCTGGCAAAGCAAGGGTCCCCTATAGTTCGTGGGGTGTAGCACTGTAAAAGCTCACGTGTGAGGTAAATAATATGCCGGCAACCGTGGGCAACGTTGCCAGATGCCCCGGTTTTCCCAGCCCCAGACAAGTGGCGCGACGAGTTCTTCCACGAATGATGAGGGGCAAGTGGGGTTAAACTCACGATGGCGTGGACTGCGGGCGGTTGGCACTATTTGGTGTGGAGGTGCGTGGAGGTTTGCGCCGGATGCCTTGCCAGTTAAATAGACCGTCTAGATCCCGAGTTCCAATAAGTATTTCGCTCAATCAACTTCAGTCTTGACTTGTTCATCCTCTAACTTCTCATCCTCAAGACTTGACTTCAAACTTCTGGAAGCTTTGCGGGGTATTTCACGCTACATTCCGATAATTCCGAACGTTGATAGCAACGCAACAACATCACAATGGTCATTACAATCACAGGTGCTGAGACGAGGGATGTTCGGTTTCCAGTACGTTTTATTACAGATCAAAATTTGAAGACAGAGCTGACCTCTCTGGACTAGACATCCCTTGACAAGACTGGTTCCGATGCTATGAACGCAGCGGGAGACTACTCTTCGGCATACTGTATCTTACATACAGACTCTGAGTTCAAGGGTCATGGCATGGTAAGTTCGAGTTCTATCTGATTTTATACAAAAAAGGAAAGACATGAGTTCACAAGGTGATGAATACCTTGTAACATCGCTTTCCTGTCATACCTCTATCTTGACGCTTTGGGCGAAGCATTCTGTTCACAGCAGATTACCTCAAGTTCTATTTCAATTCGATGACAATTCGGTTCCAATCCGCTTACATTCTCTAGACCTTCACAATTGGTCGTGGTAACGAGATCGTATGCACTGCCATCGCCTATCTCGCGGACCGCATCAAGGGCCACACACTTGACTCCCTTGTCGCCAACTGGGGAAAGACATGGCGTCACCTGGTGAACGACTCTCAACTCCGGTGGATCGGACCAGAGAAGGGTGTTATCCATCTCGCTCTTGGTGCTGTTGTAAACGCCATCTGGGATCTGTGGGCAAAGTCGCTCGGCAAGCCTGTATGGCGTATCGTAGCAGACATGACACCACAGCAAATTGTCGATTTGATCGACTTCCGTTACATAACCGACGCTATCACTCCTGAGGAGGCGCTGGAGATTCTCACCAAATCTGAAGCTGGTAAGAAAGAGCGACTCGAAGAAGCTCTCAACAGCCAAGCCGTTCCCGCATACACCACCTCTGCAGGTTGGTTAGGTTATGGGGAGGACAAGATGCGTGGCCTTCTTAAGGAGACACTGGAGAAGGGATACAAGCACTTCAAGCTCAAGGTTGGAAGCGACATTGCACAAGATAAGCAGCGCCTTAGCATCGCACGAGATATTATCGGTTTCGACAAGGGCAATGTGCTCATGGTCGATGCGAACCAAGTATGGAGCGTACCAGAGGCAATTGAGTACATGAAGGCGTTGAAGGAGTTCAAGCCGTGGTTCATCGAGGAGCCTACTAGCCCTGACGACGGTATGCATTCTCCTTTATCTCACTTTTGTTACATCGAGTATTGACTGATTCCTTTAGTCCTTGGCCACAAAGCCATAAGAGAAGCCCTCAAGCCCTACAACATTGGTGTCGCAACAGGAGAAATGTGCCAAAACCGCGTCATGTTCAAGCAATTCCTTGCCTCAGGAGCCATCGACA